ATATATATATATATATATATATATATATATATATATATATATATATATATATATATATATCGTATACATCGTCAGCCAGACCCGCAGGAGAAACTTACAAGTTTCACACACCCTGTGGAAGTTTCTTTGAAAAATGTTCATATGCATCTGCTTAATCAATATTCTCAGATTAGCCAAGTACGCAATATCTTTCTTTACGCTTCTAAAATTCATTTTAAAAAATCTTTTACCTAAGTAATCAAGTGTTATTTATTTACTTATTTACCTATTGAGGTGACTTTCACCATGAAATTATTTTCAATATTAACTACCAATTTTATCAGTAAAATTTCGTACAATTTATTATGGGCCAATATTTTCATCAAAAAACGCTTAAATTCGAAGATGTGTGAAAATGTTTCTTCGAGATATTTCACTGAAGCAACTGACACTAATTGAAAAGTTAAAGCTAAACATATTTAGTGGCATTTAGTCGCAAATACCACTCAGTAGTAAATTGTCTCGGCGGAAAATGAAAATAGAGGAATTTTTGTCGCAATGCGTCACGCCACTAACTGCTGTCGCCTGATAATGTTTTAAAAATTCCCGCGTGTATTTTACATTTTTGTTTTGGCTTTAATTATGCATTGTTTACGACTTGAAGTTAAGAGGCTTTATGTCATACTTTATAATCCGGTGGATGCGCTTCAAAGCTCACAGTAATTTTCTATTTAGTTGCAAATTCGTTTCAGCTTCAATTTGAACAAAAAACGCTCCTAAAAGGGCATAGTTGACGTTCGTGCTTTGCTCAAAGGGCCAGGAAATATTGCTGCACGGTATTTAAATTGAAACGTTCATATTTGGCGTTTTATTCTCGCTACGGTCATGATTTTTGCAAAAATGTAAAAAATTTCCTTCTTTATTTTCATCCCGCGTCCTTCAATCATTACTTTGTATTACTGTTATATTGCCACATAACAACATTTGAACTCAAAAGACGAAACAACTCATAATTAAATTTTGATGATGTTGTTCAGGACCCATTTCTCAGTATTTGCAGAAATGACACCACTTTAATTTTGTGAAATAAAATCGCTATTGCAGAATTTTCAAATGAACAAACAACAAAAATTTTAATCAACATTTTTCCCATTCAGAAGAAAACTTGCCAATACTAGAAAAATTGATTTAACTTAAGAAAAACTATAAAATTCTAAAAATAGTAAAATCAGCGACTCTCTTGGAGATACACACCAGTCTTAATTTTTTCACAATTAAAGCTTAAATGAAGCCACTATAAGGATCAGCTAACAAGTGTTATTAATTCTTAAAAAATATTTTTTGTTTTAACAAAACAAAAAATTTACATTATAAATGAATTAAATATTTTAAATTTATTCCATATTTATCAGGTGTGCGCAAAGTCTCATTTTAAAGTTCCGATATTTTTGTCACGAGTTGGATCGAATGTTTTCGGATGGTATATCGGTTTGTCAGTGTCGTTTAAAAAACACTTATAAAGACCAGCATAAACCCAAAAATGTTTAATGTTGTAAAAACTTATCTTACTAGTTGAGGCTGGTTTTGATTTAAAAACTAATGTTAGTTTTAGTAAACTAAAACCTTGACACGAGCCAATTTTATCAATTAGTAATATTGCAATGTACCGATATTCTAATTGGAGATTAATTTGTAGTTTGGGGTACCACTTGAAATTACTAAAAAAATATCCCTTTAAGAAAAAAAGGAAAAAAAAGACACAAAACTTGTCAGCGTGAATACGTCATAGTTATAGCAGTATAAGTAAAGTTTAACGTATATTAAAAAGATGAGGTAACGAATGGCATAAATAAGTTTTCGACTACTGTCTTAAAACTATTAAAACAAGAATGAAAATAAAAAGGCAAATATACTACGGGTAATTTCTAAAAATCGTTTAAATAAATAATTAATTAAATAAGTGTTTTGTTTCATCATTTTCATTTATTTTTTTGCGACAAACTTAAGAAATGATGATGAAATATAAATCTAATTTCCAAAGTAAAAATCTATGGAAATAACCTTTCTAAGATTAGCATGTTGATTTTCAGGTGAAACTGAGCAAAGCGATGAAAAAACCTGATAAGCTGATCAGCGATTCGCAGGAGAAAGCGTATTGGCGAGTGTACAGGCCCCCACCTGGTATTCCGAGTTCGTTAGAACAAATACCCGTACCCAGTAGAAGTTGGAATGGTTGCAAGCCGAGGAAGAAAACGATTGAGGATGCTAGAAGGGAGGTGAGTGTACCTCTGGTTATAGGCGCAGAAAAAAATCAAAAAACCAAATCTGCTCATAAATAAATAACGATTTGAAAACATGCTTATATATCTAGAGTGGTGTATTAGAAATATTATATTATATTGTATGTATTTAAAAAACCATTTAAAACATAGCGTTGCTTTTGAAACAGCTAAAACTTAACGGAGCTGATCATTCATTTTGTCCAAAATAACAGTTAAAGTCAGTTAAAACGATTTACATACCACTTATTATTCAGTATCCACGCATAACTGATAATTTATATAAGGTCTTTTGTTTACCAGTCGATTATTTATGCTCTACGGTATAAGCTCTACTGCAAGCCCTATATAGAGCACTTTGTCGACGGTTGTGGTCGTCTCTCGAATAGCGGGCAGTGTAAACTAATGGGCGTTTGGTTCGCACCATGTAGGTATTAGATAATAGCTACATGGTGGTTGCCCTACTACGGCAACCATTAATGCGCCTCAGGTGGATGTGATATTTTCGTAGAGAAAGGACTGATTTTTCGGGCATGCCTTTGCATTTCAGCCACTAACCTGCACTTTGCACAATTTTCTTTCTCTCACTTTTGCCTGAAGGTTTAATGAGATCTGGACATGTTTTAAAAAATGATGCTTCAACCAAACTTAAAATTTTAAATCTCGCGTATGCGCATGTTGAATGGAGCTTCGCAAAATAAATTTCATAATTCCTTCACAAAAATCATCCCTTAAATATTTAATGAATGAGCGAACGACTAGGACTTTACTTAGCATAAAATAATTTTACAAACTCACAATGTATACGTATTTCACTGTGTGTACAATTTTCTGTGGGCCAGACTTTTATTCGTACACTATAGAAGTTACTAAAACTTTAATATCAATAAAGCTCGAACAGCAGCATTACAGAAGCAATTATTTAATGCTGGATTTACATTTTCAGTTCCCTACCGGTTGACATAAAGGTTGTGGTGTTTTAAAATTATTTTTACCTTTTTATATTTTTAAATCAACACAACCTTTATGTCAACCGGCAGGGAACTGAAAATGTGAATCCAGCATTAAATAATTGTTTCTGAAATGCTGCTCTTCGAGCAGTGATATTAAAGTTTTAGTGACTTCTATAGTGTATGAATAAAAGTCTGACCCACAGAAAATTGTCAATTGAAATTGTCAAATTACTCAACAGATTAAAAAAACAAAATAATTTCGCACGGTAATAGTTTACGTTTGTCAATTATGACGGTTCATGTCACACATCATTCGGTGAATGTATTTTTTGATGTATTGCAAAAATGTAGCCAAAAACGTAATATCTTAGAAAAACTATTGGGATGCAATAAGTTTGATAAACTTTTTAAGTCACTCATTTATTAAGCACTGGCTCCGCTGTGATACGCTCGTGCCAAAACAAAACTCAAATGTCATTTACCAAACTTGTCGCATAATATACTATTACCGAAGTCTGACGTCATGTATAAACTTAATTTAATTTTTTGGCTAAACATTAGGTCCTTAAATCTCACTTTGGAAAAATATTACTAAAGCGAAATATTTTGATAATTCTTGTGAAAATGCTTGTACATATAAATAGCCAAGATTCACATTAAGTTGCAAAATATATGTGTATAATAACAAATAGCGCTGTACCTATCAATTTCTCTACAAAAGGAGATTCAAGAGAAAATATCAAACATTCTATTATACCTGTAACATGCATGTTATATTCCCTATATCCTCGAATGGTCATTGGGGGACGCAATTTCCATAAACCGATTTCTTTTTCCTTTAAGTCCAGAATTGACCCTTAGGTATGGATTTAAAATTATTTTGAAAGAGCTCAGGGAAATAGCGTTCTCCCACACAAAGATAAACCTGAAATAAGATATGTTTTGCTGTATAATGCGGCGAATAAAAACGATGAGCGGTAGTGTGGTGGAGTACATAACTTAAACAAGATTAAAATGTGATTAATTAAATAACTATGCAAATCCACACTTACACGATTTTCTAGTTTTCAAAAGTTCCTTCTTCTCTTTCATATGAGGTTAATACACATGCGAATGAGATTTGCTTTTAATATGGTTACTTTCCTTAATAAGTTTTTTCTAACTACACAAAAATAGGTGGCTTCCAATCGAGATTTCGAAAAAGCAAGGTTTACCGTAATGTATAGAAGATACTTAATTGAAGGATTTGGAAATTTTGTAAAATAGGAACTGACTTCTTTCTTGGTTTTGTCGAAAATTGTATTTTTTATATAAAAAAACTAGATATAAAAGTAGTCCACGTTTCGTGTAAAAAACAGCAAATTGACGATCAACGGTTTCTTATATCGTTCCATATTATAACTGATTATCGATTACTGCTTATAAATAATTATCACTGTTAATGTTTTTACAGAACTTTACTCGTTCATTTTTTATGCTCTGTACATTTAGTATGATTTTTTATTTCAAATGCACCTTATTTTATATAATCTATTTACTGTAACCATTAAATTTCTGATTTATATGCCATAGAAATTTTTCATAGGGATTTTCATCAGCTGTACTAGTTTTAGTGGAAGAACTCCTAATTAATCTGAGTATTGAGGTGAACTTTGCATTTTCATTAAAGTTTATTTATTTAAAAAAATTAATTTAATAATTAAAAAAATCACTTGAATAAAATTAACTTGAATTAAATCAAAATTAAAATTATAATCCGACTTTCACAAGCTAATATCAAAAGCTGTAACTTTCACCTGCGCAATACCTTTTCTGGCATAATTTTTTAGCTTTATTCTTTTCCAATTCCTCCTTTACTAACTTAAAAAATTGCTGAATATATCTCTATAAAACACAGGCTCTCCGTCTTTCTCTAAATAAATTTGGGGAACATAGAAAGACGCCATTCTTTTGATTTCAATGGGGAGGTTCAGATATTTTCTCCATTTTTCAGTGAGAGATTTTTTTCATATCGATCTCTATAATCTACACAAAACTATATCTGAGCGGTGGTAGTCTACGATTGGTCAATCCCACTGAGGACAGCAACTGGAGATAATATTATTTATTTTATTGCTTATGTATGGCAACGTAATCTGTTTCTCTAATATTCTCACATACTTCGGTTATGCGTTCCATTGTTGTTTCGCTTGAATGTCTTCTACCATTGAGATAAAACCTTCCGTCTCTGGCTGTAGTTTTGCTCAGAGTGTCTGCCGTTAATTGTTTTTTCATGCCATAAGTTAAGTGGAGTGAAATTTCTGTCTGCGATAACGAATTTTGCGATTCTTGGGTGCAGGTATTGTATAAAATACTTCCTTATTCTCCTTTCCTGGGATCTGCATAGCGATTTAAAATACATCAAGACACGACCATTTGCATTCGCGTGACAAGGTGGATACTGTCCATATTTTTCTTTAAATTATTTCTGGAATCTTCGAGTTTTGATGATTTAACAATTGATAAGGGAATGTCATCCGCAATCAGGGGGCCTTTTCAAAAGTGGCTATTAACACATTTACTCATTACCAAATCCGTCTTTATCGCATAGCTAAATACTCCTTTGACTGATGAGTATTTCCAACTACTGCTGGTTTTCAGTGTAAAGTTTAAAATCGTTAGCACATAGAAGATATGTGTAAGTCTCTCTGCCTTTGACATTTATTTTGAATTCAACCTGCATCTCGTTCAGTATCTAAGTAAACCCAACAAGGGCTTTGGGCACTCCACCGAAATATTCCTCGTTTTGTATGTTTTTCTCCAATAGTTCTGTTGCTAATGTGCACTTTTTGGTATTGACAGAATCGTTTATTAACTTGCATGCTGCCGTAAGTATTTTCCGGCAACCTTTTTTTTCTAAATGACACGGGGCGTTTAATAAATAGTGATCTAATTTTATATTATTGACATGAGCAATTTATAGAAAACCCACAGACAATTTATAGACCGATAGTTGCTTTGGTCTTTGGGTATCCTACCTTTTTAGGGATGAAGATACGTTTTATTTGCCATTAAAAACTTTTATGTTATGTTGAACGTGTGGGCCAATGGAGCGTGATTTTCCGTAAAAATTTTCAACCAGAAATTTTGCATTTGGTTCGGCTCACCCGATTTCCATTATTAAAGCATTTGTTTATAATTATGAGGAGCATACCCGAGATTCTTTCCTCCTATGGGTAAATTCAACCAATGTCGAGGTCTGGTTCGCTGTCCTGTCCCCGTATGTTTCTCTAAAGTCCAAACAAAGCCACATGACCAACTTGTTGCTCATCAGTGTTTTGAAGGTCTACTTTTCGCACCTGAGGTGCAGCCTATTTTGTTCCTTGCGTTTCGGTGCTTCATTGCATCTTTTTAACTTGGTTCCTTTTTGCATGTCCTTCTCTAGACATTTTCTCCTCGCGGGAGTTGCAATATTCTGTTTGTTAGAACCGAACTCTGTTCGTACAGTTTGTGGTGAGTAATTGAGGATTGGCTGGCAGTCTAAAACCTAAGAACACTGAAAAAGGAGTTTTCAATATCATCTCTCTGATTCTTGCTCGGGCTCTGAACCCTTGACTTTGACTGTACTAAGTCAGTCATTCTACGTTTAACATCGGAGAAGGAAGTTTAGACGCGAATCCGGATAACAGTTCATCAACTGTTCTGGAAAATCTTAACAAATTTGTCAAAAAATTAATTGTTCGATCTTATATTGGTAGAGGAGTATTTTTATTAGTATTAGTTTTTTTAATTATAAATCTGCCTAACCTCTAGCTTGGTTCAGCCAGGCTATATTTTCCGACGCTGTGCGCGTTTCTCTTTTTTGAAAAGACAATCGACAAAAAGGAACGAGAACGGCACCTAGTCAGTTGCGATTAAACAAGCAAGGTAGGATTTACTTTCCGCGTCGATACATTAATTATTTAAATTTTTTAGCAGAAATTGAATGAAAATTAGTTTAAGCATTATTAGTTACTTTTAATTATTATTAAATTATATGCCCGATATACCTTGTTTTAGGTCGAACTTTTACGAAACAGTCTCTTCCGTACACGCATAAAGGTTTCCCAGGCGCTGGAAAACTTAGTGCAGCACGTCGAGACTTATACCGAGTTCGATCCTTTACTGACGTCCACGCAGCCATCGAATCCGTGGGTCAGCGAAGACACCACGTATTGGCAGCTCAACGCACCTCTGTAAGTTAAAAATACATATTATCATTGACAATTTTCTACGCAGTTATTAAACATTTTTCCAGCTGGGAATACAGTTTATTCTGTAAATTACTGAGTTGCAATAACAATAATAGCAAATAATAACGATAATAACTATAATAGATTAATTGTTTAAATACAGTTAAGATCATTCCACCAAGAACGTTGTTAATGATAACCTGTTTATAGCCAAGCTTGATCATCCGGCCGTGGATGTACTCGGTATCCAGTAAACCGAGTGGATGAATATTGGTCCTCTGTCTAGGTTCACAACTTGTAGGAACAGATCTTCTGGATTTCTTTTACGTTGGGTCTGTTTCGCTCACGTTTCGCTAAACATTCTGTTGAATTCCTCAGAGCGCTGTCTGAAACAGAATCAGCAATTTGTTTGACGGCCATAAATTCTTTCAACATAAGTGAGGTACCCTAACAAAGTTGCGCCCTTGTACTAAATTTTTCAGCATGTTGTCCTTTTGACTCGATGTTAAAATATTTATGAGTAACTCGATATAAGTAGGCGGGACCAACCGAAACCGAAGACAATTTCAGCATCTTCGCAGGTGCAAGCCACAATTTCTGTTTTACTTGTTGAATGCCCCTCTGGCTTATTCAATTCTGCTTTCAATTTCCTTCTCTGAAGACCATTCTTCATAAAGCCAAGTTCCTAGGTACCTAAATTTTTCCACGCGTTCTACAGTTTTTCATGATACATTGTCGTAATTACTTTTTGTTGTTTGATCTACGTGAAGCTTTTTATTGACCTCATATGCATTTGTTTTTTCCCACTGAATCGACTGGGAGAATTATTTTGTACAGCATGTTGTTCTTTTAACTCGATGTTAAAATATTTATATTTATATTTAATATAAGTAGGCCGGACCAACCGAAACCGAAGACAATTTCGGCATCTTCGCAGGTGCAAGCCACAATTTCTGTTTTACTCGTTGACAAGGTGTTCATTTGTTTATTGAAAATTGTATTTAAACAGAGAATTTGATCATATATATTTAGTTTGCTTCGTTTTTTAAGAAATTTGCTTACAGATTATCGAATTTTCACATACATTGCCGTCCATTACCAGATACTAAACGGTCCGCCTGGTTTTAAGTACACAACATGAATTTTAGATCGTGTTTGTTTAGGACCACTGCTATTCATTATACTTACTGTCAACTTACGCATTTAGGTTTGTTTATTTGACTTTAACGTTTGTTTGTTTGGTTGTGAGACAAATTTTGAACGGTCGTATGGTCAGTTTGGTACAGGGAGACCTAAAAACTTAAGTCAAGCAAGGGGGATAAGTATAAGAAAGGCAAACAAATATACAGAGTGCCCGGAAACTACACTTGCAAAGTAATACAGGCAAGGTTCTAAGGGTAATATAAATATAGATTTGCCTTTTTCTAAAATTTAAAGAGTTCAGAGTTCCTCATAGATGGTCCTTAGACATTATTTTTCTGTTCACGTCGCAGTTTTAGTCAATTTGAAACTTAGGTCTTTGTGTTATTTACAAAATTCATTGTGTCGGTTGTTCTTAGATTCGAGTTTTCTTGGAATAACGAATTTGTCTATTAAGCATTGTACATTTAATATAATTAAAAATATCCAAGAATTCTGTTTCTGTACTGCTTCCTTCTAACTGTGTAGTGTGCAGTGTGCAATATTGCAAAATTTTTTAAAACCTTTACCGTTTTTCTTTGATAATTTCCGGAATGCGTGACATGTACAATGTTCCAAAAACATTAAAAAAAGATATTCCTCTTTATCTCACATTGACACTGACACTGTACATACCTCAGTTACGCGATTCTCATCTCATTTATACTTATGGTGAGCCTATACAGCTTGCATTTTTTAATAAAAAATTAATTTATTTCATAACCAATATACATCAAAATTGTAATTATTTTGTACCAATAAAAGTCAATGGACTTGAAATTAATTATTTGGGTTTAGGTTTTGAGCGCAATATTAATTAAATTCATTCATTTGGCCGAAAGTATTTCCAATATCAAATTGGTGCATTATTAAATGCTATTAATATAACGTAAACAGGAAGTCAATTTTACATTTAAATTTATTTGTTACATAAATTGATAAAAATTGATAGAAATTTGCAATTCGTTGTACAATTCGTCCAATATACAGAGTTTCACAAAACTGATGTACCATGCGTTCAATTTATCTTGATAACATTTTAATTAGCTGTAACTTTTTTGTTTTTAGAGACATCAAGGTAAACAAAAAACAAGTAGCCAAGTTTTTTTCCAAGTGCCGTCACTGACTGCAACAACAATAATTATTTACAAATAAAACTAGAATAAAAACACTAAATATGACAAGACACACTAAAGTAAAAAATTTCAAAGAGTGCCGTGACTGACTGCAACAACAATAATTATTTGCAAATAAAACTAGAATAAAAACACTTAAGATGCCAAGACACACTAAAGTAAAAAATTCTTTAACTATTCTAAATACCACCATTTTCCTGACCACATTTGTCATCTCTTTGTCTGATTGATTAACTGATTGAGTGCCTCTGAAATCCTTTGCCGAAGTTCCGACATTATTGCAAGGAGTTCTGTGCACGTGATTTTTTATGTGTCCCCAAAAGAAAAAAATTCATTAAAGTTAAGTCGGGGTTGGTGGCTGACCAATTCATAGTTCCGCAGTTCTCTATCCAACCTCTAGGATAGTCCATCTAAAGAAAATTTTTAACTTGCACAACATTGTAAGGAAGGGCGCCGTCTTGCTGTCATCAGATCTGGTATATTTTGTTCTAGATCTTCTATATATTGTTCAATTTGGTGCTCTAAGAGTTGCAAATAATGATCTCCATTTAACTTTAGATCTATATCGGACCAAAAATATTAATCTATGACACCACACCATACATTAATTGATTGGTCCCCTGGGTTTTTATTTCATGTATTTGTCTTGGATTATGTAAAGACCAATATCGTGTATTTTGTCTGTTGCAACCCTTTCTTGTCGTGAACGAACTTTCATCAATCAATAAAATGTTTTTCGAAAAATTATTATACTCATGGTGTCTATAAAAACCAAAAAAAAAACTGCATCTTCCTTCGACATTGTTCTGCAATTAGTTTCTGAGTTTTACGAATTTAAATGCATTATATATATATATATATATATATATATATATATATATATATATATATATATATATATATATATATATATATATATATATTCTTTCAAACCTATGTTAATTGATCCCCGAGAAATACCTGTCCTGGAAGTGCTTCATAGAATTGTAATATGTAATATGTTATTTTCTTTATTTAAAACATTATGATTGCGGCATACCTTTTTAGCATTTAATCCGTTACCGTTTTCTGCAAATTTCTTTGTCAGCCTTGGAAATATCTGTTTTGAAAGAGCTCGGCGCGCTGGATAAAGTCTAATATACTGACAACGAGCTGCGGTTACACTTTTATTATCCACAAAGTATACTTGAAGCATAACACTTTCGCGGATGCTAAATTCGCGAAAAACCACTTTAACAATAATGACTTGGACAATAATTCAACCTTCAACATTGTTTACTAATATGTCAAACATAGACATGTTTTTATTTGTCAGTTAGGGTACTCTTTCAAATTATTAAAGACATATATAATATACGGGGTGTTCCATTTGAAAAAATTTGATGTAGGCTTATATGTCAGAAAATTGATAATGTTTTGGCTACTAACCCTACATTTTGTTTTTTTTGTTTACGTTGATACCTCTAAAAACAAAAAAGTTACAGCCATTTAAAATGTTATCAAGATAAATTGAACGCACGGCACAGACAGAAACTATATTTTTTTGTAAATAAAAGGCCCTGTAAATTAATACATTTTTAGACTATATAAAAAATTCTGAAATTTTCTATTTAATATTTGAAGTGTTTTGGATATAAAAATTATTTTTAGAAAATTTTACACAAACAGCTATCAAGAAAATAATGAACCATTGCCAATGTGATCACATGAAGTTTCAATTATCGCATAGAGGGTATTTACAAAAATATAAACATTTTTCAAATTTTTTTCTAAAAGTATATTAATATACCATACCTATTTTTTACTGATTCGGAGTTAAAAGCAAAAAAAAAACAATACAATTCAGTTTAAGCAAATGTAACTGCTTTCATTAAGTAAACTTTGGAGAGTAAGTTTTGGCAATGCAATTATATAGTATTCACCAAACAATTTATCAAGAAATGTTATGTTATATTGATATGGTTACAGTAAGAACATGCAGTAAATTCAGTGAGCTGCTAATTTTTTTTTTCTGTTTACTCGTAAACGTGCTTCTATAAGTTGTGCGTTATTACCTTTAAAAGTGTTACCCCTAGTACCTCCTGAAATGATATTTATATTTTTCTCCGTTGGTTATTGATGTATATTTCCCAGTTGCATTATTTTGCAGGCAATTGCCTCTATTAATAAATTTGGTAATAAATCCTATTGCATCCGTATATTTTGCTTTTTAAGCCCTAATTGATTATAAATGGTATGTCATTAGATAAAAAACTTCAGACAATAAAATATTCACCTTTTAAAATTCGTTATTTTAAATATCAGATTTTTATCAAAAATTATTGCAACATGGTTAATTATTTTCATAATATGATTTTTTTTTCTAATTTTCTAATCTATTTATTAATAAAGTTTTAGCTGTCTATATGGGCTATATCATCACGTAAAAGAAACTGACATCTAAAACACAAATTTTAAATTATTGCCAATTTTCAACAATAAGGTCTTCTGGTTCAATAATTTTTTCGGTCTTGCAAACGGTTTTTGAAAACTGGTCTTTTTTGTACATCCTTGCACACGCCATTTTTATTTTTTTTAAATACTTCCCGACCCGCCAGCCCCCCATTTTCAATAGGTCACAGGGCAAAACTGCATGTATGTGCCAAATATGAAATCGATTGGTCCAAATTTCGGACACATAGCAATGTTCAAAAAACAGTCGAAAATCGCGAAGAAAAGTTGGATGCCGGCGTCGGATCGAGGCCATTTCTTACTTATGTACCTCGTGAAGGGTTAAAAAGGAGGCAAACTTTAATGTTGTAGCTCCAACGATTCGAAAGTTATTCAGGAAAAACCAAAAGACCAGAACGGAGAACGGACAGACAAAAAAAATTTTTTTTTTTTGACGGTGATCATTTCTGTACTAACGGACCCATAGGACCTACCGTTACCGAGATATAAAATTTTTATAAAACTTCGATTTCATCAATTTTCGAAAGTAACAGGAATTAATAGAATTGATAGAATGTAGAATGTAGTAGATAGAACATGGGCTAAGAATATGGAACAAAGAAATCGAAGAAGCCATTAAGAAAAAGAAAGTTTCATATTTGAAATATCTACAAACAAAAACAGATGAGAGTAAAGGGCAATATAACCTAGCTCGTAACACTGTCAACAGATTAAGGAAACAAATACAACAACAGTCTTGGGATAAATTCATCAGCAACGTGGAAAACGATATGCATGGACAACAAGCATTTGCTTATAAGGTAATTAGACAACTCAATAAAACTACAAAAGATCAGGCAAGCTTAAATATAATTGACGAACAAGAATGGACTAAACATTACGAATCTCTATGGTATAACCCAGATGCAGTAACACCAGAAGAAACAGAAAACGACGATATTTATGTGGGCGATAGAATAGACATCGAAGAACTTCATGAGGTAATGAAAAAGATGAAAAATAGAAAGGCGGCGGGTCCAGACAACATCAACATGGAACTCTTGAAATATGGAGGACCGATATTAAATCTAAGATTATTGCACCTGTTTAATGAATGCTGGCGAGAGTGCCAAATACCTAAAGAATGGCAAGACACCCAAGTCATATCAATATTCAAAAAAGGGAAGAGAAACGATTGCAACAACTACCGAGGTATGTCTCATGAACTCTATATATAAAATATACTCTAAAATTATCAACAACAGAATAAAAGCAATCTCAGACGCCATTCTATTAGAAGATCAAAATGGGTTTAGGAAAGGAAGATCTTGCACTGACAATGTCTTTACTGTGAAACAAATCATAGAAAACACCGCGAATACAATATTCAAACACACATCGCCTTCATAGATTTTGAGAAGGCATTTGACAGGGTGGACAGGAATCTTTTGTGGAAAATTATGCGCCTCCGAGGATACCCCATACATCTGGTGCGAACAATAAAAACCTTGTACGAAAACACCCAAATAACTCTAAAATTAAACAGTGGCGAATCCAAACCCATAAAGACAAACCAAGGCTTAAAACAAGGATGCAGTCTGTCACCTTCTCTTTTTAATATCTACATTGACCATATCTTGAGAGAATGGAAAAGACAAACAAAGAAGGGAATTAAGATCGACCAGAACGACTATATGAATTCCCTTCTATTCGCAGACGACCTCATACTGATACAAAACAATGAAAATGATCTCCAAAGCTCTATACATAAACTGAATCTACTGTGTAAGGAATACAATATGACAATTTCGAAGGAAAAGACGAAAGTTATGGCCTTTGAAGGTATGTACTCGGTAAGAACAAAGATTGTTCTAGACAATCAACCATTGGAACAGGTGTCTCAGTTCCAGTACCTTGGTTGCGAAGTAGGATATGACAGAGATAATGATATCTCTCAAAAACTACGTAAATTTGAATATATATGTGGAACAATCCAAAGAACATTAAAGAATAAAACAAGGAAAGACACCAGAATAAAATTCTACAAAACTATGGCAACTCCAGTACTCCTATACGGTTGCGAAAGCTGGGTACCAACAAAAGCAGAATATAGCAGAATACAAGCGGCCGAAATGAAATTTTTAAGAGGGGTGAAAGGTTGCACACGACTAGATAGATTTAGAAATGAAGATATCAGAAACGAATTACAAATATTTGCAATGACAGATAAAATAAAAGAATATAGACGCAACTGGAAACAACATGTAGATAGAATGCCTGATGACAGAATCCCGAAAATAATAACAAACTACCAGCCAATAGGCAGAGGAAGTGTAGGTCGACCCCGCCGACGCTGGAGGGATGTATGAAGCCGGAACAGACTATAAGTCTAAACCGTGAAGAGTAGAAGAAGAAGAAGAAGAATGATAAATTTTAACAGCTGGAAAAAATTATAAATCAATTTAACCCCCAGGACTAAAACGTGCGAAAAAGTACCTACAACTGGGCAGAAGTCGAACTGCGAAATTGAATAAAAAATGCGAAATTAAACTGTCGGTTATTGCTAGCAACGCGCAAAAATAAAATTTACGCCGTTCAACTCTAATGATTTATTCATCGAACGGGTTAATCCCTACGATATTTACCCGACATTTCATTGGGAGCGATTTACATTTGATGCAAATTTTATACACTCAAAAGCGTAGGAAAATTAGGACGCCCGAATTTAAATTAACAATCAATTTGGACCGGAAACAATTTAAATGCGATTAGTTTAACGGAAACATACGAAATTTCTGTGGAGTCCGTTTTTTGCCACATTACTTTTAAGAAAACGTGAAATTTGACTAATAATCCGCGGCCCATTCTATGACCAATACACCCTTTATCCCTAAATTTTTTTTTTCTAAATATTTGTTAAAAAAATTAGAATGTTAGTGACCTTGTTCTTTTAAAATTAAATAAGACGCTAGTTTCTCGTTATTCAAAATTATTAATTTAAAATTCAATAATTATTAGTATATTCGAAGCAAAAAGTTAAATATTCTAAAAATTCATAATTTATTAACTTTTTGATAAAATATAAATGATTTTCTTACCTTTTTGCCTTTTGTAATCCTTGTAAAATATTCAAGTTTGAAGCAAAACTTGCTAGCCAACAATACCACGCACGATTAGGTCCAAAAGAAAATAATAATTAGTCTCCTTTAAACTTTACCAAAATATTGCAAGAATATAGAATTGTTCATTTTTTTAGTAGATGCAAATATTTTTGAATACATATGAAACCCGGAATATAACTCTAATTATGAAATGAAATCAATATTCTAGATAGTTTTTGAATGTGCGAAGATGGCAACACTTAATAGACATTTGACGAACGACCTTTAGTCACGAGTTTGTTTTAGCACGAGCAGAGCGCCGCAGTTCAATTTCATTCAAAACTAACCAAAACTGATAATAATTAATAAAATCAATAACAATTATTTGCCATAATTCCGACGAATTGCATTTTTCTGCAGAGTTGAAGTACCAACAGAAAAACGAGTTAGAAAATGGGGCCTCTCGATGGAAGATTTGCTGTCGGATCCAACTGGGGTTCAGGAATTTACCAACTATCTGAAGAAGGAGAAAAGCGAGGAGAATATACTATTTTGGTTGGCGGTCAATGAATTGAGAAGATCGTCACAATCCCAGATTATTTGGAAAATACAAGACATCTATAAGTATGTAACACCATGACATAGGAAAAAATATCTATTAGCTTACAAACTAAAAATATATTTTCTGCTGCTTTTAAAGCAAAAATTAAAATTTCCATTCACTAATCGTTAAAATCTTTCACCGACAGAAAAAACACAAATATAATCCCGGCTTAACATTTCATTTAAAAAGTACTCAAATTATAAAATATATTTAGTAAAATACAAAAAACAAGTTTTACTTTGTTTTATCCCTTTGTGTTTTTAGTGAATACGTAAAATTGGGATCGCCAAGGGAGGTAAACATAGATAACCAAACGATGGACAAGGTTTTGGAAGGGATGAAGAATAACAGCAGGTTTTGTTTTGACGCTGCTCAAGAACACGTTTACAATTTGCTCCTTAAAAAAGACTGTTATCCGCGATTCATCAGATCTGATTATTACAAGAACTTGCTGGCCAATGGGATCCAACCATTGCAGAAAAAACGGTAAGTTTCCACTTTGAATGGTTAAAAACGTATATGTATCGGGTTTAATTTTAGTAAAAAGTAAAGTAATAAAAATTAAATGAGTAATAATAAAATACAGACTAATTTTGGACAGTCAATAATATTAACAGACAATAATATTATACAAACCAGTTTTGGAAAGTCAATAATATTTATATTTTAGTCACTAAAATCGTTTTTGAAAATATTAATTTTATTTTTGACTAAGGAGTTTGATCCCAATAGAAAATATGACTAGGCTAATGCAGAGCATAGTAAAAATTAAATATTTGAATTTTAAGGTTTTGTTTTAACCTCAGTAAAACACGCGACCAGAATTGCAACACTTTGGTTCTTTAACACAGAGAACCAAAGATGCTTGCTGTACGTTTCAGGACTGTCTTCAAAGTGCTGGAAAATATCTAGCTGCCTTTCTTTACTGAGTATCTGACGACGTGTTTTCTTTTTGTAATGCAGGCTTAACTGCCTCCTAAACTGATGGTAGATTTTGTAAAATATTTTTTCTATTCCGTTCTGTAAAATGCCTAATTATACAGCCATCTAGTGAGCGTAAGTTTCGTTTCCCACGGATCCGAACCACTTCAAACATTTCTGACGGTCGTAGAAAAAGTATAACATGCAACACGTTTGATTAAATTTTTAAGCCATTCGCTTATTAAGCACTCGCTCCGCTGGGCTCCGCTCGTGCCAAATAATATACACACTTGTTGCATAATATACTATTTTCGCTGGAGTTTGCCTCGATGGAAATTTGTTCAACTAGTTTGTAACAGGTGTAGCTTAAGGGTATATTCTTAGGCTAATTTTATTTCAAAAATAAGCTACATACTGAAGATGAAATAATAAAGAAACGCGTATTTGTAGACCTCTCTTATTATATATCGTTGAATTCGGCTTTCAATGGTTTATTTAGACATAGCATATCGGTGTTTGCATTTGAAAAAAACGACAAAGTGTTAGGGACAAATCGCACGTTCCGGCAACATCGCATACAACCTACACCGCAACATCACAGCTGAGAATGAACCGTTTCATTTTTGCGTTCTGTGTTGCTTTCAAGGTCTGTGTTCGACCCGGGTTCATAACAATATATTGTCAAGTCAATAGGTGTACGGTTCATTTCAACTCAAAAATCACAAGAAATTAAGCTACGAATTTAGAAATCGGACTCAGGTGGCTTTTACTTGATGAAAATCCATTTAACACAAATTAAATTAGAACAAAAAATGTTCAGATTTTCACAGTTTTTAATGCTTTATGGCAGCTGTTTCGTGCCAAATACTGATAAAGGCCCGGTATTGCCGAAATAGCTATCATAAAGCATTAAAAACTGTGAAAATCTGAACATTTTTTGTTCTAATTTGTTTGTTGTAATTTATTCTAAGTTGTAACATTAAACCACTCGACACAAAGATTTTTTTTTATTTAAAAATCTAAGTTTTGCAAAATAAATAAACGACCAGGGTATCTTTTTTTATACGCGAAGAGAATTTTAAGCAAGATTGAAAAGCTCAGTTTAATCAGTTTAAATATCGGGCCAATAATGAAGATGAACGTCAACAATTCCAAAACGTTACGTTTACATCTCATACTGTTATACACCGTAGTACTAAATCAGTATTAATATACACGGTGTTCCATTTAAAATATAAAAGTTAGTAGTGACCACAGCGAAATGCAACTTTTGTGTTTCCCTTTTTGTTGAATCTCTTCTAGCTGCTGAGATAAGGTAGTGATACTTCATAATCGGGTCACCCTGTAATAGCTGATAAGTGGTTTATCAAAGTATTGATTTGGCCTCTTGCATTTCTGCAAAACTTGAAGCTTGATTTGCTCTACGTTTTATACCTTCTGCACTTGTTATTAGTTTATCGTAATGGGAGTCAATTAACTGACATAAGGTAATGATTATAAATTCAAGTTCCTAGATCTCGTTGCACAATTTAACAATGACCTTTATTCTCGTAAAAGCTTAGAAGTTATTTCCATTCAAAGTTCCTCGTATATTCGCATCGTTACTTTAAAAATACGAAAGTTTCTAGATGCAAGTAGATTTCGTACAACGTCTCCCGGAACACAAAAGATGAATAAAATTTTATTACAAGGTAGAGAGAAAAATACTACTTCGCTCTTATGGTACAAAACATATTAAATTGTGTGCACATATTAAACACAGAAATAAGAACTTTGTCCTACGTATTTCGAATACCTCGCTGGATGTGGCACCCTGCCAACCAAATTTTGTTCTCGCCATATGTTCTGATAACAAAGATATGCGTCTGAAATGTATAGAAATATGTGGGACGCCTTTTTAAATTTTCACGCCCACATTTTCAATAGAGATATCGGAATAAATACGCGAATTTCCCTTCGAAAGAGATTGAAAATTGTGCATCCAGTAGTTTATTGCTTTTCAGATACACGCGAACTTGAAACGATTTCGGTTTTAGGGATTTATATATAATTTGCCACAATTTACGAAGTTCATAGGTTCAAATAAATTCAAAACAGACCTATACGCAACAAAACATACTTACTTCAAAATCGACTAATTTATTTTTGAAAATGGAAGACTGGATTTTTTCTATAAAATTACTACAGGCACAAAAAATTGATTTTTGCTGAGAAGTACATATCTTTCCAGAATTTATCATACAGATTTTTCGCATTTTGATATTCATCGTATATTTAGCAAATGGACGTCTTATTACCTAACCTGATATTTGCTACCACTATCACCAAACAAAACTAACCCGATATTTACATCCAGGTGTAATGGATATATTAAAGTTGTTTTAAGAACAGTTTTCGTTTGGTTGCTTTTATTTTGGTGTTATTTAGCTTAAAATAAGAAAAAAGATTCATAGAAACATGGGTCTTAAAACTTTTTGTTGCCAAATGCATGACGTCAATATTGCAAGATTTTTTTGGTACCTGTTAATGATGTTAAACGTTCTTCAATTATTTCCAGAGTTGATACTTTAATCCTCTCTGTTTAATTTGGCAACAACTAGCTATTTATGTATTTAGATCCGCTACGGGTCGCCCGTCAAACTTCTAGCCCACAGCGCCATTGTCACTTTCCGATCAAATTATAGACAGGATTTTTTCTACAACACGCGTTTTTATAACAAATTTTGAATCAAATTTAAATAACTCATTTGTGTAAAAAATCACACAAAAAACTTAAAAAGGGAAACTTTGTACTTTTCATGCGATTGTAGAAGGTTAGTGTATTATGCAACAAGTGTGGTAACCGTTAGTTTTTGAGTATATTTTCGCAAAACAACACGAATACATTGACTGACATGACCATCAGAATTCACAAAAGTCAAAATTCAAGCCGTGCAGTAAAATCTCCGAAAACATCTGACTGTTCGCAAACCCGTTCGGTAATATCCCGGAAATGTCCGAAGTGACTTGGTTCCGTGGGACAAGAAACTCACGTGGTAAAGTGACGTTTCCCGCACGCTAGATTGGTGTATAATTAGAAATTTTACTGAAGGGAGTAGAAAATAGTATATTATGTAACAAGTGCGGTAAACGGCATTTGACTCGCGAGTTTATTTGACACAAGCGGAGCGAGTTTTTAATAAACGAGTGAGATAAAAAGTTTACCGAACGTGTTGCATACTACACTTTTTCTACGACCGTTAATTTTTGGGTACATTTTCGCAAAACACGAATACATTCACTGACATGACCGTCAGAATTGACAAATGTCAAAATTCAAAGCGTGGGAAATATCTCCGAAAACATCCGATTGCTCCCAAATCCGTGCGGTAAAATCCCGGAAATGTCCGAACTGGCTCGAATTCATGGGAAACGAAACTGACGTGGTAAAGTGACGCTTTCCGCACGCTAGATCGATGTGTAATTACGTATTTTACAGACAACAAAAAAGTGGTCTATTGTGGAAATGGATACTATTCCATTTAGGTAGTAGAGTTTTTGAAGTGCAATATGTGCACCAAATGCAAAAATCAATTTGTTATTATATTTTAAATTGTAGTAGAAAAAAAAATGGTTAAAACCGTAACACCCTACGCAGCTCGCCCTACCTGGAATACCAATAAAACGTGAGACCTGAATTTTAAAATCAACCGTTTTGTTACAAATAAATAATTTCTTCCTAAAATCCTAATTATGCCTTGATCAAGCGTAGCGCAAAGTCGTTAACCACGTTCTCGAGCCAAATCGAATGATACCCGTACTTGAGTCACTCATTTATTAAACACTCGCGCCGCTAACTCGTGACTAAATCGTGGACATTTTTGCTTAATGTGCTTTTTCGCTTTTATCTCTAAATCGGTAGACTCAACTTGAGGAAAACATCCGTATCACCAAAAAGTTGCCAAGTTTAACAGAGAACGGTTTACTAGAAAACAGATGGGGAGCACAAAAAACTTGGAATCTGTTAAATTGAGTGCCATCCCCAAAAAATTCGTCAACCACTAGTTATACTTTTAATAACTTGTAATAACCTCAACACTTTCGATATATACTGGAGGTACCAAACTTCATTAATTTGAAAATTGTGAGAGAAAACTAAAGGTACACAAAAGTCGTACATGCGTATCTGAAATTTAATGCGTATCTGAAATTGAGAGACTACACAATAAGAAAATAAGTTGCCCGAATGCGAACATCAAAAGGCTCTCGGATAACATGGTTTAGTTGTAAAACTATAGGCTATAGCGCTTAATCTTTTCATATTTCCTTTTTGCAATTTTAGATTTTTTGGATTCGGTCAAACCAGGAAAAAGGTCTCATCGAGCACTACTTCTAATCCAACCCAAACTCAACAGATGGGCGGAGTCGCTGGTGCGTGTGGCCCCCTAAGTAAACGTCGCGGTAGCGATCGGAGCCTTTCAGGTTCCGCTCACGAAATTTCACATTTTGGTGTAGGTGGTGGTGTATCGGCTAACATCGTCAAGGAATCAAAGGTGCCCCATTCCCATTCGCAGAGCAATTTGAGCGATATTCCTTATAGGTAAGAAAGTAGGTGTACGTTTTAGATGCGCTAGCATGTCACGGACGTATGAAGAAATAACAATTAAGCTAAATCCAATTGGTATAAAAAAAACATTTTAATATGCATTTGCTCTAAATGCAAATGCAAATCTTTGGTATAGGCGCTAAAGCCAGTGCCGCTGATTGCTCTTCTGTATTTCTTTATACTTCGATTAACGCATCCATTATAGCTGCTGCAAAGTTAGGCTGCGAACCAACAAGTGCCCTGCAGGCTGCACTGCGCATGGCTTGTCATGGCGGTCAGTGTAGATGCGATGTGGACAGTGGTTCAACAAAGCTGATTTTAGAACCAATTCTTGTTAAAAATGACGCCCTCGCGTCGCGTTTCGCTAGCCACGATTTGTGAAGCGTCTGGAGTCAATAGAGAAATATAATATTATTTTGTTTTCTTATACGAATTTCCCAAAAAATAAAAAGTGTTTAACAGTGAAACTGGAAATTTAAATCGCAAAATATTTTATCGGTCGAAAAAATATACTTTATCTCCCCGAGAGAATGTCAACTTTGCAAACAATTTTTGGTTACGGGATTTTCGGCATTGGAGATGGCATTTTTTTTATGTCTTTAGTTTTATTTACAGGCGCAACTAACGAAAAATTGTTGGGTCATTATTGTTCTACTAAAGTAATTTTCATGCATTCTAATAACACTGTCAGCGAAACATACATAATGTTTAACAATAATTGACACATTCTCGCACTTTTCAAAGTAAAAAAATATATACTACCTAACATTTTATTTCATCTTCGAATTTTGATTATTGATAAAATCTTCCACGTATCCTTCGGTTAGGTACAAGATCTCAATCCTACGTACAATTTCAAACTATACATTTATATCAGCCCCCATATTAGCAAGAAGTGTGGCTGAAGTTTTTCGAAAACAATGACCAGGGTAGGTATCAGAATTTGGTAATTTTAAGTGTTTTGCTATTAAATTATGCATTTTTCCAATACAATTTATTCCGGTTATGGGTAAAACATGTTTTATTTTTATAGTTCAAAAACTAACTAAACTAACCACAGTTGCCCAGCGCACGAGTTGCCTACAAAAAAATGTATAGTACTTAAAATTGTTCTAAAATAAGTTTAGTTTAAAAAATAGTATGGAACTGGCTTAAAATGTTTTTTTTATATCAAGTAGTCACTGTAACTATAGAACTAAAGTGACTTTTTGCTCCTCTCAATTTTCCAGTTTATCGTTAGTAAGCAGTACCCCATCTCATTGGATAGTTGTGGCGACTTCATTAATTTATTTTTTTTATTGGAGAAATCGAGGCGCCAGTATCAAAATGCATGTCAGCTAAAAGTGGTGTGAAGCAAACGAAACAGGAACAATATCGGGAAATATGCTGTTGCCATATTTTGCAGGAAAGTCTAAAAAGTCTTCCACGTTATGGGCAATATATTCTACACTGTAATAAACATTTAATGTTAAGGAAACCGCAGATTTAAAAAAAAAACTAAGCTGGTGCCATATTTGGATATTTCAAGTGCTTACTGTCGTGAGGTTTTCACTAAAATGGCCGTCGATGACACAGACGATAAAAAGTCCATATTGGTTTTTAATGTACCATATAAAAAAAACGATTTTTTCCAGCTTCATATTTCGATTATATTGTTAAGTTTTGCAACCGACTAACATGGTTCGGGTTGGACAAACGCAAAGGTAAAATCAAATAAGTCGCTTCGCGTAAAACTTAAAAGAAATTAAAATGAATTTTGTCCAAAATAACAAAATCACTAACCATTTATGGTTAAAAATGTATGTAATGTCGATTATTTACATTTACGAGGTCCGGCTTCTCTTTTCAACTAACTGCAAACGAGCGCGACATTCCCCTTTTGTAAAACGCAGCACCTGCTCACAATAGGGGTGCGCATGTCCGAGGAGTTCTTGAAATACGATATGACATTTGTCATACTTTGACAAGTGTTAATTATTGTTAAACATTTAGTCATATAAGATTTCTTGAATTTTTGCTTACACGGTGTCATTGTAATGTAGAAAAATATAAGTTCTCGATCACCAAACTAGCATAGAGGTATTTCGAGCACTAGATGCAAAAATAACTATTTCAGTTTTGAACTTTTTTTTTAGTTTTGTATTCATTTGGTCTCAGAAAAGGTTGGTGGGTAAATTTACTTATCGGCAATCCTGATAATATTTTGTTGAAAAATTATTGCTACTGGTTCATCTGTGAAAAGAGCCAAAAATTTCGTTTCGTTTTTCTCCTTTTCTGATTTTTTTACAGTTTCAAATAAACTCTTTTATTATCTTTTTAATGATATATCTAATTCAAGTGACCCTATATTATTTGTTACATTTATTTTTAGTATAAATGTATGTTTCACTGAAGCCGCAAGTTCATGCTTTAATCATTGATTTAATGAAACAAATATATAGAAAACATATAAAGTTTTGTTTAAGTGTCAAAGAACACTTTTCGTAAATTCATAATTATCCCAGTCACGCATACACAATTTAGATGTAGGTAGAATAGTAGATGTAATGCTTCCTTCCAGGGGGGACCTAGACCTGAACAAATGCAGTTCCGTGGCTACTGTGGCGCGCGCCACTGCTACGAACTTTTCCAGCCCGTAAGTTCTCGAACCGAAACAGCAGATTGCGGTTATTTGATTGTCAGTATTGTTTGTTGATGTTATTTGTACAGAGATTTGTCCCGTCATCGAAAAGATGATACTTCACTCGTGTTTTTTCTTTATGCAATTGATGTCGTTTTGTGCATTCGTTAATAGCTACGTATACCATCATTTACATTTTGTATCGAAAATTGTTACACAGTATCGAATCAAAAAATTTTCTCTAACAATGAAAATCTAGTCTGCATCACATGATTTTTTTCATGTTATTTATGGGTATTACGTTCTGCTCCGCTACAAAAAATCATGTGCACTGTATCTGACATTTTCCAAACAAAGAAAAATTGTTTTTAAAGCTAGTTTATATGCACCTAAAAGGTCTGAGCAATCTACGATAAATCTATCAAGTTTCTTAATTTAAATAACTTTATTATACCTAAGTAGGTCAAAAATAATTTGTACTTGTAAAATTTGTATTCTAGTCTAGTGAATGAATTGACGGAATAGCCCTCCCTCATTTTTACAAAAATTATAGTATAAATGTGTAGAAACATTCCCAAATTCTTCAAAAGTAGATATGACCTTTGTACATACAAAGTAGTTCCAATAACCGATTTAACACTTTTTCGCAAAACGCAAAATTTTTAAAATCACCACCAAACTCACCAATCACCTTCATTGCCACGTGAAGGGGTGCTTTCAGGTTGACCAAAGGCCAAACGAACAAATCGATTACAGAGTCACTTAACGTCACGAGGTGACATTAGCAATCTAAATGTACATTTGCTAAACGGACTGAAGTTAATGTCGTGTGGTCTATTAAATATTGAACTGAAAATTACGTAAATATTCCTACATATGAACCGTGTGTAAATAATCCTTAATATATCGCATGTGCATTTAGTGCATTACCTACAAATCCAAATCGTCAATCTTAATACTTATTAAATAAATAAATATCTACTGTAAATACTTCTGGTGCAAAAATAATAAATTTAAAATGGCAATGGGATTGGTGTGCGTTTATAATGTGACTTCCTTTCGCAATCAGGCTAAAATACGTTATATCCTATTATAGTTGCCAAATATATAACTAGTTTTTTAGCAAAAAATAATTTCTGAATATGCTAACAACGATTTTAAAATCTGACTTCTGACGAAAATGACATACATGCTATTGACAATGTTAAAATAATCACCATAATAATGTATACTGTGTTTAAACTAGACCTGAACTAAATTATTTGTAGTACCCATATTGGGATGTTAAAAGTATATTAGGATTTTTTTTTGTAAATCTAAGAGCTTTGCATTTTTTTTTCACTTTTGAGAAATTTTTACAGATTCTGCTACAGGACTTATCCTTATTGACACTCAAATTGATGTGTAAACCCTGTATAAAATATGTGTAGCCAAGTTAACACTCAATTCTATCCACTTGCAAAGACCCAAACTCCAAGACCGTCTGGGGAGGTATATGCTTTTTAAAATAGAAATTATAATTTTTTCTTCGATTCGTATATTTTGAGTAATAATAATCATCATCTGGTCTTCCTGTTCTTTTTTCGATAGGTTCCCAATGATCTGCGTCCTTTTTTTCCTACAATAATCTAAATACAGTCTTTTCAATTTTCAGAACTATCTGATCTGAAATGTTGTAATGTTGTAATGCTGAAAATTTTAAATTGTTTCATGTTCGCCACGAACTATACGCAAATTCAAACATTTTTCTCATTTTCGTTTGTTTCCTTTGTGTTTTTCTGATATTTTTAACGTAAATATTAAATTGTAAAATGGTTCAATTTATATATCCGAGGGCACAGCAATTTTAGAAAAGTGTTCAAAAATATTACAGGCTTACTATGTTCTGCTCGCTCAACTCATAGATCCTAGATTTTAAAAATTTTCATCAGAAAAACTTACCCTTGAAGCATGTATTACCTATTTATGCTTAATAATGATATATAAGTGGCCCAAAATCCGAGGAAATGTATGTGAATTAGATACATTTGATTGAAGGCTACGGACTTACACTAGATTTTTTTTTTAATTTGTGACACTGTATACTCAAAATTTACTGCGGATATTCAGGTCAAATTTAAACACGCCGTTGAAGGCCCTACGTAAAACTTTAAATAACATAATGTTGATCGTTAACTACAATTTACTTGCGGCAAAGGATAAAGCGTGCCCTAACTAGACTGCACGTAATTAAGTTTGAACCCTGCAGGCCGGTAAACCAAAATGTCACCCTTAACAAACTCAACTAAAGGGACTTCAAAAATTCGGATTTTTATTTGCGGTCGGAAGAACGTGTAAAGTCCAAATACCACCATGTGAGGCGCAATTTTACTTAATTGAAAACCTCTTATTGATGCAACTTTGATATTCATTCGTTTTGGTTATGTTTCGAATCCAAAAAGTGAACTAAACGTAGAACCCGACACAGAAACGTGGTTGGAAATTCAAGCATCTTCAAAAAGTTCGACATGTTTATTATGTGAATACAATAAAGATTAATAGAAAAAAATAATTTAATAGCAAAAAGTTGTGTGGTCTTCACAATCCAAGCGAACACTTACTGACAAAATTAGTATTGTTCATAAAGTTATTTCGGCAATATAATTTGATCACAGGAATAGAATTGCCTGTCCAAAAATGTATAGAATTTTCTACTAAAAATTGTGTAAGTACAAAAAAACATTGACTTGCAAAACCAAATAGACGAGGTTCCTTAATGGCATGTAAATAAAGCGACAATTCTTCAGCTGTTTATATGATTTTTTTTCTTAGAATGAGCTCACGATTAATTCCTTTCACCCCCACCTTTAGGAAACGTCTTGTATGTAAGTGTGATATGCTATTGCTAAAGAGAAGTCTTGAAACTCCCTGTATATTGTTTGCAAGGAAACACGAATACATTAACTGAGTGATGCCTGACATGACCGTCAGAACTGACAAATTTCAAAATTCGAGCCATGGGTAATATTTCCGAAAACATCCGATTTCTCCCAAACCCGTACGTTAATTATTGGGCGATAGTTCATAATAAGTATATTATACAACAAGGGTGATAAACGGCATTTGAGTCACGAAAAAAAGTTTATCAAACGTGTGGCGTGGATACTATACTTTTTCTACGACTATTAGTTTTTGGGTACATTTTTGTAAAACAACACGAATACATTCACTAGCATGACCGTTAGAAATGACAAACGTCAAAATTCAAGGCGTGGGAAATATCTCCGAAAACATCCGATTGCTCCCAAACCCGTGCGGTAAAATCCCGGAAATGTCCGAAGTGGAAACGAAACTCACGTAATAAAATGACACTTTCCGCACGCTAAATCTATGTATTATTGGTTTTTTTTTCAACACCATAATTTAACCGATATTCTACGATTGAACAATGAAACGATATAACGATATTTTATAATATTTTCACACATGTAAGGCTGGTTGTAGGTAATTTCATGTAAAATCCCTAAACTAGGAAATCAACTTATTTTAGGAAACGAAAAAAACTTCCAAACAAAGCGGGGACACCGCTTGACAATAAAATTGGAGTAAAATCGTTTCATCCTGATTCGCAATGCCAGACGGCCAATAAAACAGCCCAAGATTTAGGTACTCTAGATAATGGATCGCCATGCACTTGCTGTAACATTGTGAGTGTTACAATTATAGATTCCGCATGAAACAAGAAAAATAATTTTCTTATACAAAAATTTTCTCCACGCTTTCGCTTCTTCGAAATTCGTGTTTGACTCTTTTTTGTTAAAGCAAAATCATTTATTGAGAAAAGCCATTCGGAATATTTAAATTTATATAAAAAATATTTAGTAAGTATTAAAATGTATTCATTTTCTGAAAATTCTTGGTCTCTTCATTTCTCAAAAATTAGGTTTATATAGGGACTAATTTTTATAAAAATTGGTTTACACCCATTTTAAGTTGACAGCGCCATTAAGATGATGACCACCATAACAATAATATTATGGAAAGTTAAAATCGATTCGATTTGAAAACCATAGACGCAAGTAAGTTTACTTCTATTTTTGGCTTTGCTAATTTCTAATTTGGTTCTCCGCATATTTAGATTTAGAGTTGCGAAAAGATAAGATATCACCAAGTTCCTGTCTACCTTTCCGCCTAGTAGATTTTTCAGCGAAGATAGGTGCATATCATCCAAAATAATGATTAGAATTATTTTTTCTCCTCCTTTCACTATAATGTCCAATTAAACACCGATCTAGTGCGCAGAAAGTGTCACCTTACCACTAGTTTATTAAGCACTCCCCCGCTACTCTACGCTCGTGCCAAATGAACTCGTGACTCAAATGCCGTTTATCACACCTGCTGCATAGTATACTATAGAAAGAAAAGAATCAATTAATTAGCGGAAATTATATGGCAATATAGTGTTTCTCCAATGACAAAATACTTAAACAATACATAGACTGAGCGGCAAGACAGAACAGTATGACCAGCCAATCGCCCAGATCTTACTGTTGCACATATTTTTTTGTAGGGAGTTTTTGAGAAAATATGTTTTGGGCGGTGTAACAATATTAATGAGTACTTTTTATAAAACTTCTGGATCCTCCTGGATCGGTTTTTGTTGAACTAGCTAACGTTTCGCCAATCATTATGTTGGCTTCTTCAGAACTTGACTGAAACTGACTCGCATTTTATTTACCCTGTACCTGGTTTTAAATTGTTTGTGGTGGGAGAAACCCTTGACAAAAAAATAAGTGCAATATATAATATAATTTGTCAAAATAAATAAGAACTAAAAGTTCAGATTTCAACGAAATTATATATTATGACATGACAATTGTTTCGACAACACCGTGTCTACGGTATATATAGTAGCAGGTAGTTTGTAAATATTACATTTGATAAAAACACGATGTTGTCGAAACAATTGTCATGTCATAATATATAATTTATTGAAAATCTGAACTTTTAGTTCTTATTTATTTTGATAAATGGATTTTCATAAAGTAAAAGCCTCCTCAGTTCAATATAATTTGTAATGTCCCACGACATAACTGCCATAGCTTGGGAGTGTATTGCTTGGGTGATTTCAACGTAAAAATGTTAAATGAACATATAACCGGAGTATTACGGTCGGGTGTTAATATTATTATTAAAAAGCCCAGATGACTGTGAATCTTGCTTGTTTATTTTCGTGTATTACATTAAAATACTTTTCAAGGTACAATGCTTAATTTTTCATTAATTTATATTGTCGACATTATTGATGACCGCCTCATTGGTTATTTACATACGTTTACGATGGCGCACCTCCTCATTTTGGTCGACAAGTAACAGAATTTCTCGTTCGGCAGTTCCTTAGCCAGCAAGGTCACCTGACCTTAATCCCTTAGATTACTTTTTATGGAGAAAGTACGGCAAACATAAGTTTATGCAGAAAGTATTGAAAACAAAACAAATAGTAGCTAGAATTATGGATGCCGCAGAAACTCTCCTGAGATTGTTACTAAAGCTACCACTTCACCACTATGTATAGTGTAACGGTTGGCCATTTTGACCGATTAATTCAAAAAAATAAATCATAAATAATTAAAAAATAATAAAATAAAAAATGGAGGGGTTTCCTTTAAATGTACTTTAAAATTTCAAATGCTTGTAGCTCAGTTAGAACAGCGCGTGTATATGTTCACTTGACATTTTAAAACTTGAAATCACACAACTTTGACATACTGTGCTTTGTTATCACTTCTTGTACGTAAATAAAAATGTAATATTAAATCTACACGTTAACCCTACAACTTTTGTATTACACTTTTTTTTTAATGTAAAACAAACAAACAAAATTTATAGTTTATTATTTATTTTTACTTGGTGGTTTAATTCGATTTTTGTACTGTGCATATGAAGGCTGGAAGACGAATGTCGGATAATTTAGCCAGAAATCAAGTAGCCTGTATTGTAATTTTCTGTATATACTTCTCCATCCACTTGTAGACCTTTTCAACGACGCACCAAAATACTCTTCGCTTTTCACTTTTCAATCGATGCTGCAGTCAACCAACTGTTCTGTCATTTTTGTAACGCAGAGTGAAAAAACCGACCATCGTGCCAGGTGCTTCGACGTCCGAAGAGGTTTGCCCGTGGGATGCCCAATCCTCTCCCATCCGATCTCCTGCATCAACGAGGCTTCGTAAAAATTCGACACATGTCGATTCGGAAAGTTCTTCTTCGGATGTCAGCGTTGGTGCTGCGGAATTGACGGAAAGGGTAAGCATCCAATTGTTATTTGCGTTGGTTTCCACCAACATTTCTAGTGGCCACCTAAAGCTAAGTTACACCTAAAGTGGACCTAGTAGTTCGTTTGATAGAGAGTAGTAAACTGTCCCTTAGGTCACTCTAGGTGACAACCGAACTTAGATCTCCTACAAACGCACCTCTAAATAAACCCAGATTCAAAATTATGTTAAGAATGTGAAAGGAAAAAGCTTTTTGCTTACCACTACCCTAAAATGAATAAGGAGCTGGGATATTTTGAGGATTTTTCAAGTTTCAGGTATACAAACAGTTCCTTCAATAGTTTACTAACTCGCATATTATGATTTAAAAATCTCATCACTCTTGCAAAGGGTGGGTCATATGAGCGTTGTAAGTAATATAATATATAAAAGAAATATAAAATATGCATCCAATTGTTATTTGCGTTGGTTTCCACCAACATTTCTAGTGGCCACCTAAAGCTAAGTTACACCTAAAGTGGACCTAGTAGTTCGTTTGCTAGAGAGTAGTAAACTGTCCTTTAGGTCACTCTAGGTGACAACCGAACTTAGATCTCCGACTAACGCACCTCTAAATAAACCCAGATTTAAAATTATGTTAAGAATGTGAAAGGAAAAAGCTTTTTGCTTACCACTACCCTAAAATGAATAAGGAGCTGGAATTTTTTGAGGATTTTTCAAGTTTCAGGTATACAAACAGTTCCTTCAATAGTTTGCCAAGTGTGAGTCATATGAGCGTTGTTAGTAATATAATATATTCTAAAATATCGAACATTTTGGAAGAAGACGAATTATTACATTGCAACTAATTTCTAATCTTTTTAACTTGCGTGCCCCTTGTGATGTTAAAGTGCCTCATATGTGGTATCCAAGAGGGCGTTTTTCTGTATTTTCCTTTACTATCAATAGGCTATGAGTTTATGAAAAAAAATACATATAGAAATTGCATCCTATCTACAGGACTTGGCGGGTGCAATTCTGCACTGCCTTTCCACACCTTAACTTCATTTTCCATGAAAATTTAATAGGATTTCGACATATTTTGAGAAAATACTGCCGTAAAATTCCGCATCCAAACAGAGACGATCTGTCAGCGGTCATCTTGTTTGTTGAAAGCCGCAAGGTCTTATGGGTCCAACGTCAGAATTTGCCATTAGAGCTGCCATTGGTTAAAAATGAAATTGTAAATCTCGCAACAGCTTTATTATGCCTTTCAAATGTATGTAACATTCGAACATTCACTGAGACCTCTGCTGTAAAAAACGTTAAACTACTTCGGCAGTAAATTTAAGAATAGCTGCGTTGTTTCAATATTAAAGGAAAAGCTTATCAGTTTCAAATCCAAATACAACTGAAATTGTTGGGTCGACGGATATCAGGCTCAAGATACATTAAATAAGAATTATTGATTTATTTCTTTATTTAATTAAAAAAGTCTACCAAACAGGCATCAAGCCCAACTAGCAGATAGGTTGTAGTACAAAGTATTAAATAGTTACAGAGGCATTGCAAGTAATGATGATATTGCGAAACTTAATCTAAAATTTAGACTAACATAAATATTAACTGTAATAAAAACAAGAGAATGGGAAAAGACTGAAAATAGTAATTATAGTTAATGGAACAATAACATTTTAACCTTGGTAATAGATTGCGAAAAAAAGTCCCAATAGCGTCGAGCATTGTACTTAGACCACATTAAGAAAATAGGTGAAAATTTTTAAATATTTGTTCTTGTTGTAGGCAGAAAAAATGGTGTTACTATGTCTAGAGTTAATACGGGGAATCAGAAAAATTAGTCTAGGGTTAGTTATAGGTCAGTGTAATCAAACAAGTTATTTAAAATTTTAAATAAAGTCATTAAATAATGGTAATCATGGCGATCACTACGAAACACATAACCAAATCTATTTAATAATATTTTATATGAAAAACTTTATGGCGATATACTCCGTCCATATTACTTATATCATACATATTTCAAAAACACGCTGAATTTTTTCCAGGCTATTAATGTGACAATTGTACCCAGAAGACCAAACTACTGATGCATACTCCAACTTAGACCTGACGTATGAGTTATACAAAATTCGTATCACTTATAGCTTATAGCATTTTGAGGCTTCTGTCAGTACCTTATCTACATGAGGAACAAAGGATAATTTCGAGTCAAATATTACTCCCATGTCACAAAAAGTGTTAGAACGGGCGAGAGTTTTATCAAAAAGATGATAGTCATATCTATAGACTACATTAGACTTGGCAGTATTAAGTTGCAAGTTATTATTTAAGGATCAATTGTTGATTTGCTACGCTGGAGAGTAAGACAAGCCTCTGAACACCGGATTTAAAAAAAAATACGTGGTTCGCATATATGGAAAAACTGGCATCAAGGTCCTTCTTACCAAAGTCATTAATGACCCCAATATTGAGCCTTGAGGAACGCCTGATGAAGCAATGTATTCATCGGAAGTGTGACCATAGAGATAGACATACTAGTTCGGTTAGACAAATATGAAGAAAACAAATAACAAGGGATTCGGAAAATCCAAACGAGTTTGTGGATTAGAATTTTGTGATCTAGGCTTTTGGAAAATCAAGATATATGACGCCCATTTGAGAACTAGATATGATGAGTGCTCACATGGTTGCCATGGTTACCACTATTCAATTTAGTACAGTTAAAACAATTTAAAACCTGAGGTCCTAATCGCAGCGTTCGTCGTTCAAATTTGCCGCTACGTTAAGCCAGGACACTAGTTACTCCTGTAGCTCATTTAAATATATGTTCAGATATTTACTGAAAAACTAATAAACAGAAAGTTGTACATTCCAGCGCTACCGTGAGCTACATGACGAATTCGAATTAATTTTCTAGTATTAGTTGACCGGAAATTTTATTGCGTGCAGTTATTTTAAAATCATAGAGAAAAGTAATAAAATTACTTCCGAATTAATCTCGCTTAATTTCAAAAATAAAAAATATATACGAAACATAGGGTTGTAGATTTTTATTTCACGTTCCCACAAATTGAATTAATTTTGTATCAGACTGCAAAAGTTACCGTATTCTGGTACTAATTTGTTGCTATTTCCATATAAATTAAACCCTAGAAGCTCCTTACTTAATTCGTTCGCAAAGTTTCAGATGAATCGGAGATTATTGGAAAGTTCCTTTATTACTCTTAGCCATCCGAAATTCTACGATAAAAAATTGCTATTTCAACATCTTTTGAAGTAAATAAGTTTCGAAAGAGGCTATAACGGTTCTTTTAAACAAAATTAATTAAAACTTTTTAATAAGTTCCCTTCCCCAGAATATTGGAATCATTTTGCAAATATAAATTGTGAATACCAGAATCTTCCGTTTCCTAATTAACACGAGTAAAAACTTTTATTGCATTACTTTGATCGCGTAAAAATTGGAAGTGATTTGAAAAGAATATAACTTGACTTCAACGAGGAACAAACATAAAATAAAAGCATTAATTGTTAAAACTATGCCTTAATCAGAAGAATCAATCAACGGTATTTTATAAATAAATAATAAATAAATAAAAATAAGAATCATCCAATCCATTGTATAGTATAGACAATGAGATGCAATATACAGTGAGAGAGGAGTCGCACTCCAACCCTCAAGTTAAGCAGAATTCTGCGTATCTTCAGTTACTTGTAAAAAGGACAATATTACTCATAAAAACAACAATATAATGCAAAAATCAAAAAGAATTCCTTTAATTGCAGGACTGAATCAGTAAATTTCCCTCAACGACATTACCGGCTGTGACTTTTTTTTAAATACTGATGTCATCGAGTTTTAGATTGTTTTCACTCACATACAACTGAAAATAACCGTGCCCGATATTTTTGTTATATTTTTTGTTACCGTGTCTTGTAGTTTTGGTTAGTTTTGGTTAGATAATTTAATTCAACTTTTTTATAAGAAGGAAATCATTCTGTGAACTCTCAATTAATTCCTATGTGTATGAAATATGGATGTGGATGATAAGAGTGTACTCCACAACATTATTGACTGCCTCATTACATCGACTAAGACGATACAGAAAAGAAAACTATTACTGATAAAAAAAGAGAAAAATGTAGTGCAATAGATAGATAATTTGCATATGGCACCGAAAGATTTTGAATATGCTACTGGTAATGAAAATACCTTTTATAATACAGAGTATCTCATAAGTATCTCACATGACTTAACTTCCTTATTTTAAATACAACAATCGGTATTCTTTTGGATCGCTCAGAAAATGTTGTGGTAGGTTCCTTTAGGTTTCCCTATACTTAATCCAAACTACTACTTAGATATCTTGGTTAATTTACAAATTTTGCAAGATGTAACATCGTTTTTAACCATTTTTGACTAGCTGTAATCGTCTGTAACCAATTGGCAATCGTACTTTCGAAATTGATATTGAGCATTCATTTATCCAACGGTTTTTTCGAAAAAAATATTTTAATTGCCATTCTTATGCTTCCGTTGAAAATGTTTACTTCAAAGGTAAAAATCCTAAAGCACAGATGATCTAAGTGCTACGAATCTCTCAACTCCTTTGACGTAAATAAAATAAAAAACATACCAAACTTTATCAACTAGAAAGAATTTTGCGTTTTGATTAACTTTTGCTCACACCCTAAATGAAGAAGACCCAATACACTATATTAAACACAGGCAGAAAAAGAGAATATTAAAAAATGGATTCATCCCTGCCCTCTCTGAATGGTCAACAGTATTAAAGAACCGCAATTAGTAATGTCGACAAATTATCACAAAGTAAACTTTGAAGACCAATATTAAGAAATTGATGCATCTTCACAGCGCACGCAAAGTTGAAAAAATAGTCTACTTACTGAATAAAACGCGATCTCAATTAAAATAATAGAAATTAAGAACATTTCTAGAATTGTACATAAAATTTCTTACTGAAACAGTTCAGCAACCTTATTTCAATATTCGTTTTTGATTGTCAATACCATATTATATTTTTGTACTTCAATTCGGGTAAATGCGAACAAGAAAGTCGATTTTCGTGTTATAATTCTGTTGTTAATGTTTGCCTATACGTTGCAGGTATGGCTCCTAGAAATACTAAGATTTCAGCGCAATAACACCATATTTAACCAAGCAAGATATAAGCATTATATATCAAAATTTCAAACACATACCTCTTAATTAATTTATCCCCTTTATTTATAAAATCCCATATTGGAAAAATTCCAAAATACTCTATCGCTAATGGATTTCACGGCGAGTTAAAATTCAACTATCTTTTCCATTGCAGGTCCAACGTTGCATTCTAACCACCCAACACACAGTCGACAGTGGTAAAAAACTCCATGTAGACCCGTTCGAGACACCCCGTAGGGCCTCGGTATCGGTCCCCATCACCCACTCGTCAGGAACGGAGGGATCGAGACGTAAAGTATCGTCGTTCGAAGACAATAGTTCGGCCACCATAAGCGCCGCGTCCTCGGTGTTCGTTATTCCTAGTGACAAAGACAATAAACTAGAGGACAGTCCAAGTACTAGCGCCAAAACTCTGAGAAAGAGTCACAGTATCGCTAAGACTTGTTCGGTAGGCGGCGCGCCAATTATAAGTGTCAGTTCGGTGGTCGACGACGTCGACACTCAGCCCCTGCTCCAAGTAACAGCTCCGGAAAATCAGGAAATGAGCAAACCACCTACCCCGGAACCCGTAGAAAGGGATGAACCGTCGCCGATCGCGAGTTGCAGTCAGGAACCCATGGCGCCTTTGGCTGAACCGGACAGCGAGTCGCCGGCCAGCGAGTTGCCGCCGTCAGAAATCGTCGCGACAGCTGGCGAAGAGCAGGAAGAGGACGGGGACTTCAATAAGGCCAAGGAAGGAAAAGAAGTCGGTGAGGCAAAAAGCAACGATGTCTGTCCTTGGGAAGACGAGTAAGCTATTGTAACTTAGCCCGGCACCAAACCGCAAATATTTTGCAGGTTTTCAATAGATTTATTTTGCTGAAAATTTGAACCAACGCCGCTTTCGTAACTAGATCACAATTTGTTACCGTGCGTAAAAGATTATACCGTATGTGTCCCCTAAACCCTAAATTTAAAAAAATAGTAACAAAATTGCATTATAATTCTCAAAATGGCGTCGTCATTTTTATATTATATGGAAACCATATTTGACAATTTTGAATAAAAAAATACATAAATATTGTATAACATCGGTCCTGTTATGCTCATTACAATGCTCGTCTACACAGTACACAATATACCCCATTCGTTAATGTAAAGAAGCTCATGTCAAACTAGTAATATAAACGCTTATAACATATTGCATTATTTTGGTATTAGTAGATATATCCTAACAGGCACTGAGGACAAAGTTTTTTTTCTTGTGAAAAATCTTAATTTCGAATTATTGTACTATTTATACAGGGTGTCCCTCCGAGGACTTGGATCTATTATTGAAAAAGTTTATAACGGACCACAATGTAAAGGTTTTACCAAAGTCGAGTAATTTTTTTGATTGAAATTTACAATATCCTTTTTATTTCTCTAAGTTCTAGAAATATTTAAACCTTAACATTTTTCAAAGGAATATTTATTTTCTATAAATAAGAGATAATTCTACTACTTTGTATCTATGTATGTAATTTAGTTAACAAAGATTAATCAAAACCCGGAAATAAAACTATTTGTATATGGTAGGCAGATTATTTCGAGCAAAGCAGAATATTCAATAGACTATTTGTAATAGATCCAAGAACTGCATATTTCTCATCAAGACGTACCCACTTGATGTCCTTTCGTACGGGTACTGCTAATTATTTGTTATTTTTCCAGAGAAAGTTGTAAAGTAGACACCCCGTTCGTCAAGACATACGCAACTTTAGGATACCTCTAACAAATGGTAATGTACATTTAGTACGCCGCTAGCAGTTAAAGACTACACCCCAAAAGGAAATTAGATACGACATTGAAAATTAGGTTGCCGGCAAGATGTTCAAGTGTCTTAGCAACGTTTTAGGAAAAATATATTTGCTTGATTGAATTCCGTGTACACAAGAAATATACAAAAAAATTTAACTATTAAATCTAGTATATTAGTCGTAACCTGAGAATCGAAAAAACAATGGGAATATCAATTTTTTTGGCCCGATGAAACCGAATGGAAATTGATGTTGGTAAAAGCAAGGTCTGTAAGATATGGAGGTGAAGTTGCAGTATTTAGTGCCACCTATTCATGTCGCCGTTTACGATATTGTGTTTTTGATCTCGCTTATAGACGCGATAGTTGCACTTTTGAAATCAAAATCTTGGAACCTAATCGTGTATTTGCTCACATATAGATGCGAAATTGCTACCGCAGTTTTTCATTAACTTCGGTCGTGCCAAACCATTCAGAATTAAAGTTTGTTTTTGAAAAAGCCATTTCCGAGTTGCTTTATTTCAGATCATCGTAGGTATAGTGTTTTACATGAAGAAAAACAGCCAATTTTAACATTCAAATTGTGGGAGTACGATTAAAAATATATCTTTATAATAAAAAGGCAGGAGGCCGATTTTAAAAATAAATGACATTACCAAGAAGCTAACCCTGTCGTGGTAGATGGCGAAATACGTGAGCCCAATTGCCATCCGCCTTCGCCAACCCAGCTCTTTGGTAGAGTCGAATGAAGCCAGAAATTTCCATCAAATTAATGTTATTGTGCAACGTACCTTATAATCGATGTGCACAGCATGCTATATTTATTATTGTCGTTATATATAAGGGGTAGTATTATATACACATAGATATCAAAAAAGATGTAGGCAAAATGGATTAATGGCTGCTCAACGGTGCAGTTTGCAGTCACGAGGGTCCGCATAAAAATGTTTGATGTTTTCGATTTTCGTATTAAATAACCTATAGGCACATACTGATCTTGCATAACTAAAATGATATTCGTTGTAGATGTAGTTCTTTAGTATATGTGGAAGTTGATGTCGTTCAGCGATTTTTCTGGCGGATTTCCCAATTTAATACGGTTCTGAAATCAAGCACACATTCGCTCTGAAGTGGAAGAATCAGATCTATTTATTTTCCTCCGATTAACTTTGAAGGTTTTGTCGAGTTGAAAAGTATAACTCTCTCGCACCTTGAAAAATTGGACATCCGAAATTTTTCGCACACCTTCAAAATTAAATTGAATGATAGATTTGATCTATTACGGGTTTAATGTGTAACGGTCTTGAAGCGAACACATAATTTTCTACATTTATTATTGTTGTTTGGCAATACTTGCTGTCTTCAATGACCAGCTATTAGCAAGCGATTTAATGCCGATGAAAACATATTATGTGCTACAAACCAACAAAATAGATCATAATTTTAAAAATATTTAGATAAAATGTAAACAATGCTGGAAGATGATTAATTCGTTGACTCTTGCTATATGTGGTAGCTATTGCGATAAAACCAATGAACCAAAAGCAGTGGTACTGACTACGTCGTGTATAAAATTGATAGAAAAGAAAATTATAAAGCTTCAGGATCATTACGCAACTATTTTGTCAGTGTCGACATTGCAATAAAATATGTCTGCACCACAATTAAACGAAACGAAATAATTTTCCAATTCTTTTCTTATGTGAGCAAATAACCGGTTCAAAAAAACTATTGCGGTTCCTACTTGTAAAGGCCAACTTCACCGTAATTTTTGGCCTATTGTCGTATCGTTGTTAACCGTAAAACATTGTAGATGGTTGTTATGCTTTGACATTTGTGTAAAAATGGCCTCATGTTATACATAGTTAAAATTTGTAAATAGTGCTCCAGATTTGTCACATAATGCCAAAGTCGGGGTAAAGTACTGAATACTCGATTTTAAGGTGCACAACATCGTGAAGATTCGATAGCTTTTTGAATTTAAGTAAATTTATTGATATTAAAACACTAACAGCAACAATAGCTACATTAACATTCAACATGTAAAGGGTTAAGTAAAAAATGGGACGGTGCTGATAGTATAATGCTGCTATGGATTCGTTGAACAATAATTTTAATTGAGTGCTGTGATAAGCCTTAAACCAAATTGTCAAATTATGTTTTTTAAAGCTATCCAATCTTATGTCAAATTAGAAAGTAAAAGTAGTTAAATAAAAGAATTACAAATTACTGAAATGAAATTCAAATAAGTCGGATAAATATTCAGATAAGATCGCTTATACATTTTGTAACAGATCAAAATTCACTACAAAATGCACATAGATCGTTGATAAGAAGCGATTCTGTTCTAAATGTCGACCGTACTTACGGTCAGTGTAGTTGCACCAGCAGCTATACATATTTTAGTACACGAATTTAGCTATAAATTTTAGAACAGAATTCTTGTAGTCTTTCAAATACACCGTATTAACTACCTAAACAACCTAATATACAAATAATATTAATTTCTGTTTAAAAAAGAGAAATCAAAAAATAATGATGATAATGATAATTAATGCGTCTAAGTTACATTACTATTTTTTACTGAATTTGGCGGTGTGTAACTGATTATTTGAGCTACTTTTATCATAAGTGTAACAACCCTTAGAAATCGGGATTAAGCGAAGAGACGGTAAAGGTTCTGGGCCGTATGGTTGGATTATTCCAGGGTGCAGTTCGACTACATTTAAACATATGTAAGCACAGATATTTTATTTGAAAAGACGAAACGTTCAAATACATCTGGGGTCCAAACAACAAAAACTTAAGATTGTTTCGATGAATTTTTAAATAGGTAACAAAATGCGCCGGAACCTTTACTCGCGATCTACGATGCCAACATGAATGAAAAGTTGTAAACTATAAGCTGCGAGATTCGCTAGTGATGTAAATAGTTTTATATTTAATAGTCATTGTATTATTGATTACGATTAATAATGAAAAAAAATGTTAACAATTAATGTTCTTAAATTTTATTTATTAGACTTGTTAACAGACTAATGTCATTTTAATCTAATGTAGACTGTAAAGTGAAATGGGAATGTGATAATAGTTGTTTTTTATTTTATGACCTGATTAGTCTTATGCTTTGGAATGTAGCACATTTTTGCCATTTAACAAATTGGCATTGTGCGAAGTTTTAATGGGAGGAAATCGTATTAAAAGCTGTAACAAAAAGCTCGCACATAGTGGGCATTGATTGTCCTCCTATATCAATGGCATTCACTTAAGAAAAAAATGCTTTAGTTTTTTTCATTCTTATTGATTCATATTAACAGGTATAAAAAATAATAAGGGTCAACTGTCCCGTAATCAATATTTCAAAGCTGTCGATCTTTAAGTATTAATAATAGAAAAATTTATTTAAAAAAAAACACACTAAACAAAAACAAAATATATTAACATTAACAACTAAACCAAAGACTACAATCATGAATAATAATGGATTCGCCGTATTAGGAGTAATAGCAATGAAAAATTTTGAATGTATAATCATTTTAGGCACTAGTTTGATATCGAACGAGCAGAGGGAGTGCTTAATAAACAAGTAAGCAATTTTTGAGTACATTTTTGCAAAACAACATGAGTACATCGAAATACCATCGGTGGCTAAAATCGACCGAAAACATGCCATCGTACTCAAACCCGTCACTAAATAAACTATCGAAAACATTCTTGATCACGACCATGGTTAACGAATCTGACTTCTCAAAGTGGCACTTTGAACACGCCTAGTGAGTGTATTATTTTAAAGTAGGGAATAGAAAATTAAAATATTATGAAACAAGTACGGCAAACGGTATTTGACTCACGAGTTCGCAAAACGACACGAATACATTCATTGACATGACCGTCAGAATTGACAAACGTCAAAATTCAAGGAGTGGGAAATATCTCCGAAAACATCCAGTTGCTCCCAAGTCCGTGCGGTAATATATATATATATATATATATATATATATATATATATATATATATATATATATATATATATATATATATATATATATATATATATATATATATATATATATAATTTATTGTTGTTTTGATTTGATTTTTCAAGACATACAGTAAGGCAATATTTTTATACGGCTAGTTGTTCTCGGGAAGAACAACTAGCCGTATAAAAATATAATATATAAATATAAAAATATTGCAGAACAAAAGTTAACTAAAAGTAAAGAAATTTGTATTTGAAAATCACATTGAATAGAAAAGTCAAATCTCTCTACATCGATTTTTTACCATAAAACTTTACTAATAAACTGCTTACTACGTAATGTAAGTTTTTTTAATTTATCTCCCATTCACGTAAGTTTGCAACAAAAGTTTCATATCGCTTTAAGATTAAAGATTAAAAATTTAAAATTAAAAAATTATTTAAAATATTGTGGGTGTGGGACTTCCGGTTTACCAGAAATTGACAATTAACTTTTATTTTAAGAGCCTATAAATTTAATGTATTTTTAATTCTAAAACAAATTTGTGTAATGTGGCCTTGTCTATTTCCCACATTACAACGTACCGCATGTCCCAAAATTTCAAAAATAATTTTAAATTTTAAAATGCCATAAACTTTTATTCTTCACTAGGGTGTTGAAGAAGAAATATTTTTCTTTCTTACATTTTTCTTCTTTACTAACATATAGGTATTACTCGAAATCCTAGGATATTTAAAAATGTGATTGGAATGACTATGAAACAATTTTCTTTTTCACTTTTAAACGATTGTTCGCATAAAATGTCCACAACTATTTAATCCCCTTATGAGAGCTCTGACGCTCTCAGTTTTAATAAAGCGAACGGATTGGTTTATTAATATGACCTTTTGTGCTACACGAAAAACTAAACGTGTGGGGAATCTGCAGCTTAAAAGAATTGTGTTAAGTGAATATATAAATTCATATTTAAATTTATTCTGATTTTTTTAAAGAGATAATAATGAAATGGTTTATTGTGGTTATTTTTACATCAGCAGGTAATATAATAAAGTCATCAAAGCCGATTTGAAAGTGATATATGATAATGTATTTAGTGTTATGTTTCGAATACGATAAAAATAATATATCAGCCTTGGATGATGTGGTTGCGATAAAGCAGAAATGCAACAAACATGGAAAAGATGACTCATATGAACGATTAACGGTATGTATACTATATAGCATGTTATATACATATAAACTTAACTCATCTCTTCCGTACCAAAAAGCGACAAATATCTCGCACACAAATTTTGAAATGAAAAACATTTTGCATTCATTTGTCAATAAAATGAGTTTTATGGTAGGGTGGTGATAAAATCGCTACTTTTTTTCATATATATATATATATATATATATATATATATATATATATATATATATATATATATATATATATATATATATATATATATATATATATATATATATATATATATATATATATATATATATATATATATATATATATATATATATATATATATATATATATATATATATATATATATATATATATATATATATATATATATATATATATATATATATATATATATGATGACACTATATTCCGGGATATCATCCGTTCGCTCGTTGAACTCCGACTGGAATCCTGCAAATCCTGCATCCGACTGGAATCCTGCAGACGTTTCGCCAAAATCTCACTTGGCATCTTCAATGCTCGCGCTCCGAAAACACTTCGAGTGTTTTATATATATATATATATATATATATATATATATATATATATATATATATATATATATATATATATATATATGATGACACTATATTCCGGGATATCATCCGTTCGCTCGTTGAACTCCGACTGGAATCCTGCATCCGACTGGAATCCTGCAAATCCTGCATCCGACTGGAATCCTGCAGACGTTTCGCCAAAATCTCACTTGGCATCTTCAATGCTCGCGCTCCGAAAACACTTCGAGTGTTTTATATATATATATATATATATATATATATATATATATATATATATATATATATATATATATATATATATATATATATATATATATATATATATATATATATATATATATATATATATATATATATATATATATATATATTTAGGTCAGTATTTCCTTTTTCCTCGTTTCTTTGGTCGGAGACACTACGATCAGTTTGTCCTGATAACGGTTTTATAGAATACCGATTATCAAATCGAAGTCTTATAAAAACTTTAGACAATGTATATATTGTTTCATACAATGCCTTATAGTTTGACGCATTCTACATAATACCTAATAGTTTTCTATGCAATGCCGGATTTTAAACGTTTTTTCATTCCGTTTCTGTTGTCAAGTTTTCTAGTTATCATTGAAATATTGTAGAAATAATAAACAATGTTAAATTCACGCAACACGGTGACGAATCCCGTGACGCGATGGTGTTTTTATTTGTAATTAGGCAGGTATAGAGGCAATGATTATTTTCAAAACGCTATAAATACATTATTCAATTCAAATTTCTGTAAAGTAACACAAACTCCAAGTATCAGCAAATTAATAAACAAAATTTAGAATTAACCCACCAGCACCAAAAAATTTTATCAGCGGTCATAATCTAGAAACACAGAGCTATTTTAATTTAATTTTAATATTGTTTTTACCCATTATTACCCATAAAAACACTTACTATTCTGAAAAAGCCATAGCTATTCTAAAATCTCCTAGTCTAGATGTTCATTACCGATTTGCTTTCCTACTCTTCCGCAATTTTCAACATTTACGCAAGCTATAGTGGATATCATATATTGATTTCATCAAATCACATAGTTATTCGATATTTAGAGGTCCTGTCCATGCTGATAATCCATGAAGCTCTGATGAATAAAAATTTTGAGATAGGGCGTTTAATATACGCACTCGGTCTTTGGAAATCTCGTTTTCAACCAATAATACCTGTCAGTTTTTATCGCCACTATATTATCTATTAGCTGTATGGTTCAAAGACATTATATTATAAATACATTGACTGAAAACTGTTCACCAGATTTATGAATGGTTCCACACACTCAACAGCACAAAACTAACAACACCTGGGATCAAACTGCGTGATTTAACCGCGAGAATGAGAAAATGGAGTCTCTTTTTATCGTAGTTGATATTAAGACATTCTTTTTCGCAAGGGTATAAGGTTAACACCTCGCAAATAACATAAACACAACGAAACGGGTAGTCTGGTCTCTTCATTGTGCAGTTTCCTATTTAATGACAAATTATAGCACTTTGCCAATTAGACTCTGTAGTAATATTAATTAAGTCGGCGTTGCAGGTACAAAAAATTGTTAAATAAAAGGATGACAATTGACAATGACAAATTACAATTGCGCATAAAAATTGTTCAACCTGATGCATCGTACATATTCTTAATTGCATTTTTAAGGAGGCCATAGAGAAGACTATGACCTGTATCGACGAGATCGTGCATTTTGAGAGTGTGAATGCCGAATTCGAGAAAGCCAGGAAAACAGGTTCTTTGGATGAACTTTTTGGAAAGTACTGCACCAGAAGGCCCGAGTTTCGAAAATGCCTGTCGATGACGACGGATGTCGCCGAGGAATGTCTGTTGCAAAATGAACGGGAGTCGTTAAGTGACATGGGGAAATGGGTCGAACAGATTACAGAGTTTGCCTGTTTTAAAAATGGCGATAGAATTGCAAGTGAGCAAAAAGCCGGGTTCTGTATTTTTCACAAAAGCGCAGCGCAGGTTCTTTGCTATCGAAAATGTGTTGAATAAATAAATTTGGAGAATTTCAACATTTACATTTATATTTTTGCATGATGCAGCGCAAAAAGCGACTAAAATGCTAGCAAAATTCAATTTATTTTATTTCCAATGCCAACGCTTTTTACATTAGGGAATTTTGACATGCTCACAACGCCTCGTGAACGTTTCTACGCTATTCCCTATTTAAAGTGCACAGAATTGTGCCGCTGCAACTCTGATCGCTACTTAACGATAATATATAAGGGTTTCCCCAAACTCGATTGCCTATTACAAGTATATGAAAATGGGTCTTTACACTTCCTTTTTTTAATGTTAGGTTTTATGACAATTCCTGAAGCTTGGGCTATTTTAGAGATAAAAATTATTTTAGAAAATTTAGCAAAAACATCCATTACGAAAAAAATCTACTCGAACCACATAAATAATTATATTTCAATCGTTTTTTACAAAAATCTGAAATTTTGAGAGTCTGCTGTTGTTGGCTGGAGTTTGCAGGATTCTGCACATTTTGCAAAATATGCAACTGTAAATTATACCTCAATTTAAAGGGGAACCGTATTTTATTTCGGAAATAAAGACAACCCATTTCTGACCGTTACCGACCGAGATAAAAGCAAAACACTAGAATCATGCAATTTAAACAAATACGACTGTTTCGGTAGTAAACCTTAGCGATTTATAAAAAAAAATTATGAGTCCAATTTATAATGAATTCTTAATATAATAAACAAAATGGGGTTAAATTAAATGTAATAACTCGTTGATTGAATGTAATTTCGCCATATCAAAATAACGTAAATTTATAAATAAATTAAATTGTTTGATAAATGCTAATGCTAATTGAACTGCCACACTATATTGCCATGGCTTCTAGTGTTTTGCGTTTAACTCCAAACGGTTCAAAATAGTTATTGTATATTGTAATACTTTTAGATCAAGAATGAATAGTTATTTTTATTGCCATAATAAAATACATTTGTATATTTTACAAAATGTGCATAATTTTATAAACTCCCCGCATGCAATACCTAAATGTTATGACAACCTGGCAGGAATTTTAGTTAGGCACATATTTCAATTAATGCGGGGATAATATATTGCCAACCTACCAAAAAAGCGTTCTAAAATTATTGTAATATAGCTTTCGAACCCTGTCTTGGCAAATTTACTGCTCAATTTTAACCTCTTTGGCCTCCAACTTGAGTGAAGAAGATAATCAAAATGTAATTCTAATTCTAATTAGGTAGCATTATTTTAAATAGGTTTAAAGAAAGCATTTCCTATTTGAGTTGTCTACTTACACTTATTATTAGTCGACCTCATAGGTTGTCCTCTAAAACATAATAAATAATTCATAAGTTAAAATTTATTTCTAATCAATTTAAGTAAAAACGAATATAAAATTAAAACGACAACAAATATGAAAAAAGAAAGCTTGAAAATATCACTCATAACATATAACACAAAAATAGCTAGCTAAGCATTGTTGTATAAATACATATGTTGCTTTTACATATATTTGTACTTACACTGCTTGAAACTCGAAGTTAATAATATTACGCAACAAGTGCGGTAAACGGCATTTGATTCACGAGTTTATTTGACACGAGCGGAGCGAGTGTTTAATAAACGAGTGACTTAAAAAGTTTACCGATCGTGTTGCATACTATACTTTTTCTGCGACGGTTAGTTTTTAACACCGCGCGCGGACATTTTCGCAAAACAACAAGAATACGATCACTGACGTGACCGTCAGAATTCACAAACGTCAAATTCAAGCCGTGTGAAATATCTCCGAAAACATCCGATTGCTCCCAAACCCATGCGGTAAAATCCCGGGATTATCCGAAGTGGCTCGGATCGGTGGGAAACGAAACTGACGTGGTAAAGTGGCGCTTCCCGCACGCTGGGTCGGTGTGTAGTTAGGTATTTTACAGACGGGAGTAGAAAAACTATTTATAAAATATATTGTCTTAGCATCTCTAATCAAAACTAAATTTACAAATAGGTACCCAACAACTGAGCTTTATGCAAATATTTATTATTATATTTTTCCTGAATCTAGTAAAATACATATAACAACATTAGTGTGAATTTACCAATATTATCACTTAAAATGGAAACTACAATATTAATTATAAATCTGGAATAATCTCCATAAGTAAAATAAATTTTAATATTATAACTTTTTTTTCCAAGACGAAATAACTGAAAAACCAGAAAAGATAAACAGTTAATAATATAAAATAATCAAAAGAATTTTTAAAACCTACTTAAACACAATATTTGATTTTGTAGTGTTTGTCGCCGAAGGCGGAATAGACTGCTTAATATCTCGAACGAGGGATATATTAAATTGTATAAACGATACCCTAAAATTCGGAGAAGTCCATTTTGATACGACTGACATTGATATCCCAAATATGTCAATTAATAAGGAAAAATGTCGGTAAGTAAATTTTAAAAACTGAAAGTTGTTTATACTTACAGCGTAACCAAAAGGTGAACAAAAGATGATCCCTGATTGGTTGTGTGCTCACTAAAAAATAATACATTGTGATATCTGCGTCTTTTTCTCCATTGTTAAACGCCTTATTATAGTCGCCCTAGTAAAACCCACAACAAATTAGTTTAACAAAACTCAAATATGATAATTTCAAGAGAAAATTATAAAAGTGTGCCATTATTACATTCAAGAAAATAGAAAATCCTTGTCCGTTCAAATGTTTATATTTTCTATGGTTCATTTTGTACCGGTTGTCTGGTAAAATGTCTTTTTGATCTATAGAAAAATGAACCTCTAAAGGGTGCTGCGTTTTTTTATAAATAAAACCACCCATAGAGTTTTCTGTTACAGATTGAAAAAAATTGCTTGTATTTTCTTAGTAATTTATTAAAAATGAAACACTATTGCGTTTGTTACTTTTTTTCGTTAAAAATAGTGCATTTTTCTAAATAAGGATACTTGTTTAATTAAGGCCTCGAGCTACCCAAAAGCATTTTGTTTTAGGTCTTTATCCACATCTGATAAACCGAATATTCTAAAAGGGGCCCCTACTAGTGGCCACCATATTATATTTTCATTAAATTATCTCAAGTTCATTGAAAGTTGTTAAAAAAAACCTATTTGCCAGCGACATCCTTTAGGGACTCCTAAATTTAATTTAAAAAAATTTTATTGAATAAAAAATTCTTGCAGGTAATCAATTCTTCTACGGTACAGTGCAAAACCGTCGATAATTTAAAAGAATATACTTATAGTGTCACGAAATCTTGAACATTAATTACCATGAAAAATTATACTATACAACTTATTCTAACTATTAACCCCTTTTGTAGGGATTTTACAAAGATTCAGGAGTGCATAGTTCAGGACTTGGAGAAGAACTGCATAAAACATACGTCGGCAAATATGGTGGATTCTTTGCTAGAATTCATCAAAAGAAACGCATGCAATTCACCAAAGGAAAAGAGAAGTAAGTATCTTAATTGCGGAATTTATTTAATATTCGTTATTTTTATTTAGTTCATATAGTTATTATTTAATTAATAGTCATTATAATTATATAAAATTAGACATTACAAACATTATTTTTTTAAATATTGTAATAATATAGATTTTGTGTTAACGAAACCAGTAACATCATCAACTGAGCCAAACTAAAATTTTCTTCGCTTTGGTTTTGACGCAAGTATCAAGATTTCCAAGGTCACGATAAATAGCAGATCTCCAAAATTGGTTCACTCTAATTAGACAATTGCCATCCTTGAGGAATCTCGTATGGCCAATGACTCAAATACACGTGCAAAATAAGTTGCAAATCCCTTGTTACTTATATATATATGTAGTTTGTATAAATATGTATATACACAGATATATATACTCTTTAATTGCATTAGAACTACGACTCTCGTCGCCGCCAATGAAGAAAAATCGCTGAATGCGTGCAGCAGCTTATCGCTAAGTCCTAATTTCTGGTAATTAGATAAAACGTCCATAGCCTGGCGTTCAAAGATCACGCCAAATTGACCTTTCGGAAGATATTTCATTCTAAACTGAATAGATTGCAGTCGAAACTATATTTTCTTCTGTATAGTGCAGTGAATTAAGTGTAAAAAATTCAATACATAATGGAACATAAACTTTTTCTGATATTTCTCGCAATAGGTAAGTTACTTTTTATTATCATTTTTGTAGAATAAAATCTGAGATATAGATTGCTAACGATTTGTTGTTGCAATTAAACTAAATACGTGTTCAAAAATCATTTTCACGGGGTATAATAATAATCTAAACGCGTAGCCCGTTTATTATGGGACACATTATCTCAAAACCTACAAAAATAATATATACAGCATGCTTTTATGTCCATAGAAAAGCGACAACTTTCTTATTTTAAATAAAACACCCTGTACATTAAGGCATTTTTTATTTCCCTGGAATGATTGAACACACTTCAGCTCTAATATCTCATACTTGTGTTTTTAAGCTTTTAACATATTTTGAATTTTATGTCGACAGTGACATTTGCAACTTTAATATCTATCGATTTCCGCTATTGCAATTTGGGCGTTGATTATTATTATAAAAGGATAGCCGCTTCTGATGTTTTTAAAATAAATCGTTAAAATGGTATCATATTTAGCATTCCAAAAAGTGTGACTTTATATAACCTATTTCAAAAACGTGTAGATTTTGGGACATAAGCGTGTGTATAAAATTTTATAAAATACTACTTCGATGAACAGTCATTCATTTATAATTATGTTTCTCGTATAGGTGTCAGTTATGCTGAAATAGACTTATCGAATCCGCCGAAAGTAAATATTGATGATTTGCCGTTGATAAAGGAGAAATGTGAAAAACAAGGAAAACCTGAAACTTATGGGAAACTAAAAGTATGTACAGAATAGATAGCTGACGCTAAAAGTTATTAAGCAATTCAAACAATATATTATTTAAAACTATGCTTATATGCTTATACTTATTTTTATTGTTATTATTTCTGAATTCTTATTGTTTAATTAGCAACTTTGATCCTATTTATTGTTTTTTATTGATGTTAAGCATTGTTTTATTTTTCTGGATAGTAATGATTCACACCTATTAGGAGATTGGGTTCGTGGCCCAATTTACACTGGTTATTATTTAAAAAATTGTACATGTTCACTAACCCTATATTTTAGGAAAAAATTCAGGAAACCAAAACCTGTATCGAAGGTTTAATCGATATTAACGGCATAAAAAACGAAATTGAAGAGTCTAAGAAAACGGGATCGATGGACGAAGTGTTTGGAAAATATTGCAACAGACGCCCGCAATTGAAGGAGTGCATTCAAAAAAGCGTCGACGTAGCCAAAGAGTGCATGGAAGAAAGTGAAAAGCAGGCGCTCAATGTAACCGCAGATTTGCTCGAGGAAATTGGAAACTTTGCTTGTTTCCACGATGGGGATAGACTTGCCAGTAAGCAATAAACAAGGCAACACTTTTTACGAAATTTTATAATCTACAAGACGTTTGGCAACTTTGATACAATACTGATAAGAAATTTGATTTTTTTTTTCTCTAAATCATCCGGTACTTTCATAATTAAAATGTCACCATGTTTTTCTTCATTTTATCATATTTGTCACAAAAATTTGTTCCAATAATTTTCTGAGAATTCAAAAACCATAAAACAAAAATCGTTTTTGTTGGAACTAATTTATTTACATAATAGATAAAGATACTCTTTAGGCCCTACATTCATATAAAATGTTTTACTAGTTTTGACTGTACTCTTAGCTCCATAAGTTTTTTTCCAACTTCACCAAGCATTTTGTCTAAGAAATTGACAACTGGCTTGAAATGTACGTTAAGACTTACGTTAGTCCAATAATGGGACTAACCAAAACTTTTCTAAAATAATTTTTGTATTATTTGATGTATCGTTGAGGTACTTTGCATAAATAAAAACGAAACAATTGTCCCTCAAAAACCACTGTGTTTAACTTTTAGATAACAGATAAATACTATCCTTGGTGTAAGAGTTGATTTTAACAACCATTACAACCTTTTTGAGAATTTTTATTTAAATGGTAAATACATTGCGATTTGAAAAAACTTTTGCAATTGAAGTATTCAGGGTAGATATTTTGTCGTCGGGAATTCGTATAACGCAAGATGAACTAAACATTTGTTTTTAATACTTAGCTATAGACTTTACTACTCTAAAATTTAATAATGTCCCGAAAGGCAATAAATTTGATTTACATATTCGTTATAAAAATCTGGGTAACTGCATGGGATGCTCATTATAAAAAAATTATCACTTTTTACTGTAAATATAAGATTAAGAAAAAAGATCATTATTGAAATCCCGCTGTTTTTTTGAAATAGTTTGGGCGCATATTTATACATGTTTTATTCTCTACTATCAAAGCCCAAAAAAACTGATATTCAATAAGATACACAGATAGCGGTATACTTTCATTTTCTTTAACAGCAAAAAAAATAAATAAAACCGGAACTCTTCTTTTAGTGTTTGTCGCTGAAGGGGGGCTCGAATGTCTTAAATCCAGATCTGAAGCCATCCAGAAGTGCATTAACGATACTATCAAAATAGATACTGCTGCATTTTCTACATTTTCTCCAAATTCCCTTCCTGCGACTATTCCGAATTTTACAGTAAACCAAGAAAAATGCGAGTGAGTATGCTTGTTTCTTTGGATTTCCTAAGAATGTAGCAGCTGGGTTTATTTTTTTTAATAAAACATTTGTTTTTCTAGTGATCTTACGAAACTTCAGCAATGCGTAGTAAAAGATTTGGAAGACAACTGCAAGGATAGTACACCAGCAAACATCATCGAGGCTGTTTTCAAATTCATTAAAAAAACCGCTTGTAAAAACCCGAAGCAAAGAAGAAGTATGTTTTAATTATTTTATCACTACATAAAATTTTGGCAATAAAGGATTAATGGAAATAGTTTTTTTTTCTATCGATTTTGGTTAGTCATGTGTTAACAGATATTCTATATAGTTGTGTCGCTCCTTTGGTATTACCTCGAATACTTGCAGTTGGTAGTATAGTCGGCATTTACCGGGAATTTTCATGTATCAGTTTTTCATAATTTTAATCTTTATAGTGATCTTCATCCTTATTATAATTACTATAAGAATTCTTGTTAATATTGTGATTTACAATTTTTATAAAATGGTTATTTTTAGATGTTTTTTAATTAATAGTGTAATTAATTCTTAATCTAATATAAAATAGAGTGAAACTGGCATATCTGATATTTTTCTACCAAGCCGTTTGCTACCCCTTCCTGCATACGTAACATCTTTAAAATCATCCCATCCTGCTTTTCTTTACAGGGAATTTCCAAAACTTGTTACAAACTTACGCATGAAAAGACATTTTTCAAGTTTACATTATAATTTTTATTGGTTTAAAAAACCTCATTTTTCTTTATCGATTCTGGTCTTATGATATTCGTAACAACCTTCGTTCAAATAATATCTCAATAAATACCCATGGTATTTGCAATTTAATATACTTAATACTTAAATAAATTTAATCGCTTTATTTTTTCCTGATTTAAGACAACTTTTAGGTTTGAATGTTTTTTATCAATTTTATATAACATAATACCTATGTTTACTACATTGTTTAACATTTTTAAGTGAAAAAGCAAAAAAAAGTCAACTGAAATTATTTTTGTTTTAGATAATCAAATGCAGTCACGCAGACTGGTTAAAAGGACTATCGTCCAATTCGCTTTTACAAACAGTAGCCTTTCGACGATTGCAAAACTTCAGCAAATCTGCCAAAAATACGGCTCTGAAGATAGTGTCTTGAATTTAATGGTTTGTGATGGTATCAATCTTCAAACTCGCATAGTGTTTTATTATGAATTGGGGTTTAAACTTTCTTTAAATTATTTGTAGATTGCAATAAATAAGACGCATTGTAAACCCATTAGGTTTCTGGTTACTCCAAGGGAAGATATGATTGCTGACTTACGGTCGTGCAGCAAACCTCTGATTTTGGCAATGGAAGATTGTTTAAAGGAGGAAGCCAAATATTTCCCTACATTTTTGATGGAAAATATAATTTCCGTTTTAGAATTTGGTTACACTTACGCGAACACCCTTCAAAGTAAGAACCTTCCGCTTAACTTCCAATTTATTTTTAAACGCTACTTACCTAATTTTTCCATGTTTCCATCTATGTTATTTGTTAAGGAAGTTACGGTTTCTTTTTTGATCCAATTGACACCTTCTTATGGATATTATTTTTAAAGCGCTTTATAAACTGCTTATTATATAAAAACAGCTGTTCTAATAAAAACTCCAAAAAATAATTTAGTCAAGCCTAAGTTAATACAAAAATATGCAATGCTTTCTAAATTATTTTAGAGGCTACCTCAAACAGAGAACTTTTACAGTGCTTTCAAGATATAAAAAGAAATAAAAATAGAAATCTTCTCATCGCCTGCTTTAAAGAAAATGTTCAAAACGACATTTTCAATGAAATGAACATACCGCCAAAAGAAACTATGTGTGGGTAAGTTTTTTCATAATGTTATTAAATCTAAATTTCCATTATGATTTTTTTTTATTTTCAGCAAAATGTATTCATTAAACAATTGCGTTAAAGAAGTCATAAAAAAAGTATGCATCAATGATGTTGAAATCGACACTCTTATAAGAGATCTTGTAAATGCTCTTCACAAACCATGCTTCAATCATTGAAAGAAACACTACATATATATAACAAAGTACTAAAGTCATAAGATAACATTTGTTTTGATATGGTAATTTTGTGTTAAAATTGAACAAACTAAATCATTTGTTTTACTTTAATTTCGAATTACGGACACTAGCAGGGCAGTCAGACATCCATTAGTTTGTTTAAAAACATTCTTTTTCTTTGATGTTTTCTTTTTTTTTGAAAACTCTTTACATCTTTATTACTGGAATACTTTGGCAAATATAGACTCGCTTGCTGGATTGTGGGAAGCGAACTAAGAACATACACAGTATAACAACTTTTTATTTAAGACATTAAGACATAAAATTGTAAAAAGCATGTCACGAAAACGAAATATCTGTCAATAAAAAAGTTAGTAATATTTTGTTTATTTTAAATCCACAATATCAACTGTCCGATTGGCCATAGTTTCAATATCAACATTTGTGTTTGAAATATCACCGGTAGCTGTTTTTTTCGTTGCTACTGATTTTTTATTTGCACTGATTTCTTTTTTACAATTAGTGCTAGCAAGAGCCAAGTTGTCCCCATCTTCTTCACGAGGCTCAGCTGTGGGCCCCTCTAAATATTTTACATCTTGATCATTGTTCTGCAATTGATTGTCGTGGTGGCTATTAGAGGCATTTACTTTAATATCCTGTACCATTGGCCTATGAAATAGACGATCTAATAATTTTTCAGCCATTCTACCTGTCAGCGCAGCGTTTCCGGCACCTCCGCCTCCAAATTTCAGTTTAATTAAATGGAAGAAATTGAACTCTATTGTCCTATCCATGACCAATGCCATGCCAAACACAAGCAACAGAAGCGTGAATATTAACAAAACAGGAAAGAATAGCAGACCAATTCCCCAAGGAGTATTTTCTAAAAGAAAATACATTTTTTAAAGAATAATAGAAAAAAATGTTACATACTATACAGTTGGGCTCCAAATCCACCAATTCCTGACCCAAATGCGTGTAAGGGGATTACAATTACATTCCTTATTTGATACAGGAAAGCATCCAGTGGTGTCACCGTCTTTCTTTCACAGTCTTGGGAGCCTTAATAAATCAAAAATTTATTAGCCAACAAAATTATTTCAATTTTAAAAAACCACTCACTGGTTAAAAATACAAAATAATCTCTCCAACTCATTTTCGATGTATCACACATTGCAGAGTATTGAATATTCAAATTATGTTCTTCAGCTTGCTGAAACAATAAATTTTGAATACCTAAATAATTTAACCAGCTGTAGAGTTAAGGTTTACCTCCAATAAAACCTGATACCGTAAAACAAAGTCGATGACAAATACAACAATGATTAAGTATTTTATGATATAAGCAAGTGAAAAATTCGTCTTAAATAACTGATACACAGCATATATCAAAAAGCATGATCCTATGAGCCATAAATTTTGAACATTTATAACAGCAGAATAAAGCTGAACCTGCAACTCTGTAAAAGCTTGCAAATACTCATCTACGAAAGTTTTACTGAAACTTTCACTAATAATAGTGTCAAGTTTTCTTAATGTATCTAATGTTACTTCTGCCTCTCTAAAATCTGTTAAGAACTTTAAATCAATAGGAGTAATATCGAAAACCAAATGACCAATATATATATCAGGATCACTTTTGTCAAAATGTGCTGAATTAACAATTCGGCTTATAATTCGCTTTAAATGGACATAAAACATTGAGTTGTCTAAAATGGTCGGTTTTTTAGCAGACTTGGAAAAATATTCATCCATTTGGTGACCATTTAATTTTTCCTTTGCACCGCTAATCATCTCATGGGGATCTCTGTACTGGCCTAATGATTTATGACAAAAAATTGTAAAAAATATAAATTTAATAAGCCTCATTTTCAATTTTTAATTTTAAAAATAACAGTAAAATACAGTCTTGTTAACAGAGGTTAATGTGTTCTTCCTAAACCTCACTTTTCTTCTCTTTTGGTGTTGGACTTATCACGAGGCAAATTGCCCAAATAATTTTTATAAACTTACCAAAACTAGTGAATTTATACCATTTCATCTATGATATGACTCGAGAACGGTAAAACTAAGAACGTCTCGCAAGCACACTGTACGCACATTGTACGCACCCGGCCTATCGCAAAGGATAATAAACTTTTAAGTGACGTACCCCAGCCAATCAATATGAATATTGCCTATTTAGTGACATATTATTGTCACAACTTTCTGTTTGTCCTGTTATAGGAATTTACTTTTACTTTTAAATGTTGTTAATGTGAATGTTACTGTTTCGTATAGAGTGCTAAATTATTACAACTTTTTTCCAATTTTAAAGCGTAATCTTGTACTTGAATTAATAAAACACATAAATGGAATTAGCAAATCCAGATTGGTTGACTTTTATTAGTTTTAAGTTAGTGTGGATAATTTCTAGAAATTAAGTTCAATACAAACAAGTGACATTTTCTTTTCAAATCATTAGTAACCAAAGCTTAATACTATGAACCAAAGACAACGAAACAAAACACGTGACCTTAAACAAAATCAAATTTAAGCGCGGTTTGTCAATATTTTATTTGACGATATATCAAGTAAAATCAAATATATTTTGAAAACTGCGATACATGGCCGAACCCGAAATTAAGGAAAAAAGTGAAGAACCTAAAAAAATAATTCATACTTATCCTCTCATAAGGGTGAGTCATAAGGTATTGATTTAATGGTTCCTCCAAATAATGTTTTAGCATTCTGATATGTCTGAAGAAGTAAAAACAGAATCGATGGAACTTGTAGTTACAGCCTGTGAGAAACACTCTGCCAATAATGAGGTAGTTGAATTTGATCTATATAGTTAAAGGATAAAATAACTTCTAGAGATGACTATCCATGTCTTTGTTTAATGCGTTTTTAGGCGGCCGCTAAAATGATTAAAGATGAGATGGATAAAAAGTTTGGCCCACCATTTCACGTGGTGGTAGGAGAAGATTTCGGTTTTGAAGTGTCCTATGAATGTACAAATTTATTATATATGTTTTTTGGAGGAAATTTGGCAATTGTAATATGGAAGTGTTGATATACAATTACTTAAAAACTGAACTGAAAAAGGATAAAAAAATATAAAAACTTTTAATAAATGGTCAAGTTAAAAGTTGGTTGAATACTACAATGGTTTATACATCCAATAATAAATTGGGTAACAAACTTATGTTGACTGTTTAAAATTAATTTTCTGTTATACAGAATATATGCAACCATATTATCTTGAATTATTCAAATAAATACTCTTGATGGAAATAATAAAAAAGATGACAAATAAATAACAAAAAATGCAAAAAGCTTTGTATAAATTATATTACCTTAACACTAAATATATGACAATGTTCTCTGTAAGTCTTTTTTTAGGTTAATATAATACTAATAAGTGTCAATAATATAATAAAATATTGTGGTACAAGTCAATAAAATCAACACTACAAACAATAACTAACTAATAATCATATTAATTTTTTAGTAAATTAAAATCAGAATCGATTTTTTCACAATATAATACTTATTATAATAACACATTAATTTACCACCACACATACACTTACCAAATTAAATTATGTACATAGGATGATTTAAAAAGCCTCTTTATTATTCACAGGCGGAAAAAAATGAATACACTGAAATGTTGGAGACTAAACTTATATGCTAGTAAGGAAATGCAGATTAAAATTTGAATTATTAAATGTCTTAAATTTATTATGTGCCATACACTTCATTGAAATTGAATATTTTAAATTTGTGGTCCCAGGACACTGGTCCGGATCTTAAACTATTTATCCTATTAGATTTTATCTGAAAACTGGAAGTTGTATTAAAAAATTGATAAAATACATAAACTATCGCATATTGCAAACCAAGTCAGCATCATCAGTAGGTTTATACATTTATGTTGTTATTTACATTTATATTGTTACTGTTGTATATGTTTGTAAATTGTGGTATAACTGTGGTTGTAAAACCCAGCTACAAAATTTTGTTTCAGTTACTGTTCTAGCTGTGGCTGTAAACTCAGCATTATATATTAAACTTTATTGCACTACATACAACTACTTAAATAACAACTTCAACATTTCATTAAGTAACATGTGTTAGATGAAGCATATTGAACCAAAAACCATGTATGTTTTTAACACCCCATTATAACCCTAACAATTTGCGTGAAAGAGAAATCAGTCAGTGAATCAAACCTGCCACTAAGGTTTTCAAAAGTTGTTTTAAATTGTGTGTCTGCGTGTGTATGCATGTTTCTATGGGAGATACCCACACCCAACGTACATCAGGTAGGTTAGTCATTTCATTTAAGAACATAAAAAAATATGAGTGTGATTGATTTGACTTTTTTTATGACGTTAAGCTTTCGCTCATAAATGTGGGCTTCATCATGCTTGACGGGCGAAACCTTGACTTCATACTAAAAGGCCAACTAACTCCTTATTTACAGTTCTGTTACTGCCTTTCCCCTTCTAGTTATATACAAATATTTATATAAAAATTTGTAGAGCAAACAAACTAAATTCAACACTTATATTTAACTTTGTATTTTAAATATAACAATCTCAATTTCGTAATTATTAGTTATTAGACTGTTTAACAATATTTTTTATTAAGCAAAAATTGAATCGAGTAAAGTGAACAGTCGCTTATGTGAAATATTCATCTTCACCATAGAAATTATCTATACATATACATATAATAATGTAATATCACCTGCACTTTCAATAATATTATTAGGACGATAAACACAGTCTGAAGGGAAGAGGACAACAAATTTGCAGTTAGACAACTTTATATATTATTCTTATATAATCTTTGACAATACTCTTGGACTTCGAGTCTTTACTTTAAACTGACAACAGATAGCTATGTATATTCATATAGTTATCAGATGATATAGTGTTGGTAAGGACGGTAACAGAGTTGAAATGAGTGCCTTATCACGAGAAAACTAATAATTTAGCGTGTTTTACCACGCAACAGTCACCAAAACTAAACAAACACAAATCAGAAGACAGAGACAATTAATGATGTCTTTTAAAAACACCAAACCGAAGGGAAAGGTATTTTTTTAAATTTGAATGAATTATTAGTTCTTATTTGGTAATTCTTTCTTTCTCTCACCCACAACTATATATAGTACATTCGTAGTTAGTCCATGTAGTCAAATTTACTTTTTTGTTGAAGCTAAAGATTATGACTATGTATGGTTCAATATACAATAGAAATGTACATCTTTTATGCAGATAGTCTGTTTTTTTTTCTTTCTTTCTGATAGACCACAAAAGTGAAAACATTTGCCAAAACAGATGGTTACCTTAATGGAATGTTGAAAGACCACAATCACTAATAACTAGCAGATAAGAGACTCTCGACTTATCACTGACTTGAAGAATATTTTGTGACAATTTCTTTTGTAAACTTAGCGAGATTAAAAGCAATGTCTCTGATGTTACCAAAATGAAGTTCCACCGCTTTGCTGTCTCCTTTCATCCTTGATACCTGCAGACTGAGGCATTCAGGTTGCAAGTGATTGGCCACTTCAAGCATAAGTTTTACTTTTTCTGATTCTGTATCCTACAATCAACAATAGCTACAGATATACAAGTAACACCCTTTTCCCTTGACAAAACCGGCAAAAATTCTTTAAACAGAGAATAGCTGGCCAACAATCAAATTGTTAAACTTTTCAGCTGGAAGCTATTGTTTATTATTTGATGCATTTCAACCAAGTCTGGGAATATATAAAAAGTTAATTTAACATTACAGAAAATTCTAAATGGCCCATGTAATGTGAAGTTGACAAAGAAAAAGTGAATTTAACTAACAAGCTACTTGTCTAGACATTTTATAGCTTTTATGTTGCCTATACCTTTAGTATATCATGTCATAAAACTTAATAGTCAAAAAGCTTTGAAAATAACATCTCTATCTGTGTCCAATATATCGCCAAAATCTTTCATGTATCGCCCTTTGGTTACGCAAAGATATTGATTTTAAAAGTGATATTTACTGGAGTTTGAAGTCTGTAGAAAGATGTTTGTTTTTTTGCAATGCAGAAAATTTTCAGAACTTGTGCACTAATAAGAGCGAGTGCCACAGAAAATTGTCTGAAGTCTTACGTGAATGTCATGCGCTGTTGAATACTTCAAAGTCTGTATAAAATAATAGATTATGTCGACTTAATTGTCGCCTTTGCTGTGGAACACTTTTTACAGAGTCTGTGCTGGTGAATACGTTTTTCTTTGTAATTTGTTTTTTTTTTTGTTGATTACATTATTGAATGTATATGCGCAAATACACTTGCAGCTCATGTAGTACTAAGCAGCTTAAAAGGATAGGAGCAACAGTACATATGCTACTGATTAAAAGAGCATATGTGAACAAAATTATGTCTGCCTCTGGCCTTTCATATTTAAAAGTTAGTTTTGAATGTCCAAATGTACAAATAAAAGTGTCTTTAGACACACATTTTCATTTTGGTTGTTGGTTCCATCAATAGAAAAACATGAAAAAAGAATTACCCCCATGCATAGATCTGTTTACATTTATTATGCATTACCAAAATTTTATAGTACATCACAACAAGTTAAATATAAAAAATGTTCGTTGTATTTGCACTGAGGAATAATTATTTAAACTTATTTGAATTACCTTTGGAACTGTGGCGGCCAGTTTGGAAATAGCTAATTTAACCTTCTCGCCGCTGCTGACACATTCGTCACCATCTGGCTCTTGAATACACTTACACAACTGTTGAATGGTCCTTGTGATTTGTTCAGTACACTGCAAAATGGTTTCCCTGTCCTTTGGCGAAGAATACAAACCCTGTATTGTATTTCTGATGGGTTCATTTTGCTTTATCTGAAAACGAATTAACTTACATTTAAGCATAATGTGGCCAAGCAATTGGAAATGGTATACATTTCTTAAGATCTTTACATCTTTATAAAGGTGTTTACTGATAGTTTAGGAAATTCATTTGTCCAAACTTAAAATTCAATTTATTTTTATTTGTCATTAATATCACCACTCTTTGGTTTTATTGAAACTCAATATGCTAATAATATTAAAGTAGATCATAGAAATGGCATAACGACCCACCATTATGAAATACATGTAAAATGGCAAATCAATAGTTCAGAGATTGTTTTTGAATGTTTCAACAATTAATATTAAAAATAACGAAAAACTACAGCTTCCAAGAAATCTAAACTCACAAATTCCAGTTAATTTGATGCTTCTAGAAACATTACAGTCTATGTATGTTGAATTGTTAATGAAAACAAATAACAATCAAATACTAGGGGATACAAATTTATTATGTATTAAATCAAATTGCATTTACCTGATTCTTCATTGCATGCCAATATGGAACTCTTTTAATGCCCTCTCGGGTTTCATACATGCTTGAGGGTCTTTGTACTTTGCGAGTTTGTTTCAAATCCAACTCATCAGTTGATGTCCCATTTGGCACACCAGGACACTGATCAGTTTGCTGTGCCTAAAAATACTAACATGCAACCATCCGACAATATAACCCCATTTTCAAGAAATAAATTGCAGCAAAAAACTCAAATTAACATTCGCAAATACATATGTGCAACTGGAATTTTATTTAATTCAGTAAAGAATTTGTTTAGAATCCTGTTATGCTAAATGCAAAGACTTGGCAATTTAGAACACCTGTTTATTTAAACCTTTTACATAGCTCAAATTACCTCTGATATAAATTCCAAGGAATCAAACCCGCTATCACCATTGACTGAATGTTTCTGTGATAAACGACCACGTAATTCAAAATTTTCATTCTCTAACATCTTAAGGCGTTGCCTTAATAGAGTCACCTCCTCTCTTAGATCAGTAATTGTGTTGTCAGAATTTTTCAGCTGTTTTGTAAGTTGCTCCAACATTTGGTTTGTCTTGCTAATGCTGTCAATTGATATAATACTGTCTTTATTTATTCTAGTACCTTTATCATCCTCTTTTGAAAAGGGCACAGCATAATCTTCATCTGATGCAACAGAATCATATAGAGGCTCATCATCCATCTCTGTCGTAACTCTTAATTGAATTGTGCTACCTACAAATGTAAGAGAAACGTCCACAAACGTCATTGTATTAGGAAACTTCTTTTTCAAAAAATGCAACTTTTGATTTCCAGCCGCGTTTAAAAGTTCAAAAGAGTAAATTATTATTCATTTCTTACAAAATAAGCTAGCAATTAAAGTTTAGCTTAAAATAAACATTTGTAAAAATTAACAAACTAAATCGATACTAAAAGTAAACTAGGAAAGTCATACAAATTTGAAATGGGTTTGTATCATTTTGGCAATTTTTTGAAACAATTCTTTTAAACCTTTATCTTAATATTTTTTCAAGAAAAATTTAATTGTATGTCTGAGTCAGACAGAAACTTTCCAAATAACATTTATTCCTTTAAATACCATCAACTTTGCTGAAAACCATGTTCTTAAAAAAACGTTCCTAGTTTCTACAATTTTTGCAAATCAGAATCTTCATTGACGCACTATTATTACTATCTATGTTGACCACATTTTTCTGAACTGCTGGATATAGGATATTGAGCAATAGCTGTTACAACATTCTGTTGTAAGATCTAATATGTCTTACACCCAATAATTAGCAAAATTCAACAATGTTACCTTGATCAATGCTCTGTCTCCGTTGGGTGTCAACTAGAATATCATATACTAAACTTTTCAACTCAGGAGTTGAGAACCTAGCCAACTTCTGTCTGCCTTGATTTCTGGTTGTTGAAAGTGTGTTGTCCACGGGCAGAAAGGGAACGTCATTCAATTCGGTAGTGTCTGCACAACTCAACCACACTAAACAAAACAAAATATTATTAAAATAAAATAGGAATTAAAATATAAAAATATTCTGACCTCTTATTTTCCTAAAACAGGCCATTATGTATCATTATCTAGGCAACTATTGCAATAAACCAGGCAAAACGAACCACTGCATATAATGTAAATTATAAACACACTCATTCCAATGACATTAAATATCAATTACTTTTACCTGTTTCTCCTCAAAATATCCTTTTTGTAGAAGGCCGATAAAAGAAAAGGAAAGTCAATGAAAAAGAACAAAAACACTTGATTCCATTTTAATTTGTTGTTAATGTATTGAAATTCAATTTAATGATACATAAAACATTCTAAACTAAACAAAAATTAATTTACCTGCTTCTGTTTGCCTTCTGTCGACTTCATCATAAACATCAGTTACCAGTTCTTCAAAAACATGATTTGGTAACTAAAAATCAAATAGTTTTTCAAACTAACCCCATATACTTTAATAAAACTTTCTGAAAAGGGTGCCTTAAATTTACAGGCAATATAATCAATGTCCAAATATTTATTTGCTAATCTACTGGGATTCAGGAACTTACAAACCTTTTGCAATTTGTCTAAAGAAATTGGGTTAGACTTAAATCCAGTTGGGGGTATATAAAAATGCACTCCCGTTGAATGATCAGGTTTTCTCAGTGATAAATAATAGGTAAATACATCTGTTACTTCGTATTGGCTTTCAATTAATCGATTCATAAGTTCTTTATTGTTAGATTGTCTAAAATATTCAATTAATTCAGACAATAATGAAGTTTTAAATAACAATTATTTGTACCTAGAATAATCCAAAGGACTCCTTCTTTGATTGTCAGGACATGTTGGATCTGCTCCATATACCAAAAGCAATTCTACTTGCAACTTTTGATCCGATTTTACTGCTACATGTAAAGGTGTTGAGCCCTTTTCCTAATAAAACATTTGTTATAAAAATGGAGCTGAACCTGTTGCTAATATGATAAAATAGCAAACAAATTTTTATCATTGTCAAACAGTGTCTATTTTGAAGGGTAGTTAATTTTGATATTAAACCATATAACCTACATCATGAAAATAATTGGGGTCTGCACCCAGTGCTAGAAGCCTAAATGAGGTTTCTAAATTTGGGGTTCTAACACTTGCATGCAACTGTTTTCCTAATTCATTCTCCACACTCAATAATCCATCTTCATAATTTTCTCGAAATGCAAATGCACATTGTTGATGTTTAGCTTTAATATACTCTTGCTTGACACTAAAAATAAATCTTGCAAAATTACCTCGATGCAAAAGGAACAATATATTAACATGTCTTTAGAATAAAATAAATGCTGAAACAATACATATCATTATTATTATTATTCTAAATATATAAGAAGTACATGGAATTCCAAAGATTTAATCTCTAATTTAAAAACAAATGGTATACTTGTAACTCGCACTACATTTTGCAATGAAATGGCAAATATTGTATCTTTACACCCTTAATTCAGAATTTACTACCTAAGGGAATCCTTGGGACCAGGTTTCTTTTTCATCAGCTTAGAGCTGTTTTCAAGCAAAGCATGCTCCCAGATATTATTTGCTCCATTATTATTTAGTGTACAAACCATCTAAAAATAAACACTAAACATCTATTGACTCCACTAGATAGCAATAAGACTCTTAATTACATTTAATTGGTTAGGGTGCCAGGGACTTTTTAGCAATGATTTCACTTGTGATATATGCCTTCCCAAACTCCGGTGTATGCTGCAACACTGGGTACATAACAATATGCCCTTATTAACAGATGCCCATGTCGCATCTAAAATACAATTTCAATAACAACTGAACCAGACATTATTCTGTTACTTGACCAGATGCGCCACAATCACCGCATATTTCAACGTTTTGGCGAGATTTCGCCCGATTCATTTTGACTACCTAAAAGCGCAACACTACAATTTACGAAAAATTAAATATAAAAAATAAAAACACAACTAAAAATTTATGTCATTTTTTGACATTGCAATCATACAAAAATTATTGGAAATTTGGTAGGTCTCGTGCAAAGTTAAGGTTAGTTTCCTAGGTCTAAATCTTTAAATAATTCAAGTGATTACGCCAGAGTTTATTAATTTTTCATTAGATTCCTTTGGTGACAATCGCGAAGAGCTAGTTAATGTGGAAAACTAACCATTCGTGAATAAATGGAATAAATCGAATCAGCATGTATCGGTAAAATTTATATTTGCTGTTGCTTATATTTTGTTTGGATAAATCGTCGACGTATATCAGTAAAAGCCGAATGACTCTCTTGATTTGTTTGTGAATATAACGTAAAGAAGAAGTTTAAAACACAGACCACGATATTGTAATATTTTCTGTTCTTTGTTCCACATAACCCTTTTTTTGTTATATACATATTTGGTAGTACGATGTATGTACGACTGGAAAATCTCTAAAGGACTACACTATACAAATTACCTCCTTTTAAGAAATATGAAATTTTAAACATAAAGCTATTAAAGCCGGAAAATGGATTATTTGGCGGAAACAATAGCACTGGGAATTGATTCTATAATTTTGGTAGCATGCATTAGGCAATACTACAAAAACAAAAATTCGATGAATATGATAATGGTATGACCGTTCATTATTACAATAAAAATTATATAATTATGCCTTGTACTTTTGATGCAATTTTAGTCCGCGCCTTATTTGACCATTGACAAAAAACTGGAACAAATTCTAAAAACACTTCCAGAAGAAAAATTACCATATTGTTCTTTGCGTGCTTCAGTTAAACCTCTGGGAAATCCAATAATTAGTAATAATAATCCCCATGTCCATGGAGTAATTCAGTCATTAAAAATCAAGGAACATGTTGTTCAAAGAAGCAGTGCCGGCTTTTGGGCTGATTCAGAAAGAACCATACAACATGTTCATAATGTCATGCCTTTCGGGTTGGAAAATAAAGGGGTACTAGTAGAAATTACCGACCCTTTAGCTGCAGAATATTTAGGTAAATGAAGTGTATTTTTAAGTGAATTTTAATATATTGGTTCTAAAATGGGATTTTCTTCATCCAAATATAAGAAAGGGTTCAACCTTGCACTTAATATTTTTGGTTTAAATGCATTCACATAATAAGAGTTTCAGACAATAAAAACCCAGATACTTTACTTTTGCACGAAGATGAGGCAAATGGCTAAACAATATTGCCCAAAATATTTTAAATTCACTTTACTAGAAGTGTGCACCACATTCAATTTTTCCTTTAATTGCTTAAGACCAAATTTTTCTTTTTGAAATTGACCACAACATTTTTATCATCTAAAAAGCTACATTCATTTAGATATGGAGGTAATATCTGACACATTCCATCCAACGGTTCCCACAATGATGGATCATATTTGGGGTTTCTTTGCTGGTGTTCGTCAAAGGGGTGTTCAATCGACAGAAAAAATGCTCCGACAAGGGACTATCATTACTGGTATTGGAGAATTAATATACTCTAAGGAAGATGGCACTCTCAAGTTACAGCCTCCAACTACTGGAACATATTATTTAACCACAATGACTGTTGCATCTTTGCTCAAGAAAATAGAGAAATCAGTAAAAAATTTCCGGTTATTATGTTTGCTATTTGGAACAGTAGGTATTTTACTTGCGGGTATTTTGATTAGAAGATTTTTCAAGTATAAAAAGCAGTTGAAAAAAGAGGAGGAACGAAAAGTAAAACTTGAAGAAACAAGAAAGAAAAGGCGAAGGATGATAAGGGATACTGAAGTTCAAGAGAATCAAATCTGTGTTGTTTGCAAAAGTAATCCAATTGAGGTAGGTTACACATTTATTCTGGCCAAATTGCCAATTATTGCAATATTCATAAGGGTAGGGGAGTTTAAGTACACAATGTTAAAACACTTTATATTATTCAGATATATTTATTTACTAGGAAATTGTGTTTGATTCTGCATAAAAAAAAAACATTTCAAGAGTTTTAGGATGTCTTATTTTTTAACTAAAATAAATTACCAATTTGGCCTGTCAAAAATTGCCATATAGAAAAAAAATTATTTACTTACATAGTTAATTATTTTATGTATCTATTCAGTGAAATTATAAAAGTCATTGTCAATTTACCAGCAACTTATTTTTAAATTGAATTTTTAGATGATATTATTACCATGTGGTCATGTGTGTCTTTGTGAAGATTGTGCTGAAGATATTACTGAGCACTGCCCAATTTGTAGGTCAACAATTGAAACCAGATCTGTAGCATATTTACTGTAGTGATGTAAATAAATCAATATTTGTTTCAAAAAATTGTTTTTACCATTTGAAAGTATTTTCAAAACTGCAACTGACCCTAATTATTTTTCCCTATCTATATTTTTGAAATTATTTGGCGAACAATTACATGTGTTTTGGCAAATGGCATCTGATACTACTTTATTTTTAGTATTTGAACTACTATTAACATTAACATTTTTATTTTCTTTTAGTATTTTTTTAGCTTTGCTTGACTTTCCTATTCCCAATCTAGGCAAACCTTTATTTAAGCCTTCTAAAAGTACACATGCCTTACATATTTCTTGGGATGACACAAAATTACACCGGCTGCACCATGTTAATGATGGAATTTTTGCATTCTTATTTACTCTTAAATTTTCTCCTGCAATGATCACATTTAAATAATGTTGCTTTAAACATTACTATTTTGATAGATGTTACCAGAATGAATTATACTCATGATAATTGAGGGGTCAATTTTCTCTAAATCTTTTAGGAGCATCCTAGCATGTCCTCTGTATGCATTTGGAGCATACACACACTCTGTAGAGAAATAAACTAATTTTTGAAAATATGCATACATGACTATCTCTTTCTCATATGCATATTTTAAGGGCTTCACTCTGGGAATGCCATCACCACTGTCCTAAAAATAAAAAACCAAACCACTGCTTCGCTTTGTAGATATCTTCTTACAGTAATAATTGAAGTACACCTATTTAGTCTAGCTAAATCGCCTCTTAAAATATTCATCAATACAGTTTCTGCAACATCGTCGGCATTATGACCAGTGGCTAAGTAATCAACCTTTAAAATATTCGCGCCTCTATCTAAGGCCTGCCTTCTAAACACTCCACAAAATGTACAATTGTTTTTTTTTCCTATCTAAAAATTGTACAATTACTTACCCTACCAAAGCATGCAAAAAAACTACCTCTGTAACTATTTCATCCATGGTCCATCCATAAAGATCTTTATAAGATAAAATCTTTAAAGGTATTTTATAATCATCCCTATTTTGTTTGACAGTCTGTAAACTATCATCTCGATATCCTGTTATACCCTCATCAATAGACAGGAGAACAAGATTTAATTGATAATTGTACTTTTCATTTAATAATTTAAGAACATGAGCTAGAACTGTAGAATCCTTTCCGCCTGATGCAGCTATTGCGACCTTGGCACCTGGACGAAATAATTTGGCTCTTTTAATGCTAAAATGTATTTCATTTTCAAATGCTTCAAAGAAACATTCCTTACAAAGTACGTCGCCAGTTTTTGGTCTCTAAAAATATAAATAAATTAACCTGTTGCTAGTTTGCTAAAAGTATACCTTTAATATTGCGTTTTTTCCGCATTTGGCCGAGCATTTAGGCATCTTGATAAGTATGTACGGAGCTGGATAATGATATTTTATTTTCGTATGCCATATGTTCAGAGCCTTATATTTTGATATTGATCATAATTTTAGGTTAAAGATGAAAAACTTTTCTAACATCAATGGAGACACACTTCTTCTATGCTTTTCAACGACAATGGGCAACTTACATAGGGCCCATTACCGACAACCGTTGAGGATTTTTTATTGCGGTTATTAACCAAGATACAAACATGGTTTTACAATTATTCCTTGTTTCCAACTTGAGCTATAAACTGATACCACTGCGGACTATCCGGGTTAATCCGATGAAAACAACGAGAACACGGGGGAAGTAAAAAATTTAAAACAAACACTACAGACAAAATGAAAACTGCTACCAAAGAGTTTTGACTGAAAGCAACGGATTCAATGAATCGAAATTTCTGGCTGACTGCAAAGAAAGATGTGTGACGTTTTAATTCCGTAATAATTATTTTGTTTTATAATATAAATTTGTTTCTGAAGTGAAGTTTATTGCATTATCTTCCAATAGTAACGTAAGAAAGTTGTTTCTATTCGGGCTACGCTTAATTGGCGAAAATAAGCTGTTGATGTAACTAGGATGTTTGGTTTACCGCCCTCGGAATAAATATATAAATGTTGCTATGTTGCCATCTATCGGACGTTGCAATAGATTCCATTGCCATTTCTCGGCTGTCATTATATAATGTCGGTTGCTTCAGTCGGTAAACAGATTTTCTGTTATTGGGATTCACCTCTAATTTATGGTGTGTAGACGCCATTTTGGCATTTAAACAAACAAAAATTGTTGATAGTTTGCCTGGGGAAGTGTTATCGGTGTTGTGTCTGCCTACGCTTTTTGCTATTTAAAGTGCTCTTTTAAGAGGTAAGTGGCACTTAAGTGTGTGGTTTATGTTACAATTGGCTTACTTAAGCTGTCGCAGTTCCGCTTGTTTAAAAAACTATTAGGAAAATGTGGTATATCTAAACCCGGTTTTTGGATAGCTTTGAATTTGATTTTAATTTCTTCATAAGCTGGTTTAACAGATTACTTGTCCTAGATCTAGAAACTGTAATATTGTTCTACCTTGTTTCACATATTTTGTTTTATTCCTAAGATTAGAAATCTCATTACTTTGTCTATTCCACTGTCCATTTGCCTTATAGTGTTGGTGTTTGTTTTCGTTATCTAGTTAACTTCAGAACTTTTGGAAATACTTTGTAATGGGTAATGTCATCATTTTATGGGCGACACATTTAAAACAAAAATCTGGATTCTGGATTCTTGAGTGAGGCCAGAAATCCAAAGGTGTTCTTTTCTTTTTGTCTTAAATGTGAGAGCTCTATTATGTTGAACAAAACCATGGGTTTTGAAAACTAATAATTTTAATTTTTTGATGCATTTAGCTAGGTTAATACTACTAAACTATCTCACGGATGTTTGTTTAGCCGCAAGAAACTTCCTGCCTTTGTTGACCACACCTTTTGAAATGGAACTAGGTCTTCCTCTTAATAATAGCTTTCGTAGACATCCACATAACGTATTTTTTTAAAAGTTGCCAGACGAAAGACTTTATTTGTATTGAGATCGTTAGAAATTATAATTTTTAATTTTAAAATTTTTGTCACAATTTATTAGGTATACCATATTTCCTCTCGATTATTTTCTTTTTTTTTTCTTTTATTTATGAATATCTTGCGAATGTACATTGCGGGAAATTTAAAAACCGTTGCCTATGCGTCTATCCGGTAGTATATTTAGTTTAGTTAAGCACTTAACAAACGCACACGTATACGTCTACTAGGGTTCATGTTGATAAGTATGCGACAGAGTGTCTAAAGATAGTTCGCGGTGCAGTTGCAGATCGGGACCTTGAGTAATGGGTAAAGTAGCCAGGAGTAATAATATTAAAAAAGGCAATAGAAATGGTAATTTTGATTGTTATGAGTGGAGTAATGTCTCATCTAACGTGTGTCTTAGTTAAAATTAATAATATTCGTTTGTACTTTTTGCAGCTCGACGGAGTTACGAATTTTTGGCTTTGATATTATATTTTTACGTTTTCCCTCACATACTCAATGGTATACTCTATGGAAATAACCGTCATTCATTCAGAATTTCGAATCCGATTTTTTTATTTACGTATTTTGTGTTAAATAGTGTGAAGCGTATTGCGGATAGTTAGTTCAGCTAGTGAATCCCTAGACACCGAACATTAACAACTAAAATTGTAATTAGATTAAATGTTTCGACACGACGGGTAGTAAAATTCCAATTCCAGATGTTTTACTTAACTTTTCCGAGTGATTGTTGCCCACATGGTATAATAGTTTTAAACACTGTCTTGCATATTTCCAGTACATTTTCTTATGTGTCGTTCAAACTATTTTGTAACTAGTATCGGGATTTAAGTATAGAGATAATTAATTTTACTACCGAATTTTTATTTTTCTTATTTTTTATTTCTCAAATGTAAATAACAATAATAATTAAATACTTTTTATTTAGTTAGTTTAAAATATCGAACTCTATAAGTAGCTGGAAAATTAGATGCAAAAGAGTTCTATAGTAAATTTTTTCATTTTTTAAAAAAGTTCATTCAAAAACAATTTCATACAATTAAGTTAATTATAAAACATAAAAATCAGCGCAATACAATAGTACGCGATACGCACTGCAGCCGAGTGCTAATAACTATTCTTCCAAAGCGCGGAAGAGTAGAAAGGAAGATCGGTAATGTTTCGGCCACCGACGGAGACTTGCACATATTGCAGTTAAAGTTTGGTGATGAAGGGTGTAAAAATACATTTTACCAAAGTTTAACGTTAGACGCGGACATTAAGGCTTATTCGACGTAAGCCACTCATCGTGCTAAGTCGCTGAACTTCATATGCATACAGGGTATTTCGTAATAAGATACTGATCCTTAAGGATATTCATTGAATGATTTTAAGAAAAAAAGTTTTATGTTAGTGTAGATCTCCGTTTTTTATATATATACAGGGTGTTCAAATTTAAATAAAATACATGGTTTAACTAACAGTGTGTTAATATAGGTAAAGCCTGTTCATAGATATAAGTAAGTGACTAACTGATACGAATTAAGGAAAGACCCGGACAAGCTGTAAGAATGAAATATGGCCGAACAGGTCCTTACTTTGCTTAGAATTTAATTGTTTGGGGTTTCGTTAGGAAAGATACTAAACAATATTTATTTATTTATGTATGTATTAATGTTTAAATCTAAAATAAAATTACAAATTAATTTTATTACCTACTTAAATTACTTAAAATTATGCACATAATATATCAGTATCACTATCGTTATCATCGCCTGTTCTAATTATTATTTGATCTATATTATTTGCAATATGGATGTACTATTGTTCTGCCTTTTCTATATGTTTAACAGAATTTGCCCAACTTTGTGGAGGGATGTTAAAAACTTCGGTTTCTATAAGTTTGAGGACATTGGAGTTAACACGGGCAAAAATGGGATTAAATATACAGTGGTAAGGTGGAAACCTTAAAACTGTATGCCATAGATTTTTTGCATAATTATCACAGACGTATTCCTTTTGTAGGTTCAAGCTTTGTAGAACCTCAAATAATTGCTTTTTGGTATAATCTTCGTGAAAATGAATGTCGTTATTATACATGTAGTTTTGGTTTGTTGCTTTTGTGTTACATGAGGAAGGGGTTTTAGTCAACTGTCTACTGTGATAACTTGCATTGTCCATTACAATGACGCTATTAGGAGGAATGTTTGGAACTAGTTTGTTTTTAAACCAACTTTCAAATAAATCAGCGGTGGTGTCTTCATAGTAATCCAGAGAAGAAGAGAAGAATTAATGCATGCATGCAAAATAGTTATTCTTTTACCTCTTTTTCATGGCGCGTTTGTTTTACACTTATCAGTTGATTCAACCCAACCCTTTTCCGGGGTATCATAAGGGTCGAGCCAGGTTTCATCCAGGTAAATAATTGGACTTTGTTATTCTCTGTAAATCCTAATTTTTTCTAAATATTCCAGTCGCCATTTCCGAATTCTAAAAGATTCCATTAAAACTTGCCTTTTGTCAATTTTTTTAAATCTAAAACGCATGTGTTGAATACACTTCCATAAGATAGTTCTGCCACATTTAACACCGGTTTCATCTTTTTCAAGCCTCCTAATTAAGATATCTAATGTAGGCACGCTTTATTCCTCGTATAACTGGTAAATTTTACGCCGTATTATATCTTGTTCACTTTCATCTACACTCGAGAAAATGTCAGCATCGCTTCTTTTTTTCCTCGCTAAAATGGGATTATTCACGTTCTATGACGGGCCAGAATTTTACCTGAATTTAAATTCCGAAACTTTAGGTAATAATCTTGTTGCATTGTATGTTAATGACGACCCTTGGATAATCCCATTCAAAAACAATTGGTCACTTTCTTATATCTATGAACAGACCTAGACCTAGAAATGTTATTTGTCTAACTAGTGAAAATAATGTATACATAAAATGATTGATTTACGAATGAAAAGATTTTTTTATTTAGATCTACTCTCCTAAATATACATCTAGTAATATATGTATATGGAGGCTGAGTTACATGCCTTAAGAACACGGCGTCTCTTACGCAAATTAATAAAAGGACAATTAAGACGATTTTCTAAAATTTTGTCAACATTGGGATTTGTTCCCTTTTTAGACATACACATAGCACAAATACACTGACAGTGGGGAAAGCATTATTATATTCATTCATATTCTCATAGATTGTAAGTGACTTTATCAATTGGATCAATAACGTGTTCAAACTTCAAAAAAAAGTTATATTTTTTAACTGCCGTCACATACAGAGCTTTCTTCCAAATTGAACGAAGCGATTTATGTTGTACATTTATTAGCAGGCACTGGGTAGTGATCATAAGTAACGTAACTTAATTTTCGTAGCTTATTCTGTGCAGTCATTCAACGGTTGCGCTAGATGATATATTTGTATTTATGAAGTGAATTTGAACCAACATAAAACCATAGTCGACTTATAAGCTCAGTAATTGCGATTTACATTTTACAATGTATTTAAAACATATTTAAGTATTTAAAAATATTCCATTTACAATTTTTGAAATTTGAAATATTTGCATTGAAAGTTGCATTGTTCCATTTAAACATTTTTGAAATATAAATCGTTAACATATAGATTTTATACATATATACGTTCGTCTAGGGTTAACACCAGCGTTCTTATTTTAAATAGAACACCCTAAATTCTAGGTATAGCTCATGTATAAGAGTTTTCGACAAATCTTGAGTTTTATATCAAAACGTTTAACTTTGGTTGAATTTCTTGTGGAAGGAGACATACTGTCATATATTTTGGATGTAAATTAATACAGGATGACCAAAAATGAACTACAAAAATTACATTATAAAAAACGTAAAAAGTAATTTTTGTTAAATTGATACTTAGAATATTAAAGGACAAGGCGTATGTACTGAAAGTTTAAAAAATATTGGGGTGAGGTAAATTTGGACTAACCTCAGTTTAATTTAACAAAAATATTCTTAGACCATTATGATGTTTGACGAGACGGGTCCTCCACTGATGTGATAAACATTTATTTCTAATAAAACACCGCAGACGCGTTTTATTTTATTTTAATAGTCCCTACTTTAATTTGCAGCATTGATAGTTTAGATAGTAGTATAAATGCTCACAGTATTGGTATTGGTATTGGTATTTAAGTGGTGGCCCCCCGCGGGCATCCAAGCATTTAGGCCACCAGATGGGCCTGTTGTGCCCCCAGACCGCGCTAAAGGCCGTCCAGAATGCCGCCGCTCCTATAGAAAGTTGGCAACTCCTTTAGCCCAATACCGTGCACTGAGTCCGGGCTCAAATGCTCACAGTAGATCAGACATTTTTATTGGTCATTTATTTGTACTTCGATCATCAAATATGGGATATTTGCGAATAGACTGCCCCGATACAACGAGACTTTTGTTAACGGTTCCAATTTATTTCACAACCATTATAGCTACAATATTCGCGAGTTTTGAATATTTTTAGATAACTTATATTACCTTCTAAATGAAAAATTTGTTCCAGGTCAGATGGATGCCGAAATAAAACCCCCATCACAAGAAAATGGGGTCAAAGGTCAAGATAACTTGCCGGACCCGGACCCTGCAAGTAAAGAAGCAGTTAAAAATATGATCCAAAAAAATTTACCAAATACAAGAAGCAGATCTCATACACCCCAAAACACTAAGGGGCCTAAAGCTGAGAAAAATGAAGACGTTAAAAAAGACAAAAAAGTCGAACCAAAAATTTTGGCCTTAAGTTTGACAAAGATTGAGCAGATTGACCAGAAAAGTAACGAAATGGAAAATAAAAATATTGAAAAGGGCTCAGAAGAAGTTATAAACCGAGATAACAGTAAATCAGTTGACGCCGGCGTTAGCGATATTAGTCAAGTTGAAGAAAATGAGCTAAAACATAATGGAAGGGACGAAGAAAAATGCGAGTTGAACGTCAAAAACGGTGATAGTGTAGAAATGGATCCCTTGATATTAGCCACGGACGAAGTGGATCCTGAACTACAGTTTGACGAGAATTCAGATATGGAATCTGGTAAAGGTTCACCTGTTATTGCGCGTTGTAAGACAAGAAGGTCCCTAACGCGGAATATACCCACTCCAAAAACCCCAAAATCAAACGATTCAGATTCAGAAAAAATGTCTGTTGCCCCCACTTTAACGCCGGATCCGTCAGAAGTAGACTCTGAGGCGACCAAACCAGAAAACTTAAATGATACTAATGACTCAATCGATATTGAAGAAGTGTCGTTTCGAGCAGCAGTTGGCAGTGATGTAACCAGGACTGATTACATGGCCGAGCATACCTCAATTGATTCAGAAGACATAAGTTATTTGAATGCTACTCGAGAGAAATCTTTGAGGGAAACGCTAAGAGGTTTATCTTCTCGTAAGACAATAAGACCATTGAATGACAGTTACAGACAGAAAGTGTTAAAAAATAATCACAACAAATCTGGCTTGAATGTTCTTCTGACTGATCATGATTTGACTGATAGAATTGGTGGAATAAAACGTAAAAGTCGGTGTGATACTCCAGACGGCAGGAAGAGGCTGAAGATGGAATCATCGGGAATCGTTTCTTATTTATCAAGTCCTTTGAATAATCTTAAAAACCGGCTTAAATCGGACGTAGGTTCAAGTACACCTAAATTAACGTCATATAAAGATAGTAGTCTAGATATTCATGATGATATAGGTCTTGAATTGGTTCCCTATAAGTCTCTGCAAGAAAAAAAGAGTTGGTGTACAATAATGTAATAATCATGTTATGATACACTCAAGGTATTCAAAGTTTATCTATACCAAAAATGTTTTCTGATATTAAAAAAAAAATGTTTTCTAATGTTGATTTTGCTGTTTATACGGAAAATAATTTGATTAGAAAAATTAATTTTATTATTGATGAAGTGTTTTTTACCTATATGCAAAATATACAAAACATATTTTGAGTATTATCTTTTTCTAACGATGTTTTTCTAGAATTTAGTTTTGACTAGTTATTGTGTAGGTGCCTATTGTTTTCATTTTTCATACTAGGTTAGTATGTTTTATGTGCGATGAAGACTTATTTAAAATGATTGTGTATGTTTTTATTCATTACAATATTAAAGTATTTCCAATAATCAGGTGATTTTCTTGTGCGCTCAAATGGTGTTTTGCAAACACGGTGGGGATTCAAAGTTTTGTTGCCATGGATTAGTAATGCAAAAAAAGCACTTTCAACTTCAAACATAAAATTTTTGTTTTTTTACAGGTTTTAGCAAAAAAAAAACTATTACATTTTAAGTTTTTTATAAGGTACATTAGATTTGTGCAAATAATTTTCAGTAGTGCTACAGTTTATATTAATGTTTCACAATTAAACAAGAATCAACAATTATTTTCTACTACCCATATAAGTATCCATGGTACATTCAACATCAGAATAGTAGATTCAAATTAATTTCTTGAATCAATAATACGCAACGGTTAATAATACGCAATCAAATCAAGATATGAAATAGTTGGCAGCATTTTTATTTATTTGCCTTTTTGTAGTAAGATGCAAGATTCTGCAAAGATAAGGTTTTTGTATTGACGTAGCTTGTTACAGTGACGTCATATGAAATAAATTTGAATCTAACATTTTTATTATATCAAGCGCACATAATTTGAGTTGAGAACGGTGGCCAAAAAACTGAAGGGGTATTTCATGCAACGGTTAACAGCGCAGGATACACATACCATCTTCGTTCACCTCTTAAGATAAAATACTTAATGGGACTTCTAAAATCAAATACAATGATCCTTTTTTATTTTAATTTATAATTTTCTTTAAAATATTTTGTATTGTGATCACTATATTCGATAAAAGACATGGCACGTATAATATTTTCACTTTTGGTTGGAATGCTTAATGAAAATTTTTAAAGGGCACCGGCAGTTGATACCTAACTCTAATTAAGAAAAACGTTTTGCTAGCTTCATATTAAGGCATAAACTACATTTGGCACCGGAAGGATCGAGATTTAACACTTCTTATGGTAATTTTGGACTAGAATATTCAACGTAAGGAACATTTTTTCTGGGCATCCAGTAATAGTGAGCTAACATGTTCCAACTACCGTCTTGCTAGTGTTCTTCATTTTACATAACCAAGATCGTCGTTAAGTTTAAAAATCTCGTGAGAGGCGTAGTGCAAACTAAATATTTGTGAGATTTTAACAGATGCTGACCAACACTATGGTTTTTCTCAAACAAATATCTACTATAAATTAAAAAGTGGATTTTAGTATTTATTGATAGAATACAAAAAGTGCAAAATATAGTTGCGCCTAGCTTTTTCTTTTCACACCTACGCTTGATGTGAATGCTTAACACTAGCAACGTGCTAAATTTCGTTCAAATCATTCAAAGATTTTTTAATTCACCTTCATAATAGGTGATTTTATTTACCTACTTATTTTAAATACGCATTTTTGCCTATATACGCATAGCATGACTAGGTATTTCCTTTTGTTTTTTCCTATTCTAGAGTGTTTATTTAATCAGAAGCAGTTGGATAGATAGACACGGGAAACATTTTGCTGTTTTATTACTAAAATACGAAAATAATCGACAAAAGCGTTGGTCCTAAGGGATTCAAAATTATGAGCTATTCCAACCAAAAAATGTGACATAAACAAGACGAGGACAGTTCTTAGTTTGTCTTTCTATCCCCCTACCTTTCGTAAGCACTTCATGGGAGTCCTAAACGTTCAGTCCTATTTAATGGTAATATTGGTACTCCAATAAGGGCAAGTGATCTAACAGCAAGAGAATCTAGGAGAATGACTCTTGTCTTGTTTATGTTAGCTGTTACTTATACGTTCCGTTCTATAGCCTATATCTTAAATATATATTATTACAGGAAATTGGTCTCTATAAAGCAAACAGTATAATGAAAATATCAGTATTATTTAATCAATATTATTTAAATAATGCTACCCATTTTGATGCGATTCTGTTTATAAATGTTCCATCACTGCTAGTATTTATGCAATACCAGTTAGGTCGAGATGGTACAATTGTGAGAAATTGTATGTATTTTATTCTATAATTGTATGTGGTATTGAAGTTTGACTTTTATTTGGGTTTCGTAAAATGGTAAATTTCTAATAGTCTAAAACAGATAAAATTTGTATATTTTCAATATTTAAAAAAAGTATGATCTTCTCCGGGAAGCCTTGGTGGGTTGGTCATTAAATCGAATTAAATTCACTAGATAATTAATCAGAATGCGACTATTTTAATTTCTTAATTTTTCTGGAGAAAATATAACACAGATGTGTGTAATTTTTTATTATTTCTTCGTTTAAACATGATTGATATGATCTGAACATAGTTCTTTAAAAAGAAATGGTCGCATATTTCCAACTCGACTAGTTTTCAGAAAAAAAAAAGCAGGTGACAGTTTTTTATCTTTTCTATTGATTTTTTGCATTTTGAAAAAGGTGCAGTTGAACGCCCTACTTATAAATCATTTTACACTAGTGATTTATCATAAACATCTTTCCAACTTTGAACATTGCAATTTGCAATTGCGGGGAATCTCAAATATCAGTGATTATTAAAGATCCCACAAAATATTGAATTTTCAAGTACCTTTTGTATTTGACAACATGTCAAATAGGTGAGAAAGAAACATTTTGCTGAATTCTAGTTTTTTTTCCTAGTTTTGTATTTATCTGTTATGGAGTAGTTGGTATATTTTCGATTATGGTTGGTTAATGTTTTGAAAAATATATTAACTCGTGTAATTCATGTAAAAAAATCTTGAATTGTAAAACGTATTTATATGTAGTTGGGTTTTAGATATGTTTTAATATAATTAAATTTTAATAATTATCTAGAAACGTTTATGTTAAACAAAAAAGATTTTGCCGAATCACGGATAATTTAACAAAACTCACTAATTATTTCCCACAAGTCAACAGGCAAATTTGATCTTAAATGATGACATATCTGTAATTGCAAATAAAATGGGAGGCATTAATTTTATCTCAGAAAATATAGGAAATTAAGAACCATGGTAAAGAACATTCGTGCACGTTATAAAGAGGCCACTTTTACAGTGAAATATGTTATATGGCCAATATTTCGAAATTTTGAGCACAAGCAGCACGATATTGTTTGTGTAACTGTAGAAAATAGGAACTAAAATGTGATTTTGATTATTTTTTTAGAAAAACAGAACTTACCTTAGTTAAACTTTGTCTTCTAATTTCATTTTTAATCACCGTGTAGTTATAATCATTAAAGTAATGCAAAAAATTTATATAGGACAAGAAAATCAACTCAAATTAATTAGATTTATTGCTACCTATACGATATACGGAAAACGAAAAATTGTGTCGCAGCCTAAGTCAAACCTCCTGTTTAAGAGATGTCGAGACTATAAGAGTTAAAGTGGGACGTCAAATGGTACTATACTAACGCTGTGGTTACATTTTCCATCTCTCTTAGAAGATCCCATTTTTTGACTATATTAAATTTTTCTATTCATCTCTTATATTTTCTAAATAAACGTTTTCAATACAAAACCTTTTTGCGATGTCACATTACAACCAACGCTTTAAAATTGTTTTCGAAATAAATAAACGTAATTGCATCAACATCGGTTTCTACAATGCGTCAAAAATATTCCTAATTGATTTAACTTCTTTACAATATTTAATTTAGTATTTGGCTTAAACTATTCTCAAAAATACGAATTACATGAAAAACTGTCAAGAAAATAAAACCAATAACAAATTGTTCGTCGTATTCCAGTTACTCTGTATACATTAAAGATTCAAGATATATTGAACTTCTTTATCTTCCGTCCATTTTTGCCAAGGCTTATACTAACCTATTGAAAAAAGAATGTATAACATAATCATCGGTATTATAATTTTTGTATTCTAGGTAGCTTAATAACTAATTTAATCAATATATAAGGCCCTGTTATTGTCGTTTGTTTCTCTAACAACTAACACAAATACAGTCACCACATGCATGCTGGGCACCAATCGAAATTATGGTACTAAGTAAATTCTACTGTCATTTTATTTCAGCAAATACCGTCACAAAATGTAAACTACACTTATTACAGCAGAAAGCTACAATTTGATATGAAAATTGATTAAACAAAAAGTGATATCAATATGAGGAAAATAGGAATAATTTCACACTTATGACAATATGTTTGATTTTAAGTAACCCGTAAAACATCATTAAAGCTGCTACCGGCAACATTGAGTTGGTGGTTTTTTTATTCATTTGAACAAAAAAACAGCAGCGCAAGCAAAGGGCAATACAACTGGTCTTTTTATTAAACATTTACATATTTTAAACTAACCTTTGCCACCCTAAAACATCCTATATATATATAGGTACCTAAATATATTTCACATCACATATATAGTATTTCTGAATAAAAACGTTTAATACTTCGGAACAATATTACATATATTTTCGATGTCTGGTTTACAAAAACAGTTTTAAATTTCATTGACATACGAATCGCGTTGTCGTAGCTCTTTCTAATAATAATTGATCTACTTTATACTTAAACCCTAGCAAAGCTATTTGAAGACGTTGATTACAATTGAAATTATTGACAGATTGACCATTTTCTGGTATTAACTAAGCCAGGAATTGTTGGTATATCAAGTCAACATAGCCGCCAATAAATGTGTCAAATACAAATGGCCGTCTTCACAAATTTTGTTTATACCATCTTTTGTGGCTCTAATTTCTAGTATTTTAATTGAACGAAAGAAATTGACACTAGGTATTCTTACTAGGACGGGGTCCTATTGCTAGAACGTGACGTTGGAAGGTATTGATGCAGTGTTCGCAATATCTGTTATGAAGAGAATATGAAGAATGTTCATACTGTTTATAAAATGTGTATATATAAGAGAGAGGAAGAAGAACGGAAAAGGGAAGACGAAAAACGTACGAGAGGGGTTAACAAACTCTGCATAAGATAAGAAACAGCAGAGTTATACTGGTTGTACTAAATTAAACGCACATTGGTAACTTTTTCATTATTAGATCCACGAAGTCCGTTAAATTAACAAATTAGTAATTTTCATGCCGATTAGCGAATGCAGAAAAACAATGGACTGCCGAATAAATCAGAAATTTGCTTTTTTGATGAAACTCCCTGATCTATATTTTTAGCTGTGTACATCCAAAATGGTGTTGCATGCGCAGGAAGATTGTTTTGCTGACAAAAAAACAGGTAAATTATTTGGATTAAAAATTATAAACATTATAATATACAAAAGTATTATAAAATGCCAGAAACTGTATTGAAAAGAAAGGTGATGTGCTTGAACATTAACATTTGATAAAGAGACGGTGTTGTCGAAACAATTGTCATGTCAAAATATATAATTTCGTGAAAATCTGAACTTTTAGTTCTTATTTATTTTGAGAAATGGATTTTCATCAAGTAAAAGCCACCTTAGTTCAATTAAATCTAGTTTGTTTTTTAAGATCGTAGGGAATTTGTTATAAGGATAAATAGGGCAATATTTCGGTTATTTTTAATTTTAGGTCTTAGACCTTTAGACCTTTACTTTCTATGGAAGATTTGCAAACATATACAGGGTATTCCATTTAGAACCATGTGTGTTTATGACTGTTTTCCTGCATTTGCCGCCTTTATCAGTATGAAAAATACTACTACTTTGCTAATTTTACCAACCTCGTATCCCTAATAATAGAAAAGTTAGCAAAAGTGCAATGGTAGTACTGCCCGTATACTCGGACTTATAAAGGGTAGTAAAATAGCACTCTGATGAATTTTCTAACTTACCCACATTTTTTGTTCGGATAGTCCGTTAGTTATACTTCTTGTCTTGCCTTCTTCTTTAGTGGAAGCCAAGTAAACATATTTTCGAAATATAGGTGATTTTAAAGCTAGCATGATTTTCTTTAGGTTTTTATATTGTCTTATTTTTCATTTCATTAAGGGAACTCTTCTCTAACTTGCGCAACCGAAGTAGATAAACCTTGTATTTTAACAATAAGGTACTCCGAATTGACAATTTAAAATATTAATTCCTTTGCGGTATCACGCGCATCATCGGTATGTACAGTGTGTTTTATTTTGATTGCAATTGCAGGCTATCGCGGTTATTAGTAAAGATGAATCCTTTTGGTTTTCGCAATTTTTTTGTTGAACGAAAGGCGTGCAAAACATAATGCTCACACCGTATCTCAGCAGTTGTCTGACAAGTTATCAAATAGGTAGAAACGAAAGTATATAACAACATGGGTCTGTCTTAATTCACAATAATAAAGTTACAAAATTTTACAATTCGTATCCAAAATTTTGACTGAGAATTGTGCCAATTTTTGTCATTATTAATTAACGCAGTCCCATATTATTTTTGAAACAGAAACTTTTCAAATTACAAATGAAAGTAATATTAGAGTATGTTTCTCTAAACAAAAAGTTCAAACGAGATCCGTTTTCAGCTATTTGATAAGCTGTCAGAAGACTAAGATAAAAGGGATACTTTAAAATGTGCAATGCATTTTCAATATCGAGCTTAGCTCGGAAATTTTATTTGAGGTATATTTCTTGCGATAAATGAGCATTTCAAGTTCGTGAAAACCTCAAAGTTCTACCTTTATTAGCGACTGAGATACCTGCCACTGTAGTGTCGTAGTAGCTACGTCAGAGGTTTGTCTACTGTGTTGACGCACCTACCGCAGTCGCTAGGAGGACAAAATGTACCAAAATAAGCTAAATTCATGTCGACCTGTAATTATAGTGGCAGAAAAGGAAATGGGGTGGTATCGATGAAAAGGGCAGCGCAGATAAGATCTCCTCGAATATGTTGGCAGTATAATAGAAAAAAGTTATATCAAGAGAAACCATATGGAAAATTAAATAAAATAGTTATACTTTATACGACCTTTAGGTTTTGGCGATAATAGAATGTGTCCTGTTTTAAGGAGCGATAAACGCGGAACATTTTTTTACATGTTAACGAAATTCAACACTTTACCTATTTACAATAACAACAATCTTAAAACTAATTTACCAATCCGTTGGACATTCCCTTGGGTTCCATTCGCCGAATATATTCAGTTCATATAAGCTGGCGAAGGTTATGAACACCAAGTACCATATCATAAGTACTATGCCAAACTTCCGATCGAGTTTCCATCCGTTATAATGTATAGCGACTACTAAGAAAATGACAGTCGATAGAAGAGAAAACGTGGAATACGTCAACCCTAAAAAAACATTGTTATCTAAATACCCATGATGTAGTTACATCGAGCGGCTCATTTATTAAATACAAATAAGTCTAACAGTTTACGAAGGACCAAAGCATTTATTTCAAATTATACAGGCCTCGACGGGAAATGTCCGTCCTCAAAAAAAGATTTTCAACTATTGCAATGCTGCCGTTTCTACAAAAATGTGGCAAATGACCTGCATATAAATTCATTTTTAGATTGGAAAATGAAAATAATATAATAATAATAATATAAATTTGATTTAAAATTGTTAAGAAAATAGTATGATTCTTTTGTGTGGCTTATTTTCTTTTTGAGATACAGAGCAAATTTTGCATTTCAAGTTATGTCCTACTTGAATCTATTTGATTTCATTAGTTTTGGTTGGTTCTATTTTCAATAATTAAATATTTCAATATTTTAACAATTTCATGTCTACCGTTTAAGTTTGGTTTCTTAATCCCTTCCGTAAAATACCCAAGTTATACACCTATCCAGCGTAGGGAAAGAATCATTTTTCCTACTCCCGTCTGTAAAATACCTAATTTCACACCGACCGAGCGTGCGGGAAGTGTCACTTTTCCACGGATCCGAGCCACTTCGGACATTTCCGGGATTTTACCGCACCGATTTGACGGCCTTGAATTTTGACGTTTGTCAATTCTGACGGTCATGTCAGTGAATCTATTCGTGTTGTTTTGGGAAAATGTACCCAAAAACTAACGGTCGTAAAAAAAGTATAGTATGCAACACGTTTGGTAAACCTTTTAAGTCACTCATTTATTAAACACTCGCTCCGCTGCGCTCCGCTCGGGAGTCAAATGCCGTTTACCGCACTTGTTGCATAATATACTATTTTCTACTCCCTTCTGTAAAACACCGATCTAGCGTGAGGGAAGCATAACTTTAACAAAGAACTTTGTGTTCGGGAAAGTGATTTTTGAAGAACGTTTGTATTCGTTTACTTAATAATTTAATTTCCAAACATAACGCGTAACATAAATACGTAAAATAGAATATTATTTGAGTCATGAGTTTATTTGGCACGAGGGGAGCGAGTGTGTACTAAACGAGTGACTTAAAAGTTTTACCAAACGTCTTGCATATTATACTTTTTCGAGGACCGTTAGTTATTGGGTATTTTTTTACAAAACAACACTAATACATTCACTGACATGAGCGTCAGACTTGACAAACGTCAAAATTCAAGCCGTGCGGTAAAATCTCCGTAAACATTCGTTTGCTCCCAAATCCCTGCGGTAATAACCTGGAAATTTCCAAAGGGGCTCGGATCCGTGGGTCCAGAAAATCACGTGATAAAGTAACGCTTCCCGCAAGTTAGATCGGTGTTTTACATAAGGGAGCAGAAAATAGTATATTATGCAACAAGTGTGGTAAACGGCATTTCACTCATGAGTTTGACACGAGCGCAGCGAGTGTTTAATAAATGAGTGATTTAAAAAGTTTACCGAACGTGTTGCATACTACAGGGTGTTTCACTTAAAACTCCGCACGCCAATAAGTCCAAAACGAAAAGAAATATTTAATTTATGTAAAAAGTAGTCAAAGTGTGGGGTCAAGTAGATATTTCCTAAAGTTTAAAAAATTCGACGCCTGCAAAGAGCTGGGCGTCGCGGCGCGTCGAAAAATTATTCGATTGCAGAGACTTTGGAAATACGCGCATAGAAAAGTACATATTATTTAAAAACTTTTTTGTTATTTACTCAAACTTATTTACTTTACCCGTTTCTAAGTTATACCGATTTAAAGTAAATATTTCTTGATTAATAAAAAATGTGATTAACGCTTATTTTTACAAGTATGCCATGAATGTTAGTTACTATGGCAACCATTGTTATCGCAGTTGTTTTAAGTGCAATTACAAACAATAGATTTCAACTATTTTAGTATGATTTTATTTATTATTTTTTATCGATTTAGTTCTGATAACATGATAAATAAATGAAAAAACAGTAAAATACCTACAAGTTAATAACCAAAATTATTATTGCAATTAACTACATAATAAGACATTTCAAAAATTTTGTTCAAAATTATGTCCATTTGCTCGAACACAACTATCAAAAACTTTTTACAGATGAGCTTGGGTCACTTGTAGGAGAGTCCTTCTTGTGATAGCGGCATACGCTGCACTAATTTTGTTAATGAGATCAACCATATCTTCGATAGGTTCTTCATAGATAACGTTTTTTAGGTAGCCCCTAAGAAAATAATCTGGTGGTGTAATGTCCGGGGACATCGCCGGCCACCTTACCGGTCCATTAGTACCAAACCATCTATTGGGATATTCTCGGTTCAAATACCTCGTTACTATTTGGGCATTATGTGCAGGCGCTCCATCCTGCTGTAGCCACATATTCATTCTAGTGTCAAGAGGCACTTCTTCTAATAGTTCCGGAAGTGTAGTTTGAAGAAATCTTAAATAGCGATCTGCATTTAAAGTTCCTTCGTAAAAGTAAGGTCCAATAAGGAATCCATTTAATATGCCGCACCAAACATTGATACTAAAAATTCGTTGGTTACCTCTTTCTGTAATCCAACGAGGATGGTTTTCGGACCAAAAACGACAGTTGTGTCTATTAACGATTCCATTATTTTGAAATCGACTTTCGTCGCTCCATAAAATTTTCGAGAGAAAATTTTGCATCTTGGCTATATAAATCGGACAATGTCGCTAAGAAATACATTCTTCTAGCATAATCGCCTGGTTCTAGTTTATGAACTAGTTTACTTTTGTACGGGTGAAAAGAGTTTCTATGTAGAATTCTCCACGAAGAACTTATGGTAACACCGGTATTTTCTTTTATCTCTGATAGGGATATCTTGGGGTTATTATCAACCTGCTGAATTACAGCAGCAGTATTTTCATCATTTGTAGCCGTCCTGTTCCTATCTCTTTTAGGTTTCATGAAGCTGCCATATTCTCTTAAGTTTTTACATAAACTTGAAAAGGTTTTTGCATCGGGGACTCTTCTATGCGGATAACGCCGTGCGTAAACTCTTTTTGCTTCTCTACAATTGCATCTGCATTCTCCAAACACCAGTAACATGTCTACTTTTTCCTCATTGCTAAATTGCACCATTTTCACATAATAATTCTTAGTTTTTTTTAAACCGAACAAATTTGGATATTTCTTGTGACAAAATGTGACAATTTTTTGATACAGCAATCACAACTTACGTTTGTAATTGCACTTAAAACAACTGCGATAACAATGGTTGCCATAGTAACTAACATTCATGGCATACTTGTAAAAATAAGCGTTAATCACATTTTTTATTAATCAAGAAATATTTACTTTAAATCGGTATAACTTAGAAACGGGTAAAGTAAATAAGTTTGAGTAAATAACAAAAAAGTTTTTAAATAATATGTACTTTTGTATGCGCGTATTTCCAAAGTCTCTGCAATCGAATAATTTTTCGACGCGTCGCGACGCCCAGCTCTTTGCAGGCGTCGAATTTTTTAAACTTTAGGAAATATCTACTTGACCCCACACTTTGACTACTTTTTACATAAATTAAATATTTCTTTTCGTTTTGGACTTATTGGCGTGCGGAGTTTTAAGTGAAACACCCTGTATACTTTTTCTACGACCGTTAGTTTTTGGGTACATTTTCGCAAAACAACACGAATACATTCACTGACATGGCCGTCAGAATTGAGAACCGTCAAATTCAAGGCGTGGTAAATATCTCCGAAATCATCCGATTGCTCCCAAACCCGTGCGGTAAAATCGCGGAAATGTCCAAAGTGGCTCGGATTCGTGGTCAACGAAAGTGACGTGGTATAGTGACGCTTCCCCCACTCTAGATCGAAGTCTAATAAGGTGTTTTACAGACAGGAGTAGACAAATGTATTTAACTCTAGAAAAATTATATTTTTGTGATCACAATTACAAATAAATATTTACTGATCAATATTTTTGTAAATTGCGAAATATTTCTAATTTGACTAGTGAAATATATACACGTCGTTTCATTAAAAAACATATTACCGAGAAACGAAAGAGATTAGAACAAAAGATTTTACGAGAAAAGTTATGTAGGTTAAAAACAACCGACATACGGCAACTAGAATGGCATCATTAATTTCAGTCAACAAGTATCCTGAATATCCAAGCTCTCTATATCTTTAAAACTAAGCGAGATTCTATGCAATAGTGTCGAAAAATGGACATCCTGTGCTTTTAATAGCGAATCGTGTTAGGTTGGAATTGAATAAGCTTATATATACCATATTGATATGATTGGAAACTAGGAACAAAGTGCTGTTTCTTATAGAACGGCAGGTATATTTCTTTATATTTGGATCCTGTCACAATATTGTGCACAACACATGCTATAGCTAAATTAGATTTTTATATATGAATAATTAATTTTATGTTCTTCATCGTTATGCACCTGTTGGAACATGCTCTCTGTTTATAAAATATAATAAAGTATTACAAACCTTTGCTCAACACTCTCACTCGAATTCCAGGTTGTACGATGGCAGTCTTGAGAAACCAAGGAAGACCTAAGCAAATTAAAATGTCGAAAACGTTCGATCCTATTGCATTTGACACAGCCATATCTCCGTAGCTGCAATGAAAAACATGGATTTTTAGGATCTTTAAGCATACAACTTAATGCTTTAATGACTTACCCTTCTTTTATAACTGCTATACTAGAAAGGGCGTCAGGAACTGAAACACCAGCAGCGACAAAAGTTAGTCCCATAACGGTATCGGGTATTCCCAAGGTGTACCCTATTGGAATGCAGAAGAAATAAATTAAAGATAATTAGGATAAAAATGTGCAGGCAGCACTTACCAATTATGGTAATCATCCACACCATAAAGTAGGAGTAAAATGATATCCAAAGCATCGATACAACGAAAGTGAAAGGATACCAGTTTTTGTACTTGTCGCTTCGACAGTCAGGCATTGTGTATATGCAAAAGAAATGAATCGGGTATAGAGCGTACCATTTGATTTGTGTCCAAATTCCAGAATCTGCAAAATCATATGCAATTACTATTATGCTGTTAGGACAGCGGATTCGATGTTGTTCTGAAATGCTGTGTGATGTGTTGCGATGCTGACTAAGGTGTACATCTAATAATACAGTTTGATCGCAAGATAGGGAATCTCATCGATGTTAAAATTATTAGTGTTGTGACTACTGGGTCCATTGCTCCACATAAGACGAGAAATATATATATATATATATATATATATATATATATATATATATATATATATATATATATATATATATATATATATATATATATATATATATATATATATATATATACATAAGACGAGAAACATATATATATATATATATATACATAAGACGAGAAACATATATATATATATATATATATATATATATATATATATATATATATATATATATATATATATATATATATATATATATATATATATATATATATATATATATATATATATATATATATATATATATATATATATATATATATATATATATATGATGACACTATATTCCGGGATATCATCCGTTCGCTCGTTGAACTCCGACTGGAATCCTGCATCCGACTGGAATCCTGCAAATCCTGCATCCGACTGGAATCCTGCAGACGTTTCGCCAAAATCTCACTTGGCATCTTCAATGCTCGCGCTCCGAAAACACTTCGAACAGTGTTCGATCGTGTGATTCCAGTCGGATGCAGGATTCCAGTCGGAGTTCAACGAGCGAACGGATGATATCCCGGAATATAGTGTCATCATATTTTTCCATCCGTGAATCAATACGTGAGAATATATATATATATATATATATATATATATATATATATATATTTAAGTTAGTAGGTATATTAAGTATAAACAATAAATTAATAGTTTTTTCTTCCATAATGAAGTACCGAAAATATGTGAAAAATTTATTAAATCTGTTACTATTAGATAGGTACTTATTCGCAAATATTAAAATTAAGGCAACTATTAATTATAAGATCAAATTCAATGGTAAAAGTAACATAATTTTTTTTTCTTTAAATGCAAGTATAACCTTGTGTTCTGTCGTGTCTCCTTGTAAGCCTCTTGATCTTATAATGAGCAGTAGTAGTAGAGTTCCGAAAGTGTCATTATACTAAAAGGTTGCGGGTCTAGTAAAAACACTTGCCGATTGCGTTAAACACAGATTATACTTTCATTGAAAACCACATTGGTTTATGTTGTCATTTTGTTACTTTTACAATTGAATTTGATCCAGTAATTGTTAGCTTGATAGCTGCCAACTTCACATTTTACCCAATTTTATATTTAAATTGATATTTGCGTCCTGGAATTTGCCTAATTGTCCAGAAAAACGGCACATGTTACGCAAACGAGGTGCCAAATTCTAAAAAATAATGGTATTTCTCTATTTCTATTGCTATTTTTCAGCAATATCTCATGCAATTGTCAAAATATGATGTCGGTAGGAACATTGTTTTATTGTCAAAAGTTCGGAATTAATACATATAATAAATAATTTTTTTTTTGAAAAATTTCCCAAAACAGCAAATATATCTCTAAAACAAGAAGCAAGTTACAGCAACAACACAGGTCATGTATAGAATCTAGCTACAGCGTAAAACACATTGCTTACCTCAGTAAGGTGACAATCAACTCGTTATTTACCAGTTACTTGGCATTGAATTAAAATAATTTATCACTCAAAGAAAAATTGTTTTCCAAATTATTTATGACTTCTTGTTTGTTGTTGAACTGGAAAACTAGCGATTGCAATCACGATTGCTTAATTTCCATATAATAATCTATATTAATTAGTTTTGGTTAGTTTTCAGCTGCTCTGAGTATTTTCCAGTCTGAAAATCCATCTAGAGATTATTTTTTCATTGTTGTTTTGTGGCCCAAAATAAGCAACTAAGCAAGAGTAGACAAAAATCATCGAAAATTTAAAATTTACGAAAATTTTCCACATTTTCACACCATATCAAGCAGTCAATTTTCTTACATTAGTAGTGAAGCCGTTCTGTAGTTTTCTTAGTTTATTTGAAAATATCCTAATCTAAGATAACTGTAAAATCACAAGCTGGTTCGAGGATATGTTCATCTTACTTCGATATTTTGTGGACTATTAATAAAAAAACTAATAAACACGAAAACAGTAACATACTAATTTGCTACAAACTATACCATATAGAAATTGAAACATCAAATATATGCTTAGTTATATTTATAATCGTTTTTAATAAACTTTTTTGACCCCGTGTGTTTACAAATAAGCAGAATCTTCTTTAGTTTCACAAAAAAATGAAGAAGTTTTGTTAACAATTTGTTTATAGCGTTTCTGATACTACCAATGACTCCTGCATGAAGAGTAGTTCTATATCGTTAATTAAGTGAATTTGATTGAGGGAAGTAGGTAGGTCTAACAGAGGCTAGTATGTCCTATCGGGAAATTTGAAGCATTATTGGACAGAGTAGTTAACATCGTACATCGGTACATCGGTACATCGGTACATCCGTACGTCGTACATGGTACATCGTTACAATAGACAGGAGCTTTAAGAAAAGCCAATGTTCACGAAGAACGACATAAAAGACTCAATGCCCTTAGAGACCATTTGGGCGCAGCCAGCGCAATCAAACAAAAGTGAATAGTAGCCTCGGGAGGCTATCTATATATAGCTATACGAAGCCGATTTATGGAAGAATGGAGGAATGAGGAAGACGCGGGGAAAGGCTCAAACTTTAAGTTTACAAGGAGTATGAGACTGCGTTTACTAAAGCCGTTTTGGTTTGGGGTGCCATAACAGTTCGAGCAGATCGCCTATATTTAGTTGGAAAGAGGCATGAATGCTCGTTACATGCCATGTTACATCCTGTCGTATTGCCTTATTTTCAGCAACTGCAAGAACCAATTTTTTAGCAAGACAATGCCAGACGACACACCACCGTAAATACTAGAAACTCCCTGTCACAAGCTAATGTAACCTTTTTCAGTAGTCCTCATAGTCACCAGATTTATAGCCTATTGAACATTTATGGGATATGGTGGGCAGAAGGCTGAGCAAGTTGAAACATTTTATAATGAATTATTCTGGATTAACCTAGCAGAGGCAGCTGTCTGATTCGCAGCATACCACAAGACGTTTTATTTGAAAATGTCATCGATTATTATTCATATTTATCCCAGCTACTCCCAAAATATTAATAAAATATTTGCACTTGCTAGATGTTGCAATTTCTATGTCATACAGTATATAAAACATAAAATGTCACTACGTACAGGCAGTTATTAGCAACTAGCCTACCTTCGGGTTTAAGTAAAGGGTTTATTTTTGTACTGGGGTCGTATTCTTTTGGTTTATAATAGTCCTGCTGTATGGTAGTAGTCGCAACTTGGGGTCGAGGAGACGGAGTTTCGTTAGTTGCCCGGTTGAGATCTGGACCACTAAGCTGATTATGCATGGCTACAATTTAGGATATTCGCTTTCTTTAAAGTTTTATTCGCTTTAAGTTATTCAAAAAGTAAAGTTAAAGTATTCCTTTATAGCTGTCACAACGGCACACCTAAGTCGAATCGATCTGGACTAATTAAGTTTTCAGAACTTATTTTACCACCAATTAGATACATATGCTGTTTAAACAAAATAATTTTGAAGCAATAAACTTCAATATTAATCTTAGCATGCTGCCTCTAACGTAGTATAAAAAACAAACCCTGTACTATTATTAGGTATTAGTTCTTATTACGGGCTATCTCAGTTACTATTAGAGATATAACGTAGAGATTTTTGCAGTACTGTATTCGATTGTCGGGGAACCTACGTTTTCAAAACAGCCACAACTAGCTTTGTTTTTAAGATGCAGAAAGAAACAGAATATTTGTCCATTTCAGTTAACCTGATGATAACGGAATCTTTTTATATAGCATCCAGTGGGTTACCAGCTCAAGTCATTTTTTTTAGTGAAACATTCTTAAAAAATGAATAGTTGTCTAAATATATTATTTTGAATATATGTTATTATTATTGTTAAAAAAAATACAGACTGTAAAATACAAAGAATAGTAATTTGTAACCATTGTTACTGTCTAAATTGTTTAAAAAATAATAGAATAGGCTATGAAAATGTTGGGTATGTCTTTGATCAAAAAGCAATTTGGAACACTCTTGTAAAATTTTTGGGGAATCAAAACAACAATATAAAAAAATATTCCTATTATACTATATAATATTTATAAAATGATCTACAAGATTTCATCATCTCATTTAGATACAAGGATTTTAAATCACAAAAGGTGACTGAAATGATCAAATTTTCTGTTTCACCTTAGATCTAGCTAGCTAGAAAACGGAATCTTATTATTGTAGTATTGTATCTCGAATAATAACTGAGATACCCCTCAATAATAAATAAAAATTGACACACTGTATACTAGATCGAGGGAATATTCAATTATTTAAAACTTGTTTAGATAGCCATCATTTAAAGTATCCATGGGAACTCAATATATCACTTGAAAAAGAGATCGGAATATGATGATTATACATAAAACTGAGCTTTAGTCTTTTTTTTTTTGGAAAATCCGTACATCCTTTTTTCCGAGAACGTGTCTCTTATTCCGAACTAATAAAAGATTAATTAATACCTACTTGAATCGTCGGCTTGGGTTTTCTCAGGACTCCAATCCTGACCAGGCTGCCATTCATGACTTGTTTGATACTCGTGACTGGGATGCCATTCGTGCTGCTGTTGCCGTTGTTGCTCAGCCGACGGGCTATTTTCCATGCCATAGTTTGTATGTTTGCCATCTTCGTCCAAATTTTTGTATGTTACCAAACCTGATTGTTCCGTTGGACCCAAATTTTTAAATGGAATGGGTAAAGAATGCGCCCATTTTTCTAAGCCCGTATTGTAATGCAATACTATGCAGTAGATGAGGTAAGTTATTAGCATAACCGTAGATTCTATCCTGAAATGCGAGTTTTTTTACGTATTGATTGATTAGTTGCATTGGTGTGATATTTGAAATAAGTTGGGATCTGCGGAACTGGATTAGTTCCGTATCGCCGTTGTTGACTCGTTATGGGTTATACACGACAATAAAAACATTGTTATTATAAATTGCTTATAGTTTTTTTTGGTAATTCAACTGTTAAAAAAATGGTACTTTATATACAATAGTTTTTTAGTTACTGTAACCGCCTTCTTAATAAATGCTCTATTGTAAAGTTTTAAAAAGTAAGTTTGCAATAGGTTTGGTAAATGACACTTAGACGTGGGCTTAATAAACCGACGAGAATTTAATAAACCAGTATCACAAATTTATCAACCTGCTTCGTATTATAGCTTTTCTATGACTGACTGGATTGCTTGCATTTTTACAGAACAGCAGGAATACATTTACTGAGTGATGTGTGAGGTGACCATCAGAACTGTCAACAAATTTCAAAATAACTAACCAAAAATAAAACATTATCGGAAAGCTGACATGTTTAGTGACAGTTTCTTCACTTTTTATCAGTGCATAATAATAATGATATTTTAGAGTAAGGAATAGAAAACGAATTTGTTTAAATCACCTAGATTATTTTTTCTACTCTCTACTCTAACAGACCTAATTATGAACCGATCAAGTGTGAAGAAAGTGTCATCAGTCACTTCCCTATTTTAGTATTTTAGTCACAGGTTTGGGATGAGTAAATTTTAGCCACTTATCACTCGGAAAATGTTTTCATGTAGTTCTGCAAAAATGTACGCCAAAATAATAATTGCAGAAAAATTATAGTATGCGACACTTTGATAAACTTGTTCAGTAACTCGTTTAATAAGCACTCGCTCCGCGAAATTAAGCTCGCGAGTAAAATGGCGTGAATCAAGCTTGTTGCATAACATACTACTTTCGAGTTTTCAATAAGGGTTTATAAAATAAAAAGTATTTAATGAAACAAAAATGAAATAAAGCAATTTTTGGAACTATAATTTTTTGTTTTAATTAATTTTGGAATTTTATCTGCTATCACTTGATATATTTTTAGTAATAGTTTTTTTTTTCAATAAAAAAGAGTATTTTTAAATTTCCCAAAAAAAGGTTTTTTTTTTCAAAAAATGTATTATTTCTTTCCATACTTTATATATTATAAATTGAAAAACATCATAAAATTGAAGTACGTATTTAACATTTAAAATTTAAAAAAATCTACTTTTTAAATTTCTCAGACCGTCTAATTCAAATATTTCGAAGAAGAGAGTGAAATTTTTTGAACGAAATATATAGGTACCTAGGATAATTATTGCTTCTCTAGTAACTAAAGCACCAAGTGCTTACCAATTTATATATTCATCTCCAATTACTGCCAACATGACCAAAATCGAAATGGCGTAAAATATTGAATCCCTAACCAAAGGCCACCAATTTAAGTAGACCACTGTGCCAGAGACCAATGCGCAAACCGATATTACAAACATGATATTGAAGACTGCGGAGCCAATGACGCCACTAATTCCTGAAAAAATAACAATTTGAGATAAGAAAGCATATTGGATAAAGTATAAGGAAAAAATGGTAGCAAATTTGAGAACTAAAAAAAAAATTAGTAATATATTATAAATGTTTAAATTGGGAAGCAAGTTTTATTTGTGAAGAAAAAAAAGTTATTTAATTTTTACGGAAAGTGGTGCGATTTAATTTAAACGAAGTGTTTTTGCAAAACTAATTTCAAATCACAATTAAGAGATATGAAACTTTTATTTGTTTTCGTTTTTTACCATAAAATTGAAGCAAATGTTCGAAAATTACAAATACAAAACGAATTCTGATTCTTAAATATATCGCATTTTAAGTTAAGTATGGTGCTATTTTCCATATAAACAAAAACAAGAAAAAACACATATTTTTCAAACGCCCAAAACAAGCTTCATTAAAAAATATGCATATTAAAATATCATATAAAAATGCAACTAATTTAGTTTTTTTAGTTGAATTGATATTTTTTGAAAAAAAGTTGATTACGCCACTGAAATCATCGCATTTTTGATAACCAAATTTTTCATCAATAATTCATCAAAAGTAAAGTAACTGGAAAAGAACAATTCATTTGTGTATTTCGAGAAAATTCATTAGCTGACAGACAATAAATATTTAATCAACGGACGCCATTACATAATAACAAAAATGCCATTAAATAAGTGTGTTAAGAAAATAATTTCTAGCAGGGTTTTAAATATCGACATTTTGGGAAAAAAAGCGCATCAATACAAGTTCAGGCATAAATGGCGCGTTTATCGACAAAACCATGCGTTTACCTATATCATCCTCGGCGTAAAAAACCCCTATAATGACGGTTGCTAATTCGGGAGCTGAGCTGCCGGCGGCCATAAACGTCGCCCCAGCAACGTCAGGAGCCATTTTCAGTTCTGGAAGAAAAACCCGCAGATAATCGACTTAATTTAAGGCTATACTTTCGTTAAACTTTGTTAGAATCAAGAAGCGGACATTTTCTCTCTTTTTCAGTGTCCAGAGGTTTTTTTATATGATTTTGTGTAGTCGTCAATTGTTACCAAAACAATGATTACGAAGAGGAATACTAGTCGAGTATAGTTTGTAACATGGTCAAAATTATCTCAATTGATATATATATTTCCACCAAAATTTTTTTTGAAAAAATAATTTTTCACTTACGACTAAGTAAATATAGTCAACCGAACTTATAATGTATGTCATTGAGGAGTAAAGAGTAGTTGTGTCAAACTAAGTTTATTACAAAAATAAATAAACATTATTACAATTTTCTGAACGTATTTAGCTATAAAACCGCTTGTATAAGTTGATCTGTGTTACCACGGTTATTTTGACGAGCTCTAATCTTTCTTTTGTTGTTATACATACCATACACGTAAACCAAAGGACAATAGACATCATTCGGAACATGAACAGCGGAAATAGCACACATGTAAGGGTAAACAACGAACTCTCCAGTAAAATACCAGTATCAACAAGGATCAGACAAGGAGATAGCCTCAGTCCAATACTCTTCAACATTATAATGGACGAAATAATAAAAGAAGTCAAAACTGCAGGCAGAGGATACCGAATGGGAAAACATGAGTTTAAGATAATTTGCTACGCTGATGATGCGGTTGTGATATCGGAAGATGAGGATAATCTGCAAAAACTACTACACAGATTCGTAACAGCTGCAGGAAAATTCAATATGACTATATCGACATAGAAGACCCAATCCTTGACAATAGCGAGAGAACCCAGAAGATGCAAACTGGCAATTTATAATAAAAGTGTGGAGCAGGATATGTCTTTTAAGTATCTAGGGGTTAACATCACGAGCAATAGGAACCTGAAACAAGAAGTAAAAATGCAAACAATAGTAGCATCTAGGATATCGGGATTCCTTCGAACCGTGATATGGAGGAATAAATACTTAAGTATCGAAAGCAAAACACGGATATATAAAACTTGTATTAGAGCAGTTATGATATACGCCATAGAAACGAGGGCCGAGACTGCAGCTACTAAACAGATTCATAGAACGACCGAGATGAAGACATTACGCTCAATCACAGGGAAAACGCTAAGAGACGGAATAAGGAGCAATGAAATTAGAAGAATGTGTGACGTTCCGGATATAGTGAGATGGGCCAGAACTAGAAGAAGAGCACGGAGAGATCATGTCAATAGAATGGAAGACGATCGACTGGCGAAAATCGCAACGGAAGAGAGACCCAATACAAGAAGACCTCGCGGAAGACCACCAAAGCGCTGGTATGAGAGCTGGATCTCAGAGTCACAACTTAGGCTGCTTCCTTGAAAACACAAGTCATAGTCTTAAAATAAGAAGAAGACATACCATACAATTAAGGGCCTCATTTACCTTATAAACAAAATTATTTAATGATCACTTTCATGAAACTATTTAACTAATTTAATTTTTACACTAATAATAGACAATTATTGAACAAAAAAAAGTTTATTGCTCTTCAGATGCTCTTCAGATTTGGAAATAAAACTCTATTAAATATTCTATTATTAAATACGATTTTGAAATGTTATGTTGCTTGCTGAAATAAGCTGTAAAAATGTCGAAACGTGTGAATCTAATTAAGATTTCGTTGCTTCCGGTTACAGAACCAACAAGCAGATAGTAATTGATGATATTCGATTAATATTAGTATCAAATGCGGGGGTGCCTCAGCGCTCTGTGTGACCTTATTGTTCTTATAGTACATAAACGATCTCTGCTCCTTCAATATTCAGAATCGTACCTACCGTTTAATATGCCCACCATACTGGCTGTGGTATCAGTATGATCGAGAGTGGCAACGGGTTATGGTTGCAAAATTATTTATCATTCGACCGTGATGATTGTAATGTGGGTTCTCTGCCACTGACCAGAGGCTTCAACAAAACTCATCCAACAGATTCACAAAAAATTTTGTTGTGAAAAATGAATTGGAAGAAATTATAAAAAGGATTAACAAAAGTGACAAATCCTAAAATTACTATCACAGAAATCCAATTTCATAATGTCGTGTTTTGCAGTTTCATTCAAGTTTCAATCGCAAACTTACAATCTTGTATTTCTATTTTAAAGGCAACGTATTTTAACAACAAGGCGACCGAAAAAAAAAAAAAAAGAATTAAGTCAATACAAATATAAGCGTTTCTTTTAATTCAGCCTCTTTACTCATTTATTGTTATTTATAGTTTTTACAATGCTTTTAATCCTTGTCATTTGCCTGCGGCATATCACATACAACAACACTTCTAGAGCATTAGTAATAAAAATAATCCTATCTACATTGATTCTTGTTGTTTGAATGTTTACGAAAGTGGTACAACTCTAGGGGCCGTGTAATGAGATGATGGATGCTAACTTCTTTTTAACAATTTGTTAAGTAAATAAAAAGCCTCTTCTGACATTTGGATCTTCTTAATTTAAGTAACAAGTTGCAATTGGAATCTTTAAAAGAAATCTTACCACTAATGATTATTATAGATAGTTAATATTAGCTAAAAAAATAAAGTAAGCAAACATTATCTTAACCTAACTTAACGAACATTTAAAAAAAACAGCAGTATAAATAGAAAATAATGTCGCACTTCAGAATGCTTTGTCACTATTCTCACTGACTTTATAATCCTCCAAGTAACTCTTAAAAAATGTTTAACTAATTAATCCAAATTACTCACGTACTTTAAACGTATCGAATGTTTTTCTAAAGACTTATTTTTACAAATATTTTGATACAAGATATGATTGAACGAAAACCTGATTGAGTAATGGTAAAAAAAAGTTAAATTCAACATGATCATTGGCAGAAAATCGGAAACGGGACATACACAACGTGAGAAAAGTTATATGAGTTGTAAAATATACATTGTAAATATACATTGTCTATTCTAATGTCACCGTTACTCTTCATTACGTAAATCGGGAACAGTGTCGACATATTACTCCATATAACCACCACTATATAGAGGCCTTGTTTATGCCAATAAGGCAAACATGAAAAAATGTTGGGAAGGGAGCGTACGCGCGAGTCATCTCAAAACTGGTTTTCCACCAAACAGACCTCCTTTCAATTTGCACTTTCAACAAATAAAATTTTGCGGCCATCAGCATGACAATTTGTCAAATCGACAGTTTTCAGTTTGGATGTGGCATTATTTTGTCAAAATATGATCAGGTCTGTTTAAATTTGCAGGTACGCCGATGCGAACGACACAAAAATAAGACATATTTTTTTAAGTCTCAGTTTTAGGCCCTTGCGGAGCTCAACAATGATCATGACCTCTGACAGTTCGTCATTTCGACAGTGTTTAGTTGGGATATGGCTTTGATCGGCAGAATTAGATTTTCGGTGAAAAACGGGCCAAGTATATCTTTTACGGGGTTTCGAAAGAAAATGTGCTGTTACGAAAATATCGTAGCAACATGAGATGAGATGAGATTCATCTATATAATCTAATAGCTAACATTGGATCATCGAATTTAAAAATAAAATTAATATATTTTAATGTAATGCTAGGTTACAGCTACATCACAACTACATTTGCTGATGATGATGCCAACTTAACATAAAATGAGCGTAAGCGGCTGGAGACTAGGATTGTTTCGATCTCCCACCACAGGATTTAATTTCGGATTAAGATTAGTGACTGCTGAAGTGAAGCTTTTCCGAACTTTCTGTGACCTAAAAAGATCTTTTCACTATATTTACAAAATTGGGTATATTTTTGTAAATATTGCATTTCAACCAAATTTGTTGTTCTTTGCAATTGATTGATTGATGATGTATTTGATTTTTGACGATAAAATAATTAAATAAAATAAATAAAAAATTTAATCTGATAAAGTCAGTTAAACATCCAATTGCCAATATAAAGGTTAAAAGCAAATCTTCAAAATGCATATCTGGCAAAGGACAAGTTCAATCAAGTTCAAAAGTTTATCGAATGTTGTCCGTCAATAGATAAAAAATCCGCTAAATTTCTAAATATTTAATTGTATCTAACGTTACGTAGTCAAGGTTGATACTGACCACGGATCGGAATTTTTATCATATATACTTATATCATATGTACTTGTTTTTTAAACAAGAAAGTTTTTAGATTTATTTTTACTAAAAATGGCAAAATCCCATTTTTTCATTGCGGTTCAGCATTATTTTATTATTGTTATTGTTTTTGTTTTAATCAATTTTTGTTGGTAGAATATTCTTGAAACGAGAAATCTTTCCAGATATGCAAGAAAACAGATCTTATTATTTAAAAAAGTTTGCTGCCATAACATCCTTTAGTTTAGATTGAGAAATTTATTAAAATTTAATATTTTTATTTTATTAAATTTAAAATTTAGTTTTGTCATTTTTTTAAATCAATTGCTATTATATTATTATAAAATCTGACATAACATTTTTTTTTCGCAAATAGATTTGTAAAACAAAAAAAAATTAGGACATAAAAAGTTAATCTAGCGTTGTCAGTTTGGTTAGATTATTCAAAAATAGCATTTCTTTAAATGATAGTTATCATTGGTTAAGCAGTGGTTAATGACTAATTATTATTGTTTAAGTGGTTACAATTTGATAAGTCATTCAAAGAACACTCACCTTCACAAATCCGATCTAAGGAAGCCACAAAATATTCATCGCACACAATTGCTAATCCGACGAACATGTAAATGGCGATGATAATGTGGAGTATCAAGCCTCCATGTTTCCGCACGTCAGGAGGCATTAACGGTTTTGGGAACTGAAAAATATCAAGTACAAAATAAACATTTGTTTTGTTGCAACAACATTTTGTTATTGTTGTTGGGGTTTACAGCATTTAAAAAAAAAAACAAGGTTCTATTTCCGGTAAAAAGCACAAACGGTTCTTTGAATAGAATTATTTATTGAATATTGATCCCCTTGTTAATACAATGTATATCAGTGGTCAGCTAAATAATTGCTATTATTATTATCAGAGTCAACAGGATCCTTTTTAAGCTCTTCGGTATTTCTCCTGTTGTAACTACAATGATGGACACTACTGTTACTGATTCCATGTTCCACATGTGCCGAATCTCGTCAGCAAAATCGACTATGCAACCATGCCCGTTAGTTAGTTATGTTTCTCTGACACTTTACATCTTCGGGTTCAGACCCCAGAATGTTTCGTTTGTATATTTTGGTGGGAATCACCTGCTCTTGAATACCAGATATAGTGCGTTAGATCCCGGAAAATAGATTGCCAGAACGCAAGTACAAAGTGGAGACCTTGCTATCGATAGATTCTTGTTCGATAGTTGCTAGATATTTCTCATGAAATGCCTGGCCACGCCAGTGCAGCAGTTTTTCCAACTGCGTTAAGATATTATCTAAGGGTTTATGCTGTTTCTCTGCGAGTTTCAATGGTGTAGCCTTTTTATCTGCCAGGACAACCTTCCTGCGCTGGCTTTCCGTGACTTTGTTATGGGAATACTTTCTCACATTCTCCGCAGTCCATTTAGAAGCAAATCTGAAGCCCAAGCTTCTAGATAGGTAAAACCTTTTCACCGAGTATTTTGGACGGTCTATTCTGATGATGTGAAACATTAAATGCGTATTTCCCCTATTTGGTTTGTTAGTAGCTGTTAATTAGAAAAGAGATATTTTAAGCAAAACAATGGTTGTTTGCAGTTCATCAGCATCATCGTCATCATCATCATTATTATTATTATTATTATTTACCTAGAAATCTTAACTAAATAGGCTTTCTCAATTTTTTGGTAATAGTCATTAAATTATTAAAATAGAAATAGAAAAAATAAAAATGTAACGTTTGTAGTTTTTATCAAACACCCACATGATCGTCAAACGATCGCCTTAAAAAAAGGCTTACCTTTTACAAATATTAAAGCGCGGTTGTCCATTTTATTTCATAGAATTTTACGTCTGAAAACGGGAGCAATCATTGATGATGCGGCTGATTGCGCATATAAAAACGAGTTTTCTAGTGGGGGAGCCGTTTCCGAGAGGTTTCCAAAAGAGACTCCTTATTAAAATTACTTTTAATTTCGATTCATTTACTCACTGACTTATTTAATCCGCTTATTTAATTTTTAGCAGGGATTTTGCAAATGAAAATAAAGCTGCCCTTTCAGCGGAGTTGTTTTCAATAGTCTGAGTTAATCTTAGCATATTTTCGCAATTCAAGTTGTGTTACATTTTTTTTTAAATAAAATTGTAAGTGTATAAAAATGTAAATGTAAAATATTCATAATATGGGAAAAACATTCCTCACCAATAAAGTGTTTTTTATATACATTTCAAAAACTAAATGGTTGGATATTGACCCAGAAGTCAATTATAAGGCTATACCTAAGCTTAATGCTGCTAAAGCGGGCAAGCAGATAAAAGCGTTAAGCGTATCAGTGTGGGATCCATGCTCCATTTGTATATTATGCGTATGTTACCAGCCCAACCCATTTCAGGCTAGCTAAACAAAATTAGTATGTCTTAAACCCAATCAATTTACAAGAGGAGAGGATTAGTGTTAATATGATATCATTTTTGTTGGGCTAGGACTAGGATTTCTCTTTCACTAGGTAGAGATAAGCGACTTTGTTCTATAAGTCAATTTAGTCAATAAATCAAATGCTACTGGTTTTGTTAGTTTTCTTCAACCAAACATAAAAGCGCCGGGGATTTTTTTAAATATCACGGGAGAATTGCCAAAATAAATGACTGCACTCTTTTTGTGAGTTGACACACATCCATAGCAGGGTTAATTGAATCAGAAATAGTTTCTAGGTGTTGCAAAGTGTATTTTTATTACCCCAAAACTGGAACCTTAGAAGATCGATACTGGTTCGTCAAATATTATAGAGCAAGAACTCCGCAACCAGAAAAGTCTGGAAAAATGGCTCTCCAATAAGGGATAAGTAATCCAATACTTCTATTTCAATGAACAAACCGGAAACAGCCGCACTAGAACATTAAATTCAACAAATAATAAAGAAAAAGATTCGACTTAAGAAAGTTGAGTTTCGCACAATATGGCCTAGATATTGCACTTTCCTGCATTTGAAAATACTAGTCATTCATAATTATAGGCTCGTCGATTTCGTATGATTCAAGGATCTCTGAATTATTGTTTGCCATCTTCTAGTATACTGACGAGCTACTGCAAATTAAAGAGGTATAATAGGAGATAATAAAAAACAGGCAACCTAAGAGAAATAGAAACGACAACCACAGCCACTATCGTAACTGTGGAGTATAATTAGGGAGACGAACTAGAACAAAGCTCATTAACTAAACAAAGAATCATAGTAACATAAAATATAAATAAATGAAATCTGGAATCTGGAAGATCGTTGCATTTTATCAGTGGAGATTTAGAAGTTTCTGTTTGCCGAATATTTCACGGGGACTGTTACGTACGTTTTTTATACATGACGAATGCGCAATTGAAGCACAATTTCAGATGGGAAACTCACCTGTCGTATTGCTGCCGGAATACATGTTTCGTTCTGTAATCAAAAACAAACGTTAATTAACGAATGACTAAAACAAATTAATATAATTTATTTCTGATTAAACGTGACCTTAACTATGTTTTAATTCGAAGTTCTAAGAAGTAGCATCTCTAAATCACGGCTTCGTGTTTTTGAAACTACCTCAATGGTTCGATTTTTACATTCATATTCAATAAAATTTTAAATTTTAATAATATATGCTGCATCACGAAGGGGAAATCCCGGTTTTCACAGGCATCATAAAAGGCTAACTACTCCAAATCTTTATGGCAATGTAAATTGAACATACCGTCCTATATTGAAATTGCCAGAGAACAGCGTGCAAATACAATTCTGGGGACGTCTGAAAAATTTGGGTTTTGTGCAGACGAATGTATTAACTAATTTAAAATTATCTTCTTTATTTGTAATTATTTTCAATATTATCAAAAACGCCTAAATCTAATATTTCCCATCGAATTACTGACTCGTTATTTTCTCATATTTCGCCTAATTTATGTAGACACACACAAACCTTTTATGTTAGATTAAAGTTAATATAGCATTCGGCAAAAAATGAATCAAATCAATGGTAAGGCACATATTAGCAAATAATTTACATTGATTGATGGGTTATGTAACGATGTAAGAAACAAACTTCCCACGCTACTACCACTGCTGTGGAATTTACTACCACTTGGCCTATTGGAAAATCATATAGTCGTATCGATGTATGAATTGCAGATTTTATACATAAACTTCCTCTGCCGAGCGAAGATTTCAATAATTTGAATTGCCAAGTGGTCTTGTTGCCAATAATTCACTTATTACCCAAAGGTAGACATTGCTGAATATGTCTGATTTTCAAATTACATCGTGTTAAATCGTTTTTTTTTATTATGATTTCAAACATTTGGCGCAACAAACATTAACTAAACTAAACTAACCTAAAATTAAAACTTTTAGGCTTCCTGACATTCTATCTCGTTTTAGTTTTGTAAAAAAAAATAACAATCTGTAATAAAAATTAGAATCCTGATGTCAAAATATTAAGATGGTTTTATTGACAACCACAATTTGTTTTTATGCGTTGAACGCGTCTAATAATTTTGCTGAGGTTCATTTGCGTAATAGATACAATCCTGCGTATTGACATCAAAATAATTATGTTTAACTTTAAATATCTTTACATATCAAGTATTGGTGAATCAAAAAATGTTAGAGGCTACTTCCCCCGGTCGAACGCCTCTAGTAGTAACCAGAAACGTTTTATTTAGCATGCTCTAGTAGAGTGTATAGTAATTGTCGCCCTAAATAGTTTTACACTGCTACTTTCGTTTTGAGTTGCAATAATATTGGTGAAGAAGCCGCCGGGATGACACTAAGCTTAATAATGCTAATCTACTTGGGGTGAAAGAAGCCACAAATAACTCACTTCGCCAAAAGAATGTTTGAAACATGAATAAAAACCTTAAAGAAACTTTGTCATCATGTAACTTGAAAAGGAAACACCTTTAAGTAGCAGCGTGTACGTAACGGTTTAACCTGTAGGTTCAGGATTTCTCCTGCGTCTGGCAGTGCCAGGAGTCTGGTATTGACTCTGTTTTGCTAATATTTCGGCAAACTTGCTGCTGGCTTGTTTAGAGCGTTGTTTGGAATAGTTTCAGACAAGAGACTGCCATTAGAATATTTGGCGATTACCGGACGCGGGAGAACTACAGAAGGACTGTATCTATAAGTTCCACATTTGAAATCAAATTGCCAATGATGTGATGATGTGTCCATGTGTGAAAAGACTCACCTCGGTGGTATCGTTATATACAATATAGCTGGAGTTTGTGTCTATAACTGCATCTGTTGTCGTCTCCTCAATCGCGGGTGTTTGTGTTGAAAATCGTGTGGTGGTGGATTCTTGGTGGTTTGGTTTTTCAGTAGTTCCAGTGTTCTGAGTCTGCATGTGAAAGTGTTTACATTTGTCGCAACATGTGTAATAATATAATTTCTTGCATTTTATGTACAGCGTGGGCCAAATTAGACACTTTCAAAGGGAAACTACCTTTTCTAAAAGAGGTGGATGTAGGAATGAATATAATGGCAAAAGCCGCACATGGGTATGTGTTGCCGTTTCAGACTTACAGGATGATTTTGAAAAATGTGCTTTTCTAAAAAGAAACTGAACTTTTTTTAGTATGGAACATTTTGTGTTTATAAAAAAACACGTTTTTATCTACCACTATCCAAAATTTAGTTTGTGGTGTTTTCAACATCCTTCTGCTTTTTGACTTCATTTTAAAATAAAATGTTGACGAAATTCATATTACATAACGGACTTCCGTTCTTGACCAAAACCTCAGAAAGACGTTCGCGAGTTTTTGTACACAGAGTACATAAAAAGTAGTTTTATAACTTGTAATTTCTTTGTAATTTAATGTATTCCAGTTTGATATACCAATAAGGCCACATTTTTAAATGAAGCACTTTGAAAATTTTTTTAAATTAAAAAAAATATATACAACTATAATAATAGTAAATGTTTATCTAATTAATCGCATATATAAAAAACATCAGAAATCATCAGAAAATGTACTTTTAATGTTCTAACAATTTTGATGTATATATACTCCTATATTGATTCCAGAATCAATTTCGTATATATTGTTTATTGCGCTTATGTCATAGTTATGGACCTGCTTTAAAATGCTCAATTATACGTTTGTTTCTGGTATTTATTGATTAGAATGCATATATGCATATGCACATATGCATTTCTGCTTAATTTATTTATTAATTTATTAACAGAAATATTATACTACATAAACTGCAGATAATATGTATTTTCTAAGCTGTAACGTAAAGTCTACAAGTTGTAAAAAATTTTAACCGAGATCGATATCTAAACTACCAACCGTTTTTCAATTTTCGATTATTTTGGAAATTGCTGATAATTTTTTTATTTGTGGAAATTTTTAGTTAAAATAGAAACAAATGGTGTACTCAGATTTTTGTTGGGTTTTCCGCGGTTTCTAACTTTATAGGACAATCACAGTTGACTTGTGTTGGATGTTGCTATCTGACATGAAAAATGGCGGAGATATTTTTTGTTTATGTATAAGTAAGTATAACTATGATAGTGTTGCACATTGCCAAGTGAAATCGCAAAAATACCCTAATGTAAAATGTCTAAAATTATTCTTAAGGGTTTATTTTAATAAAAATTTTACATTAAAATAACTGTAATTTTCTTCAGTAATCTGTATTATTAAAATAAAATATTAATAATATATTAAAATAAAAAATGGTAATTACTCCTTGCACTTCGTATTTTTCATTTAAGTTATTTTCCTTTGCTTTTTTGAACTCCCACTCTTTTAGTTTTAAAGTCTATTTAGATCCATCTAGGTACAACTACGATCTACTTATATATAAATAAAAACATCGATAACAACGACGTTATATGATTGAAAAGAGACAACATGAATATTTCTTCTACTAACTATATGACTATATGTTGTATTCATTTGTGGGAAAACGAATATTTGTAGAAAAATTTTCTAAATGATCGGAAATTAAAAAACACTTTATCTCGGTACGTTATAGAGATATCCAAATAGGTTTTCACTATAAAATCCAAAATCAATCCTGACACTTTGCTCTATATATTTCAGAAATAGGCTTTTTTTGTTAAAACACTCCAATTGCCGCCACGGTGTAGGACTCTAAGGGCGAAAAACCTATATACCTCTGCTTTTTTAGTAGTAAAACTTGTCTTCGTTGTAGGTGCATTCGTAGAGGACGATGCGTGCTTAGTAGTAGACAACGGCTGATGATCATTGGTGGTAGAGCTTTCACTGGTACTAGAATGTTCCGCTTCTCGTTTTACAATTAAGTCGGTGTGTTTTAGTTCTGGCAGAGTGGCGTTTTTCTTATCTGGGTGAATCGATACGACATGGATTATCGAATACACAAGAAAGAACACCGACAACTTTATAAATTTATGACGTCGTGACCTCTTCATTACCTGCAAAGTAAGAAGCATTTAATTAGGTGACTTAATCATTTACATATCTGGCAAGAAATAATTTGGTGGTGCTGCCAAAAAATAGCAACCTGATAATATTTTATTGCTACAGAAAGAAAGAAAATTTTCAAAAATAAGTTTGCTCATAATGCTAACTTAGGTAGCAGGTCAAACAGCGCAAATTGTTAACAGTGCAAATCAGTGACTGGAATTAATTTTCTCGAAAACTTTAAGAACCTTTGATTTTACAATTGATGCATTTCAGTTTTTTTCTTTTATATATGAGTTAACAGTAAAGGTATTTTTTATTCTGCCTCTAAATCTCGAGTTACTTTGACACAAGTAGACGCACTTTTAGATAGAATCAATAGGTACTTGTGCTGTGCTATCAAGTTGTCAAACTATTAAATGTTCCAAAATATATCTATAGTCGCGTTTATTGCTCATGGTTAACAAGCAGTAGCATGATAATAAATAATGTGACATCAAATATCTCCGTTTGAATATCATAAACCTAACCCAGACCAACTGTTTTAGAGATATTTTATGGTGTGTTAAACATGGCCTAAATTAATTTTATAACAAGGCCCATTTCAGGTTAACGCGAATTTTTAATAACTGCTTTTACAGATTATTTAAGAAATAAGATTAAAAACTGAATTAAACACTATTTTTTTACTGTTCAATCTAAAATACCCAAGTATGTACGGATAAAACGTGCGTAGAGTGTTATTCTAGCCGGGAGCAATCGACTGTTTTCAAAAACGTCCACAAAAACTAATGTTCGCAGAAAAAATATACTAAACAACTGGATAAACTTCTTCAGTCATTTATTAAGCACCGCTGGGCTCTGCTCGTGCCAAATCATACTCATGACTAAAATGGCTTTTATTGTTGAATAATATACTATTTTGTTAAATTTAATCTTAATGGTCATTAAAAGGTAGGGCAACTTTATATAAATATCCGGAAAATAAAAAAATATATATGAATCTACTACTACTTCAGAAACATATTTTTGTATATTTGTGCGTCACTTTTAAATATAATTATAGTTATATAATGGATCGCATCGTTACAGCGATGGGTTTAGCTGCAGAGAATTTAGCAAGTTGAAAAGTCAAATTGTCGAGGATGGGTATAAGGAGCACAAAACATTGCTGAGTTCGTGAGACAAAGTATAAATGTAAGTCAGCAGGTATGAAAAATATAGCGGCAACAGACGACTAAATAAAAAATATATGCAATCTAATTTAAAAAAAAAAACGGACATAAATATTTAATATTATAAATTGGCGAATATTTAGGTAAGCTTAACTTATCGGCGAAAGAAATAATTACTATAAAAATCACATTAATTCAGAGATCAGCAGTTTGATGTCTGTTCATTTGAAAAAAGCAAAAGAAATATAATAGGGTCTACTTACCATTTAGAAAACCGCTCGGTCTTTTATTGCGTGTAATAATTAAACGAGATTCTTTAAAGAACTCAGCTGCATTCGGTTTAAGAATGGCGATATGGTTTAATGGTGCCGTTTGTTTGTTTGTTTTATTTGCCATTCAATTTAGAAAATAGCGATAACTTTTGGTGACAGGCAATAAATTTGACATTTTTTGTCGCCAACGATGCGGGTTCTTATCACGAAATTATAAAAAAAGACGCAAATCATTTAAAAGGAGAAGAAATACCCGCAGAACTTTTTAACGTGTTAAAGAGTTGAATGACATGGGCACAATTCAATATGAAAACGCAAATGTTATCTTCAAGTTCCCATAAAAATCGACAGTTTACTTAAATTGTTGATATTTGTTCTACAATATATACTGCGATTCAGTTTGGAGAGAAAAGTGGACGTTGCTGGAATACTGGACATGGAATAGTCTTGAAAATTCGTCTTTTACGTATGCGATGTTGCACATTCGCGTTAAAATATTTTTAGCCGTGCAATATCAATAAAATATCTTTAATATTTTAATTAATCCACCAAAAATTAAATAAAATAAATGGCTCCAGTAAAATGTTTGTCAGAGATCGAGAAAAAATAATAAAATAGTATAGTATAGAGCGACACGACATAGAGTTGGACTTCTGGGATATATTAAAAGAATGCACAAACTGGCTTAGAATGAATAAAGGAATTAAAGGACTTAGGTTAGGGTGCCCACCTCAAAAAGTAACCTAAATTTTTTGTCATCATTTTCTAACCAAAACTGACAAAAAAAAAGGTTTTTTTCGGAAGCTTCGCCAAAATTTGAGTAAATTTAGTTAAAGTTAGTCAACTTGATAGTTCAAAACCGCAAAAAATAATAAAAAGTTTAAATGGGCCGCCTTGCGCAACCTAATTGATTATCAAAAGGAATCCAACGAACCGCAACCCTCTATATCAATCACAAAGCAGCTATTTTCGTAGCATGTTGAAATTTTGGACGTAGTTTACCAGGATTTTTCTTATGCGTTTCTGTACTTTATCAACTATTCTGGAACAATATTAATTAAAATGGAATTCAAGTTCTTATATCTAATATTTTTTCATTATGTATGTATTTTCTAGAATTATTTGTTACTTAAGACAAATATGGCCTTGGATATAGAAATATAATTTAAATTGTTCCAGAATAGTCGGTGGTCATGGAATAATAACGGATATGACTGGCAAAATAACCTAAACACAAAATTAACGTAATTCCCTGTGGGTAGTCACTACAAAATAATAATACTGAGACCATGTGGGTGGTTTTCTAACATTTTAAAATCCAAAAACTTTTAAATTAACTTTGTACCTTAGCCCTATATACCTTACTGCGAGAAAGCTATGGTCAAAACATAGCCTATGTATATCACACATATTATCACGTTGTCGACAGTGCTGCATTCTATTGCCTTTGTTGTCTGATATATTCAGAAAAAATCTTCTTGGAGGCGCGGTATAAATTTAATTAATTTTAATTAATAAGACTTACTTATATTTAACTAAATCCAGAATTACTTTGTAATTTATTCACAAAAATATAATTGATAAGTTTTTTAATTACATAAAAACGTTGAAATATCTATCTTGTTTTATGGGAACACTCGCTTGATTTTTGTATTCTTCAAAATATCAAATTAACTTAAAACAGGAATAAATACATCATACATGATTGATAACCGACCAAAGTATGCAATATTTCTTCTAAGTGTAAAAATCTTCCATCAAGTTCTACACCATCACACCCAAATATGCTGACTTATCGGTCAATTGTTCCGAAAAATGTCAACAATAAATCGATTTATAACAAACATTCTCAATATTTCAAAGTTGTTTGAGATTTGAGGTTGGAACGAACCTAATAAACAAAACGGATGCAACAGTCTTAGCCAGAGACATTCTGTGAGAATATGGCTAGAGTTCGGCTATTACCGACGTGGCAAAATCAAAATCTGGAACATGTTCTTGCCACTTCCATGTGCATTAAAAGTAAAATGTGTGCTATTTGCTGCAAATGTCATAGGTTATTAATATGTTTTATAAATACCTTGAATTCAAAAAGACAAACACTCCCCAATTACAAAAAATTCATGGACTTGTGGGTAAAGTGAAAAATCAAAAGATGAATCTAACATCCCAATTTTAATTAAACAAAACAGTTTATACCTTTACAAGTTACTTTTCTAAAGCAGGAAAAAAATGATAGGTAAAAAAAGCTGAACCTATGCAAATATTTTCCGCAAATATCTCGTTAAAGATAATCTGTCACACAAAATTGTTTGTACGAACACAAGTTGATGTAGAAGGTATTTTTTAGAAATACCACTCGTGGATTTTCACTTTCAAGAATCTTGATTTTCAGTATGTCTTAAAACATTGTTTTTTCAATTTTAAAACATGTATTTCCGTTATTAACCTGATGTATCTAATATCTTACAAAATTAGTATACCAAAACGGATAGATTTCGGATCGCGGGTTACACATTATCGATTATCCATTTGCATCTCCTGCGCGTCAATTCGACAGTGTGTTCATATAGTTGAACCATTATTACTTATTACGAGTTATATCACAACTGACTTTAAATCCTTTAAAAAATTGCTTTACAACTGCTGCTACATTGTAAAAAAAAAGACTATCAAGGAAAGTTATTTTGCGTATTTAATTTATAACTGTATCTATTTTGTAATAAATGTTATAAAACTCAAAAATTAATGAATATTATTATTATTATTATTATTATTATTATTATTATTATTATTATTATTACTGTTATTATTAAACATGATTTATGTGTTGTGTTGTAGGCATTTGAAAGAACCACAAATAGGTTCAATTAACTTCAATTAAATTGAAATAAGTGATCAATATTGCACAGGATGATTTCTCAAGTATTTTAACCTAATAAGTTACTTGTGGTTCACAATGCTTCGTCAAAGTTTTTTTTTATTTTTTCTGCATATTTTCTTAAATAATAATAATGATTTTTTAGTAGGAGGAATTTTAACTTGTTCTAAATTATTAAGCTATTACTTGGGGAGATACATGTGTTTCCTCAATTTCAAAGAGTCATGATTTTTTGTTAGACCATATTTGTGCTTAAAAAATGAATTTCTATAGTATATTATGCAACCAGTGGGGTAAACGGCATTTGACTCACGAGTTTATTTGACACGAGCGGAGCGAGTGACTTAATAAGTTTACTGAACGTGTTGCATCCTATACCTTTTCTATGGCCGTCAGTTTTTGGGTACATTTTCACGAAACAACACGAATACATTCACTGACATGACCATCAGAAGTGACAAACGTCAATATTCAAGGCGTGGGAAATATCTCCGAAAATATCCGATTGCTTCCAAACCCGTACGGTAAAATCCCGGAAATGTCCGAAGTGGCTCGAATCCGTGGGAAACGAAACTGACGTGGTAAAGTGACGCTTCCTGCACGCTGGGTCAGTGTATAATTAGATATTTTACAGACGGGCGTAGAAAAAATCATTTTTACGTTAAAAAGACGCTTGGAGCAAT